TCTAGCTCTTTAGATCTTAGTTTAGAGCTAAAAGACTTTAGTTCTACTATTAATAATCTTACTACTATAAATTTTAATAATAGAGATATTAGTAATAAAGAACTAAGCTTNTTTATTAAACTTACTAGCTATAATAAATACTTAGAAAATAAGGATACTAGTATCTTACTAGAGCTAATAGATCTTAAGCTTATAGAAGAAGTAAAGTTTTATAACTATATTTATAACTATACTATAGAGCTAGGAAAAGAGCTTAATTCTATTATAAAAGACTTACCTACTAGTATAAGAGCTATTCTTAAGAATGCTTATTATTCTACTAGTAGTAATAATAATACTAGTAAGGACTTAGGTCTTTTTATTCCTTTAGAAGAAAAGACTACTAGAAATTACTTTAAAGAGTTTAGTCTACTAGTTATATATCTATTAGAGCTTTATACTAAGAAAACATCTATAAGGACTACTATAGATAAGGATAACTATACTTTATACTATTACTATCCTATATTTACTTTTAAAGTACTAGATATACTTAAAAACATATTTAAACTATCTATTTCTTACTATAAAAAAGAAGTTATAGCTATATCTCTAAAAAGACTACTATTAGAACTTTTCTATACTTTACTTAAAGAAGATATTACTTATAATATTAAAGAGAATAGTAACTTTTCTAGTCCTATTATTACTTTCTTTATATTAAGAAGTATAGACTCTAGAAGTATACTATTTAGAAAAGAAGATTATATACAAAATATCTTATCTAAGCTTATCTATAATACTAGACTCTACTTTCTAGGATATAAGGATTTAATATATAAGGAAAAGATAATAGATAACTTTTATTTAAGCTTTACTAAAGACTATAAAGAGTTACTAGTAGTAGAGTCTAATACCTACTTTAGTACCTTATATATTCTTAGAAACTCTATTAGAAAGTTTAACTATAAGAGAATTAGTAGCTATAAGCCTATTACTAGGATAGATAATAGTAATCTTATAGTAGATACTATTTCTATAAATATAAATACTATTAAAGACTTATTTAGTAATTTACTACTTAAAGTAGAAGATTTACTATATAATAAGCTTTTAGTATTTAGTAATATCTCTAGAGAGGATAAGATCTTAGATCTAAATATCTATAGAATAGAAGATTCTAAAGAAAATAGTATACCTTTAGAAAATATTACTACTATAGATCCTTATCTTAAGGATCTAACTAGTAAGAACCTACTTATTAAGAGACTATATAACTCTAATAGTAGTCTTTATAAAAGCTAAGAAAAGATAAGGATAGCTTTAATACTAAAGAAGTAAAAGCCTACCTTATAACTAAAGATATATTTATAAAGAATCTACTACTAGCCTTTTATCTATTAAGTAGTAGCCCTTTAAGAGGAGAAGAGCTTACTATACTAAGATATAGTAATACTAAAGAAGGAGGCCTAAGAAATCTATACTTAGATAAGGGTCTTAATCTTTTAAGTATTAATACCTCTTATTCTAAAACTAGTAATACTAGTACTCTAAACTCTAGTAATATTAGATTCTTACCTATTAGACTTACTAGAGTAGTACTATACTACCTAGTATACTACCTACCTTTATATAACTATCTTAATCTAAAGGTACTAGATAATAAGGATATTATTAGTCCTTTTCTATTTACTCTTAAAAATAAAAGGATTACTAGTAATATGCTTAGTAATCTACTTTATAAAGAGACTCTTTTATACTCCTCTAAAGGATTAGGTCTAAAGCTCTATAGACATCTAATTATTTTTATTATAAAAGAATATATTATTAAGGATAAGACTTACTTACTAAGTCCTAATAAAAGAATACTATCTAGAGATACTTTTTCTAGAACTAGTAATATAGAAGACATCTTAGCTAATCATTCTACTAATATAGTAGAGGCTAATTATGCTAGAGAGTCTAACTTATTTTCTAATAAGACTAAGTCTATCTATACTAGATCTAGAGACTTTACTAGTCTATACTTTACTTACTTTAATCTTACTAAAGATAAGAATATAAGTAGTATACTAGGAGAGCTAGAATCTAGTAATAAAGATATAAACTTAGATCTAAGCCTAAGATCTAATATTTCTAGATCTAATTCTAGTATAAGTACTAGTAGTCTAGCTATCTCTAGAGCTAGCTCTAGTAAAGTTATTTCTACTATATATAAAAGTTCTATAGTACCTTCTAGTCCTAATCTAGGTACTAGTTCTAGTAGAAATCTTAATTTATTAGATAAAGAGCCTTCTATTATTTCTAGTACTAGTAGTTCTAGTTCTTATAATTCTAGTAAAAGAGATTCTTATACTAGACCTTTAAGCCCTAGTCTAGCTAGTACTAAAGCTATTTCCTTTTCTAAGGATCTAGAAAGTCCTACTACTAGACTTAGTAAAGCTAATCTAGAAAGACTAGAAAGAGAAACTAGTACTAGTTCTAATCTAGACTTAAGGCCTTGTATTAATACTTTACCTAAGAGTAGTACTAAAGATCTAGAAAAGACTAGCTCTAATAGCTTAGAATCTACTAGTAGTCTAAACTCCTACCCTTTAGAAGATACTAGTAATATAGAAATACCTAGCTTAAAAGATAACTTTACTAGTATCTATAAGGCTAATCCTTCTAATCTTAAGAATATAACTATTAGTAGTAACTCTAGCTCTAGTACTAATATATCTAGTCCTAAAATTAAAAAAGAAAGCCTTAGAAAAAGAGCTAGAGGTAGACCTAAAAGGTTAAAACTAAAGGAAGACCTAAAAAGAGTATACTTATAAAGATTAGAAGTTAAATAGATAGCTTTCTTATATTATATCTATCCTTATCTTTTTTAGTACTAGTATATTAACTATAAGGTTTTTATAGCTTTATAGAGATAGTATAGTACTAGAACTAGTTTAGCTAAGTCTAAATAAGTATAATACTAAACTTCTATATTACTTTATCTTTACTAGTAGATATATTCTTATTTTTTTCTAGCTATATTAATTTTATACTAGCTTTCTAGTAGGTATATAAAGTTCTCTATAGCTAATAGGTAGTTATTAAAGGTTTATAACAGTTTAGATAAGTCTACTTTTAAAGTTAGTCTTAGTACTAGCTTAGTAAATATTATACTCTTATTTTTTTCTAGCTATCTAGATTTCTTATAGACTATCTAAAGCTAGGAGTTAAGTCTATAAAGCTACTAGATAACTAGAAAAGGTCTAGTATACTTTAGATAAGCCTAAATCTCTAGTTACTTAAGATCTAGCTTTTACTAGTAATAGTATATCTATTTTTATCTAGCTATCTAGATTTTATACTATCTATATAAGATATGCCTAAGATTATATATAAGTAGAAAAACACTAGATAAGGTCTAGACTAGTCTATTTAAGTCTTATACTAAGATAACTAAAAGTTTAAAAGTTACTACTATGTATATCCTTATTTATATTTAGCTATTCTTATTTTATAGTATCTATCTAAAGTATAATAAGACTTAGTAAAGCCTTTCTAGTACTAAGAAAGATTTAGACTAGTCTAGAAAAGTATAGATATATAGTTAGTCCTAGTTTTAGCTTTACTAGTAAAAGTAACCTTATTTATTTCTAGCTATCTAGATTTTATACTAACTATCTAAACTAGAGATAAGTATCTATATAGCTCTAAAATAACTAGAAAAGGTCTAGACTAGTCTAGATAAGTCTAGATCTAAAGTTACTTAAGACTTTACTTTTAGTAGTAAAGATATTTCTATTTCTTTTTAGCTATCTAGAACTCTTACTAGCTCTATAGGTTATAATCTAGGTTTCTTTTAACTTACTAGATACTAGAAAAGGTCTAGCTAAGTATTAGCTAGAGTTTTAAGCTTAGACTTCTAAGTAATACTAAGAATATAAACTTAATGGAATTTTTTCTTTCTATCTAGATTTTTTTCTAAAATCTAAGTAAGTAGGGTAGTAGGAAACTAAGCTAAGAATACTATAAAAGGTCTAGATCTAAGTAAAAAGTCTAGATCTAGAGATAAACTAAAGAAGTATATAATACTAAGCTTATTTTAGCTTTTTAATACTTTTATAGTAATCTTATACTACTAGAGTGTCTATACTAGGTAAGAACTAAGTACTAGAGACTTTAACTAGCTAAAAAATAAAAAATAGAATTTTAGACCTTAGACTTAAACTTCCATTTAGTCGTTAATTAGGACCTATTTTAGTAGAATCCTTAGAGTAGGATTTCTAATATAGTAATAATTAGTAGTATATAAGCTAGAAGCTAGTATGCTTAATACTAGATTATAACATTTCTATATAGGCTACCTAAACCTCTTTTTTAGCGGAATATAGTAAATGCTTTTATAATTAACTCTAGCTAGAAACGGCTGTTATAATTATAGTAAAGATAGTTCTAGGATTTAGTTATTATCTAGAACTTTAAGTAGCTCGGGTAAGTTTCTATCTCTTGCCCGGGTACTACCTAGAGTAAGGTTGTCGGCTCTTCTTGTTGCCCATCTAGACTAGGCCGGTAGTGATTAGAATGTATATATTGTTGTTATAGTAACAATAGAGGAGATGGAAGGTTAGTAGCAACAGCGGTTTAAAGAAAGATAAAGCGCGCGATTATAAGAGTTATTGCAAAGGGTAGATGACCGTAGTGACGAGGTGCCGCTTATGATCTACCGGCCAATGGAGGAGATTTGAGTGACGCACGCAAGCTCCTTAAGAGCAGCGATACAAGGAATTCTAGCTCTCTAGTGGGTATTCGTGGCAAAGGCAGATCGCGCAATGGGTGTCAATTGTAGTCAGGCGAACTATGCACTCTTCCTAGTCCGTAGCTCTTGGAAGAACACCACACGCGTTGCCCCATCCGGCAGAACCGCGTAAGGTTTAGAAATATGATCAAGAAACACTGGCAACATCCAAGCGACGAAATCCCGCGACTATAGATTAAGTAAGCAGCTGTGCTTTTGATTGTCTATGTTATGCCTCCATGATTCAATCCGATGGTCCACCAGTAGCCAGAAAGTCAAAATCGCAACCGAGATTCGCTTGGTTCACAGAGCGCTTGTATAACCCTCTATAGCCTCTTTCAACCTTTTGAGATTGCTTGATTGCTTGCTGAGCAGGGTCCGCAACTCTCTTAGCTATCCGCTGACTGATTTCCTCGTTTGGTAGCCTTAGTTGAATTGACCCTTGCTCGATGTTGAGCTCGATCAAGTCTCCGTCCTCAATAATACCAAACACCGATTTGGTGACGGAAGACTCCGGGGACACATGGAGAACGATAGTGCCCCCAGCAGTTCCTGACATTCGGCCATCAGATATACGCAGCATGTCTTGTATACCCTGAGATCCGAGTTTCCGTGGGATAGGGATGACGCCTGCTTCGGGCATACCAGGATTGCCTACAGGACCCACACCCTTGAGCACTAGCACAGAGTCCTTTGTAACATCAAGGCTAGAATCATCAATTCTTTGTGCAAGATCAGCCGTATCCTTGAACACAACTGCGGGGCCTACGTGGGAAAGAAGTCTACGATCTTTCGAGGCGGAAGCTTTGATGATGGCGCCATCAGGCGCGAGGTTCCCGCGCAAGACCGCAATAGCCGACCGAGGATAGATGGCATTGTCAAGTGGTCGAATTATTTTCAAGGAGTGTGGGAAGCTCTTGAACGTGTCAAGTTCGTCTCCAAGTGTCTTTCCGGTGATAGTCTTCGCGTCCAGAAACAGGAGAGGTCGGAGATGGTTCAACAGTGCGACCATTCCACCAGCATTGTGAAAGTCGTTCATGTAGTTCTCGCCGCTCGGCTTGAGGTCGACCAGCAATGGTGTTCTGCGTCCGATCACATTGAACGTGTCCAATGTGATCTGCCCGGCGGCTGCAGGGTGTCGGTTGACGATAGCCATAAGATGGACGACGGCGTTGGTGGATCCTCCGATAGCTTGCAGAACAGTGATCGCGTTGAGAAAGGACTCCGTGCTCAAAACGGTCTGAGGGCGACATTGATCTTTGTTCGATGCCGCTGCGACTGCGTTTCGGCCGGTCTCTTCAGCCACACGAAGGCGAGCGGACGATACCGCGGGAGCTGAAGCGCCTCTCAAAGGCATCAAGCCTAGAGCAGCCACGATGCAAGCCATGGTACTGGCAGTCCCCATAACTCCGCAAGTGCCACCCTTTTAATGTCAGTGATGCATAAATCAAAAGTTGGCAACACGTACAGTCGGTGCGAGCTCTTCATTGATGGCAGAGATCTCCTCAATGTCAATGGTACCAGCACGATAAGCGGCCCAATTGTTTCTGCAGTCGGTACATGCACCGATGCGCTTGCCTCTACTAGAACCAGGCATCATCGGACCAACGACTAGAGGGAGAACAGGCTTGTTGGACGAGATTCCACCCATGAGTTGTGCAGGCACCGTCTTATCGCAGCCTCCGATCGTGATACAGGCATCTACAGGCTGTGCTCTGATCATCTCCTCAGTGTCCATACTCATGAGGTTCCGGAGAAACATGCTTGTCGGAGATGCGAAGGATTCGTGCAAACTAATGGTCGGGAACTCGATGGGCAATCCGCCACTTAGCAAGACGCCTCTCTTAACCGCCTCGATGAGACGTGGGACCTCAGAGTGGCATGGATTGAACCCGGAATGAGTGTTGATAATTCCAACCACTGGTCGTGACAAGGCGTCATCACTGTAGCCGGCCGCCTTGATGAAGACTTTTCGGAGGAACAAAGAGAAATGCGCGTCTCCATAAGATGTCAATCCTTGACGCAGACCTTGCTCAGTGTTGATGGGCTGACTCAAGTCATAATCTCCATTCGAAGACGCTTCCGAATGATCTTTGACCATGGTGTTTGCAATGAGAAATGTTTGTGCGTCTCAACCTGATCACGCTGGTCTGACCCATTTATATTCCGTTCCCAGAGCGAGACAAGCTCGAGAGATACTCAATGTAATCGATGAGGCTGTCGGCTTTTCCGTGCGAAGTCGCTCCTTGCGCGGATTCTCCGCACTGACTCTTCACTTCGTCAACGGTCGCCTTCTTCTGTCCGCGAGCCTCATAATATTTCGCTACAGGGCTTCCAAGACACAAAAGCTATGAGTTTGTGGTAAGGGACCAGGTAGAAGTGCCATCATGCATCGCTCAATATCCGGAAACATCGCAAGGTGCCGGCTTCAAGCCTTCGATGTGTCTCGCTGGTGGGTGATATCAATAAAGATCGAGCCCAGCGGAAATGCAATAACAACGGAATGAATGGAAAAATAAGACTGTTACAATCATGTCTGCTAAGCGCTTCTCCGAGGAGGCAATTTGGACCGCGAAGGCCTTGGACTTCGGCACAATCGCTATGATCGGGATTTCCGCGCGACTCCATTCTTGGGACAGTCATATCTGACGAGAGTCGCTCGATTTTCATTCCAGACAAGCAACGTCCTTCTTTCTTCTATCCATCCAATTCGCCAACTCGAAAAATTCGAACAATGCACGACCTCACTGGAAAGATCGTGCTGATCACTGGTCTCGGACAAAGCGCTGGTCAAGGCTGGGGTATTGGAGCGGCAACAGCAATCCTGATGGCTCGTCAGGGAGCAAAGATCTTTGGCGGAAACCGGACCAAAGCTTCTACCTTGTCGACTCAAAGCGCAATAGAAGAGGTCGGAGGCGTCTGCGACATCGTGGAATGCGACGTTACGGACTCGAATTCAGTCAAAGGGCTGGTAGATGCATGCATGGCAAAGCATGGGCGCATTGACATCTTGGTCAATAACGTAGGGAGGTCAGAGCCAGGATCGCCTGCCACAATGTCGCCGGAAGTGTGGGATGCGCAGGTAAACATCAACCTCAATAGCGTCTTCTTGCTGTGCCACTACACATTGCCAATCATGGAGAAGCAGGGCAGTGGTGCTATCGTGAGCATCTCAAGTATTGCAGGCATGCGCTACATCGGCAAACCTCAGATCGCCTATTCAGCAACCAAAGCCGCAATCATACACTTCATGAAGACTGCAGCGATCATGTATGCCGTCAAAGGCATACGCTTGAACACGGTCGTTCCTGGATTGATGGAGACGCCCTACACTCAGGGACTTGCCGCAAAGTACGGTCAGGGAGATTATGAGAGCTTCAAGCAGATGAGGAATACTCAGGTCCCAATGGGCAAGATGGGAGATGCTTGGGACGTCGCGAATGCTGCGTTGTTCTTGGCCTCGGACGAAGCCAAGTACATAACTGGACAGGAAATTGTTGTTGACGGAGGCATCACTTCCTCCACGGGACGGACATAGGCAACAGCAGAATACAGTATTTAGATGGCGTCGGACCAACCAAGAATACATGTGATTGCCACGGGATAGGAGAAGGGTTTCAAGCCTTGAGCTTAATGTGAAGCTGGACTCCAATCATGAGCCGGAACGAATTTCTGATCTCGTTGCTATCGGTTGAAATCTGGGAGCGCACCCCAAGACTCCAGTGGAGGAGAATATGGGCGAGAGGCGTAGAGATGAAGGCTTCGTGAAGAAAGAACACGGGACTCGGGATCAAGTTCAAGTCGTTTGGTGTAGATATGTGAGACAAGACCAAAGTCCAAAGTCGCAAAGATCGCAAGGAATGATAGCTTCGCAAGATCAAGGCATTATTGTCAGTCATGCGCACTCCAACAAAGACACCGGGTTCGAAGCGCAATGTCGCGCGACAAAAGCGGTGCAAGATGTAGTGTCTGGAGAATAAAGTGAGATATGTCGATGACCGAAAGCGAAAGACGAGGATTCAACCTGTTATGGACGCGACGCTGGGTGCCTTCCCAGCGCTGGAAAAGGTGGGTGGAACGCGACTCCGCGGCACTCGCTTACAGATGCCTTTGCAATCACAAACCTGGGGAAAGACAATAAGGTTATGCAATGGCGTAAATCTGGAAAAATGACGGAAGGATTGATCTGCGGAGGCTCCGGTTCGCAAACAATAGCGTCATCATGTCATCGTCAGTATTTGGAAACAACAAGACATCGGCAACTATAAGGGTCAGCGCAATGCGCACTTCTGAACTGCTGTTTTTCCTCTATCGCATTCTCATTCTTGCACCGCCAGATCTGCGCTTCCAACAAATCTTTGCCCCACGCAAAATTGACCCACCTCCTCTCTCACCATGCCCTATCCTGAGACAGCTACTGGCTTTGTAGTCAAGGATCCCAAGCAGTATGTTCCTTTTCCCACTTGCTAGAGCAGAGCCCAAAGGCTGACTTGACGACAGNNATGGCAATCATTCCACAAGGAAGAATTCAAGCTCAAGACTTTTGAAGAGGACGATGTCGACATCGCTATCGACGCATGTGGTGTCTGCGGATCTGACGTCCACTGTACAATACTTGACTTGTGCTGAAAGAAGAGTTGATCGCTGACGCAAACAGCCATCACTGGCGGCTGGGGTGAAACTCCTCTTCCTCTGTGTGTCGGACACGAAATCATCGGTGAGTTGGGCAGAACCTCCGTCACGCCAGCGACTCCGAGCAAATCGCGACCACTTCCCAGCACAAACAGAGCGGCATCTTGCGGCAGTGGTTGCACGGAACAACACCTTGCAGAATCATCGCTGACTCTTTCTACACANGGCCGTGCTGTCAAGGTCGGCAACAAGGTGAAGGACATCAAGGTCGGCGACCGTGTTGGTGTTGGTGCACAGGTTGGAGCCGATTTGTCCTGCGACAACTGCAAGGCAGACCAAGAGAACTACTGCCCCAATCAGTAAGTTTCAAGTCACTCGAGGAGATTTCAATTTTCTGACACAAGCTTCCAGNNGATCGACACATACGGTGCCAAGTACGAGGACGGCACTGTCTCTCAAGGCGGCTTCTCTTCCCACATCAGAGTCCAGGAATATTTCGTGTTCAAGATTCCCGAGAACCTCGACACCGCCATTGCAGCTCCCATGCTGTGCGCTGGCTTGACAACCTACTCTCCACTCGTTCGTCTCGGTTGTGGACCTGGCAAGAAGGTCGGTATCGTCGGCATCGGCGGACTTGGTCACTTCGCATTGATGTGGGCACACGCTCTTGGTGCAGAGGTCTTTGCCATCTCACACACCAAGGACAAGGAAGAGGACGCAAAGGAACTCGGTGCCGATCACTTCATCTACTCCGGAGACAAGGATTGGGCCAAGCCATACGCCTTCAAGTTCGACTTCATTCTGAACTGTGAGTTGTCCAGATCTTGAACTCAAGCAACATCTCGTACTGACAATGCACAGGCNTCCGACATGACCCAAGAGTTCGACATGTCCACCTACCTGAGTACCCTCAAGGTCATGGGCCGCTTCCACAATGTCGGTCTGCCCGACTACGACCTCCCTGCCATGAAGGCCCAGGACTTTGCACCCAACGGATCCTACATTGGTGCCAGTCACATCGGTAACCACCCCGAGATGGTCGCCATGCTTGAGCTGGCTTCCAAGCAGAACATCAGGTCTTGGATCGAGACCATTCCCATCTCACCCGAGGGCTGCGCTAAAGCCGTCACCGGTGTCAAGGAGAACAAGGTTCGCTACCGCTACACTCTTACCGGTTTCGACGAGGCTTTCGGCAAGCGCTATTAATCGAATAACAACATTCGAGTAACATATTTTGGATTACCTTGGACACCTTGGACATGATCTAATACGACATTGAGTGGACGATATACATATATTACTATAATGAAGAGCGTTTCTCTTGCTACATCTGCGTATCCGTGCTTAAGAAGCGAATACCAGGTGAAACTGCATGGTTTTGGGGCCAATGCAGATGATGTAGCCCGTCCAGAGTATCCATGCTAACGGTGCTAAATCAGTCGTGGCACTTGCATGAGTATTATCGAAGAGTCGAGTGCCGTATCGGTACACGGAAATTTTTGTTATCTTACACGCTCAGAAAAGTGATTCAGCAAGATCGGCTGATATCTGAGTTCCACAGCACGACATGAATCTTCAGACTCAACCACGCTAACACAGATCTTGCAAAATAAACACAACCAGACGATCGCTCCTCGTCACTATGGAACCACAGACAATGGCCGTTTGAACAAAGCCCACATGTCACAAAGGCAAGGGATCACCCTAAGCCCTAGACACCTTTGTCACATTGTCACGACCCGGAACAATTCATTGTTTGATCCTGGCATTTCGATGAACCCTCTTTCATCATCATCATAAGCTTTGTATTCTGCGACACACAAAAAAAGAAAACATGGCATCGAAGTTCTCATAGGATTCACGGGTCTAGCACTCCCACAAAGGATACAGGTAGCTGCTTACAGTCAGTCAGGGTTGGACCACTAACCATTTCAACTTGATCACATTCAGAACAAACCCTACGACCAAATACAAGATACAATGAATCTCTCAGGGCAGACAGGCAGAACGCTGATTGCTCTTAGAGATTATCTCATCATCACTGCACTCTCGAGACTCTTCTGGTGGATGCACACTCCGCAAAGGTATGGGCTCTCTGAATGTCAAGTCTGCCTTCGATTCAGGCTCACAGTCCTTCTTCCGTGCGAAAATTGCCATTGGTGCATCAGCTGTATTAATGAGTCTTTCAACACGGCAAACCACGATCGTTCATTCTGGCCGGCTAGGTGCTGTGGCGTCGAGCCCATCTCTGTTGACCGTGTCGAGGACATCCTCACCACTGGAAACTACAATCTCGCACTCAGACGTGAGCGTGATTGGGCTGCAGGTATCCGTCCAACTCTTTACTGCTCCCGTCCCGCTTGCTCGCAGCCACTGATTGTTGATTCGAACTCTAGACAAAACATCACTTGCTCCTTTTGCTCTACTCAAACTTGCAAAACATGCACTGGACCCGCTCATCAAGGCTCTTGTGAGATTGACGAGACCACCGAACTTGTGCTCAGTGCGCTCAATTACGGCACTTTCAAGCGCTGCCCTCACTGCAATGAGATGATTGAGTTGTCTGAAGGTTGCAACCACATGACTTGTGCAATCTGTAAGTACGAGTTCTGCTGGCTCTGCTCTAAACGTTGGTTTAATTGTTTTGCGACTTGTCAAGATTAGATTCTGCTACAACTGTATATCTGCCTCATAACCATTTCGTAAAGATCGTTGCTTTGGATGCTGTGCATTCGCTGCTAAGTCAATAGGACAAAGCTTCTGTAAGTTTTCCAACCTATCCTTCTACGTAAGACCATCATTCTCGAAATTTCCGTCCCGAATGTAACATATTCTCACTCGTTTGATCGTCCTGAATTCTCTATAATCACTTCATGTTCCTTTTGTGTCCCCGCCACTTAAATGCACAGTGCGGGAGCTCGATCGTGAATCGTGAGATTTCTTTGGCTCCAGCAGGTAGATGTTAATAAGCAAGCAAGGTCTGACAAGTGTGCTAGCAATTATGATGTCGAAGAGAGTGGTAACCAGTAAAAGTAATCAGGCGTGACGACCGCATTCAGAAGATTTGGTAGTCTTGGTGTCTTGAGCATGGTTGTGGAACTGCTGATGAGGCGTAGCCCTTTGCAGGGATCGGAGCCAAAAACAAGGAGCATAGCAAAGAAGTGATATCGAGTCTATCTAGCATAGATAGGGCATAGCTGGCTTGCCAAAGCGTTGTCCGACTGTGAGCCAGGACCGGATGATAGCGCCCTCTCTGGAGACCCATGCCAAATGAATTGGATGGGTATCTTGAAACCAAATTGTGCCTTTCCATTTCCATACACCTCTATTGACAGCTCCAAGCTGTACCGACGGCAGACCAGAAGATTGAAGAAAGACGGCACACTATCTCGGGGTTGAGGTATGCTCAGCCATACATTATCTGTTTTGATCCAGTTCCATCCATCTGAAACATCCGAGCAGGGGACCCAATCTACCCATCTGACGTCTGTCGACCTCTCTGGAGATCTGCTAATCACATCACCAAGGAAAGAGCAATGCATTGTCTGTCGAGAGGTCGGCGCACATGGTAGCGGAATCGTTGAGACCGTGGTACATGTCTTAAGCCGCCAGGAGATCTTTGCACAAACAATTGGGACATCCTTTGCGATATGTTGTAGACGACAGGTCATTGGGATCTCGAGGAGACGCGATTGTTCATCGTCCCAGAGCGATAGTGGCTTGGGTTCGGTCAGAACAAGCTGCAGAGAATCTCTTTTTGTCAACAGCTTGCTCGTTCTTCGCAGATTTTCCATGATATACTCGCCGCCAAAGTCGTCGAAACCGACTGGGGGAGGTGTCGAAGGGACAGATGGAAACAGCTGTACAGGCTGAGATGTTTCAGCCACCAGTACGTTGTTATAATATACGTGTGCCTTGAGCTGATAAATGACCTCGACAGATCACCACTTCCCGGCATTCGAGCAGGAGTTCTGTGAACTCGCGGCTTGTAGTGACGGAGGAAGTCCGTATTGGTCTGCTCTATTCAGGTTATGGCCGCCATCCGAGCCGGTCGGTATCTCAAATTAGAACGGGACCCGGCAAGAAAAACTCTCGGCAAGGCTTGCGACGTTATTCAGGCGATGTACGTCCGTCAAATCCAGCAACTTATGCACTTGTTATTTGGTTGATGGGAATGGAGACACCAGGCAAGTGCTTTACCATGGCTTCTCGACATTGGAAGCTAGCCAGAGTCATGATCGTGATACCATAGCTCGGCGGACAAGAACCTAATTTCCCTACGAGTCGTCCTATAGAGGTCAGAGTATTGCCTTAGAAACATCTTGAGTGTTGCATACCAAGCAGAGTGATCTTAACAACATCACACAGTTGAGTAGCTGGGGTATCCACTTGGAGCATACCTCTTACGCCATGCTGTTGGAAGAATCTGGGTATACGAGATCTGACGAGCGGCAGTCCAGCGTGAGCTAGTGCAGTTGGAAAATCAAATGAGATGGTCAGATCCGGAAGGGTTACTTTAGGCATCCTTTTGTTAGCTATGTTTGATCTTGATGTCAGATGCTAGGTGTAAGAGAGCGCAACATGCTGCTATTAAGCTCCTTGCACATCGTTATATACGCAGACAAATGAGGGGTATACTATGTTCGTCCTTACGCGGCAACAACTGGAGGCTGTAGCTGATCGACCCAAATCTACACGTGAGAAGAGCTGAGATAGAACTCGTTGCGCTTGCGACAAGTAGAATTTGACCCCGTCCCAGATACACGACTGTGGAGCTTCATCCAAGACGAGAACTGCTAGGGAATCAGTCGTTGCTTCCCATCCGCGTGCAGACAACATGACGGAAATGGCGTATCGAAGGTAAACCAAGCATGACATGCGATACTAGTCTGTGCAAAAGGTACTGTGCTGCAAGTCCGGCGATCTTGATGGGACACGGAGTGAGCGAAGACGGGACGTCGCATACGTGGAGGCAGAAACGATGTGTGACGAGCTCGTGCTTGCACAGGGCAAACTTCTGCTCGAGCAGAAAATCACTCAACTACTTCCTTGTGACACTGTCGGAGCGTCCTAATCCGGCAAAGCGTCCACCAATAAGTGAAAGAGTTCGACACTGCCAAGTCAACATCCAACGTCGTGGCTCGCTCGGACAAACGCCCGAAAGTCAGGCAACTTGTCTCAAAGATAATTTCCCGCAACTTCTCCGTCTTTGCATCTGGTCATCGATGCTCAGATAAAAGACAAATCACGCCCATGGATTTTGCCATGCAGTCAGATTGGTTGGCAAACCTCCCTATCCATCCTTCATGCATCCCTTTTCGCTATCTCTCATCTGACAATCTTTCTGATCTCCTATCATGTTGACCAAGTCGTCTGCATCCGATTCATCCGGAGATCAGACACGGAGGACCCTTCCCGAGGAATATGGATTCAAAGATGCTCAGGGCTGGAGACGTTGGCGACTGCTTCGTCCTGGCTGGGGAATGTATCACGATGTCAAACGGAGATTCCCATACTATTACAGCGACATCACAGACGCATTCACATATCGTACTATTGCCAGCACCGTACGAATGTATTTCGTCAAGTAAGCTATATCAAACATTCCACAAAGCTTCTGTTAACGCTCCCAAAGTTTACTCCCCGCTTTGGCCTACACGCTAGACATGTATCGCCAAACCGGTCAATTCTATGGCGTGAATGAAGCTCTTTCTACGTCGGCTTTGGCAGCATTGGTGTTTAGAATCTTAGGCGCTCAGCCTCTTACCATCGTTGGAATCACTGGACTAATCGCCTTGTTCAACTACACCACCTACGATATCATTATGCAGTACGATGCCTCAATCTACCCTCAGTTCATGTGTTGGACTGCGATCTGGGCCGCAATCTTCCATTGGACCGTTGCTTTCTGTAACCCCTGTGATTACATGCGATATGTGACCGACTTTTCCAGCGAGTCGTTCGGCATGTACGTTGGCATCATTTATATGAGTTTGTACCCCCGAACTGACTTGCTATTCCAGTACTGGCAAACTACAGTCAAGGGAGTCGAGGAACTCGTCGCCGAGTCCAGCTCCCATGGTCTCAATGCTGGATACCTTAGCACCATAATCGCGATTCTATACTCCAGTACTGTTTACGCGCTCGAGAAGCTGGGCAACAGCACACTTTGGACACCTAGCATTCCAGGATTGTTAGCCGATTACGCCTATCCTGTATGTCAGTTTCATTGATCTTTTCGTTCTTTACTGATCGATCCTCATAGNCTCGGCACGATCTTTTGGGTTGGCTTCTCACACTTCTCTGGCAATCTGAAGCGAACCGACATTAGCTATCTGCCCATCTCAAGATCCTTCCATTCAACAGCAGATCGATCTTGGTTGATTCACTTCTGGCATCTGGATGTGAGATGGGTGTTTGTCGCCCTTCCTTTCGGTTTCCTTCTGATGCTTCTCTTTTACTATGACCATGTAAGTCGCGCTAAGATATTGTCTGGCTTCTAATGGCTGACCATGAAACTCAGNAACATTAGCAGCATTAGTGCACAGGCACGTCAGTTTCCTTTGAAGAAGCCCGGCGGATTCCATTGGAACTTCTTCTTGCTTGGATGTACCACGTTCGTGGCTGGCATTCTTGGACTCCCTTTGCCCAACGGACTGGTACCGCAAGCGCCCTTGCACACTGATTCTCTGACCGTCTACTTGACTGACCTTCGTATCATCCCTACGGAGGAAGGTGAAGGAGCTGAGATCAGACGACCAGTTGTCCGGGCAGCCTCTGTGGTCGAGCAACGTATCTCGCATTTACTCATGGGTCTCCTGCTTGTCGGGACCATGACGAGACCTCTATTTGTCGTTCTACATACTATGCCTTCTGCCATCTTCGCAGGCGTCTTTTTCATTGTCGGAGTACGTACATCATGTCTTTTACAGGCTTATTCGATCGCTAACGTATTATGCCAGTGGGGATCCATTGAGTTTAACACAATCGTTCAGAAGCTGATGTATCTAATGTCCGAAGATCGCTTTGTACCAAAAGACGAGCCGCTTCGCAAGGTAAGCAAGAGGAAGATCCTGTTCTGGCTCACGCTACAAGGCCTTGGCGTGTCTGCTACTGTGGCCATCTCACAGACCATTGCTGCAATCGGTAAGCACATCTCACTCATTGAGAGGTGTACTAGAAAGTATATAACTGACCTGATTACCCANGGTTTCCCTGTCATAATCATCGCACTGATTCCTTTGCGTACGCACATCATACCTAAATGGTTTGACAAGCAAGAGCTCGAAGTCCTCGATGATTTGACCGCGAACAATCCACGCGTACTTGCAAGTCTTGGAGGGCTTCCTGACTTACCAGAGCGTATCAACATGGATGAGTATGGCGCAATAAAACAGTATGCCGAGAAGCATCAAGGTGTTCCAAGGCAGAGAGCTGGAAGCATTCATCGTTAATGTTCAGGCCACCTTGGCTATGCAACGCGGTACTGGACATAACTAATTATGGAATGATATGCAAAGATTGAAGAATTCACGTACACACGAGTATCTGGTACTATGGTCACGTTGAAGGTCTTTTGGCTCGGCGGATATATTGCGTCTCTAGGGTAGGTACCGTGTCGCATCTTGTTGGCTATACGTACACTGTGTACAATGAAGCCAGACATGCTGACCATTAGCTCCTGATGACATCTTTTGCAGTTTCAAACCTCTTGAAGAGTCGCTGCTGGGCTCGCATAAAGTATCAAGTTGCCACAGTGATATGTCTGAACATCAAGGATCGCATCCTTCCCATCATGGCCGACGACCTAGTCGTACACAAAAGGGAGTTTGGTGATGGAAGGCAACATCTATCATCACACAACTGTATACAACTTGAAGTCCGTCAATGGATTCTCAATCGACGAAATATTTCATGAATACTACTCTACATCGAAATCGCAAGCATACACTCCAGGGTCTACGAGGTATGAGCTTGGGAAGTAGACTGCAGGCGTGGCCAGCCGGCTGGAGTGAGCGGTTATACCTGTCTCTGGCGCTGGTGTCGCGAAGACGACATTCGAAGACGATGTGGCTTCAAGACTCTGGAAGTGTTCCTGCCACCAGGGTTGAAGGTAGTCCTCGGCAACCTTGTTTGTCGATTCGANTGAGTTGAATTGTGGACGGGCTTTTGACCTCGGCGCGATCATTCCTGGTGGTGGCTGTGACATAAATTGTGTTGGCGTTGGTTGCAATGATCTTTGGAACACACTGGGTTGGGATTGCATTGGCAGAGCCTGCCAGGTATTGATAACCGCCTGAGACTCGTCGGAATCCAAAGGGGATCGCTGTGGAAACGTGATGCGATCTGGTTATGCAGACCATGGTTCGGGATGCAACTTTGGTGAAAGCTGGGTTCCATTCTGCGCGTGCTGTGGGCTACCGACAGTCGAAGCTTCGTCGGTATTAGATTGATTTCCATCGGAATAGTCTATTTCCATCTCTACGTCCAATTTCTTGTCTGTCACAGCATCGAGAAGACCCAGGCGATCGAGAATATCATGGACCGGAGGGTTGCCTTTGTATTCTTGGAGTTCCGCTCCCGGCCATGAATTGGCAGCGCGAAGCATGAAGTACATTGTCTGCAACCCGGTCACAAGCTTGAACTGCTGCAACTCGAGAGTTCGCACATANNACTTTACCGATCAGCAAAAGACGATGAACATGAGTAGGATGCCAACCGCTTACTGCTCAGGAAACGTTGTTCGTTTCGATCTCTTGGGGTAGCCAAAAATGCACACAGCATCCGAGGACTTGCACTTTGTGCAAGGGTATCCACCCGAGCACCTTGCTTTCTTTGCTCGACAGCGGTTACAGGCTTTGCTGGCTCGTTGCTTGGGGATGTCACTGGGATTCTGCGCCTTGTGCTGATACATGGTTGACTTCCGAAGATAATTCGAATCTGGCCTCCAGACTTCGAATCTTCTGCCCTGGCATCCAAAGCATGCTATATAAGCAACGCCACCAAAATAGGGACTAGACCAAGCTCATTTGTCGAATCCAACACGAACTGAGAAATTTGCGTCACTCACACGTCTGGGAAGACGCATCCCGGGGCCATTCGTATTACTAGGCAGATTCTGGCCTGTCGGGTCGTGCCTGTTTAGGCTTAGTCCTTCGCTTCGGATTCAAGCTCCGCGCCAGTGCACTCTAGGTCGAGACATATGCCTCTCCATATCTTCTCGAATATTTCGACCATGCTCAACCCCGCTGCCTTCATTGGGTGATCTACTGGCGGTATCGGGTCAAGATTTACTTCCATGGCCTGGCAGTCGAGTTTTGCAAGGAACCTCCCTGATGATCAATGCGTGTCTGACGCATGAACGAGCAACATTGGTGAGCGACCAATCATCGAGTTGTATCGGTACCAAGGTATGATAGACAGCTTTGATATGTGACTAGGATCATCACGGCTTTGACGGATGGCGTTTTCGCGTTGCTGGCAATTCGACAAAAGATCAAACGTCGTCGGAATTGCCGTATGACTGTCCGATGCTCGATGGCAAACAGCATGGTTATTATAAGGTTCGCTGGCTCTTTGATCAGCGAGGCAGAAGGCAGACAGCACAAAATCCCAGTGCCAAGATGTCACTCAAACCAAACTATCAGGTCCCAGAAAGTTTGTTTGATATGGAGTCCACCTTGACCACCACATTCACACACAATGATCAATATTTAGCAGCCTGGATCCCAGATTCTGTCGACTCCATGTCGGTATTGGGTTGTTCGACTGCTAGCGGCTTTTTTCAAGACGATATCATATCGACACCCACGGTTTCTCTAAATTCTGTTGGGCCTTCCTCTGACGAGGGTGTACCCATGCCCAACTTGTTGCCATCGTGGTCGACCGATTTCAACTCATCGAAGTCGTTGACCTCAACTTCAAATCTCACATGGGCCGATGAATCAGGCCTCATCCTGCACGACAGCAAATCCAAATCGACTGGGGATGCTACAGCGGCTCAACCTCAACGAGTTGTCAAGACTCGAGCCCGAGGCCGACCCAGAAAGGGCCTTAGCAAAGATACAGGGGGACCAAAACGCAGCGACAGCCTCGATGAATGTCGAGCTAAGAATCGGAAAGCTTCAGCTCGGTGCCGGGAGAAGGAGCGAGGTCAAGCTGCTGCACTGGAAAAGGCTGTCCAAGAGCAGGAGGAACGAAGTTCGACTCTAAAGCAGACGGCGACAGCTCTGCAAGAAGAATTGTTCTGCTTGCAGATGCAAGCTCTCCAACATGTAAATTGTGGCTGTAGAGATGTCCACAGTTACAACGAGCAGAGAGCCCTAGTTGTCGCTACAGCTTGGGATCTGGTATGAACCAGAACATTCTGCGTTCAAGGTTCTGCCTCTGGTCAACAGGATCTATGTATGTTGTCCGGTTTCCATAAATAACGACTGAATCCATCGGGCTGGAATGGTTGAATAGATCTCATTGCAATCTCGATAGGGTCTCGATGGAGGTTGTCTGTTTCTTGAAAATTTTCGGCATTCTGATAGTATACTATCTTTACGATCTCCTCCTGTGAGATACTGATCTAGGGCCTACCTTCAGGGGTGAGATATGTGGATCTAGCATCCCACGCAGGAATCACTGCTCCATGAACAGCTATCGCATGTCAGAGTAGATTCCGACTTTAGCTGGTGTCCAGAGAGAGCGCGTATTGGGTCCACTCTCTCTCGACGACGATCTGAATTTCGAAGTGCAAGAGCAGCAGACCTGGCAAGCCGCGAAACACTCGACTACAACTTTGAGACCAAGAAGTGGCTCGTTGATTGGGAGCGGAGCGAGGGGAAGATTTGGGACCCGACCTGGGAGCCGGACGATCACCTCACGGCAGAGCAAAGAGGAAGATACGCGTTCGGGACGTATCGCCACCAGGTCAAGATGTCCGCCGTCGCAGGGCACTTGAAGATACGAGGGGAGAGGAAATATGCGGTGAGGCTGCATTGGGAGCGCATCAATTTGACTTGGGTGTGGCCTGGTGGTGTGCGTGGCCGTCGGAAGATTGTTAACGAGTTTGGAAATGTGGGTGAAAGGTTGATCTGGAATCATCAGCAAAGCAGATATGGACGACGAGCTTCCCGAGGACGACAAAAAGGATGATGAGAGCGATGATGAAAAAGTTTGGACCAGAGCAGATCTCAGATGAATAGGGTCTGAACCAGGTCATTGCGAAGAAGCGCAACCTTCAGCCGTCTGCCACGTTCACAACGTAATATCGCACACTTACATCGCAGTCGTGGGGCGCGGCATAGCCGCGCTGGATTCATGCCGACTTTGTAGCATGAACTGGAGTTTTGTTGAAGGAGTCGCAGAGATCAGGTAGCTAAAGAGGTTCTTCTCTTCTTACATACTGTATCATATGGAAGACAAGCTATTCCAAAACAAGAATAGTCGTCAGTCATGTATCGTAAGCCACGAACGAAAGAACTCAAACGTTTCCGAATACGACCGCTCAGCCCCAAATATCCTCCTGGAACTTCCTTGTCTTTTTCTTTGTTTCGTTCCAAGCCTTCGTTTCTTCATCTGTCAAACCCATTCTTCCCTTGACGATAGCGCTGATAGTGTTGTGAACTTCCCTTGCCATAGTTGCTGAGCCACAGATATAGAGGTTCGCATTCGCTTCTGCCAGATTTTCGAACACATTCGCGCTGTCTTCGAGGATGCGCTGCTGTACATAAACCCTCTTGTCTTCGTAGCGTGAGAAAGCGGTCACGATGCGGAGCTGATCTCCCAGAACCGCTTGTAGTTGTGCCAACTCCTCACGGTAGATATAGTCTTCATCAGGACTCCTGCATCCAAAGTAGAGAATCATCTTCCCACAAGTCTTGCCGACTTGTTTCATGCGAGCGCGTTCTTGTATGAAGCCTCTGAACGGTGCGATACCCGTTCCCGCAGCGACCATGACGATAGATTGGCTTGCAAGAGCTGGAAGCTTGAACTTGGACTTGCGGATTTGCGCGTAGACTTTGCGACCTTTGAGAGCAGCATCAGGACCTTGAAGTTGGTACTTATCCTTGTCTTAGACATGATGGGCCAGCATATAGTTCGTCGCTAGGCCAGGGATCGTGATCCGACCGCCCGTGCGATCTTGGATGGCCGTTTGTGCAACGACTGCGGTAATGCTAGGTGTGCGTGGAGAAACCACGGAGGAAGACGAAATTGAGTAATGTCTTGGTCTCATCACCGGAAAAGCGTCCACTAGGAAAGTTAAGGGCAAAGATGTCCAAGGAGTAGGTTCGAGTTCGGGTTCAGAAGTGGTAGAGATCTCGAGCAATCTGCCAACACTGATGTGCGTCACTGTCAGGAAAGCCGAATATCTTGAACGGTCTCGTGATAGATTCTCCAAGAACAAGCGAGAAGATTCCGTTGGCGCAAATTGAGCAAGATGGGCGACCATCTCGCGGGAGACAGGGGCACATATCTCCAAGTAGTATCGCAAAAGTATCGATAGGGTTGTCGGTGTGGGGAGCTTAATCTTCGATCCATCCAGACTCTTGATCGTGATAGGCACATCGGCCTCATGGAGACGGTCTAGCTGCTTGAGCAATCGCTCGACTTCAGCATTAGGGTTGCTAGGCCAGATACTGAGGTGGTCACCAGTCTTGTAGTTGATCTCGGGGAAATCAGAGAGATCCAGTTCAGCATGCAAACAATTTCGATCAGCTGAAACGCCAAACAGCTCTCGCATGTGTTTTATAGGCAAGGATTTGATGGCTGATGATCCGGCCAAGGTTTTGGTATCAACCACCGGCTCTCCTTGGTGGAGGTCGATAGGCTCGAGGGATGTGTCCTGTTCGACTACAAGTGGTGATTCGTATGCCACGTTATGCTCTTGATAACCGAGGGTTTGCGTAAGATGGTTGAAAAACTCTTCTTTCCATGTAATGAAATCTTCCTCAGTCGCGCCTCCAGCATCGTCCGCCTTCCCGGTCGCCATAAGTCGCTGCGCACCACGGGCATCAAGTGACTCCGTGACTACATCGATGACCTTGTTGTAGTACTTGTAGTTGCTGTTGCCAAGTCCAAAGGCAAAGTAACCTAGGTTCTCAAGAGACACATCGGCAGCGCGAATCCAATCCCAGAGTCCAGCGGTATTATCACTAGGGTCACCCTCGCCAAAGGTTGACACGATAAAAACCACCAATGTCTCTCTCTTGAGGTACTTGAGCGTCTCCATGTCGTAGTCAGATAGGTCTGCTACCAAGGCGTCCAGCCGATATCGCAAATGACATTCCTGTCCGAGCCGGTTGGCAAAACCCTCTGCTGTTCCAGACTGAGAGCCCCAGAAGATGACCATTTTATCACTNNCTGCGTCCATGTCAGTGATAGGTTGGGAAGATACTGAGAGTAGTTTGGGTCGTCTCACTGTTTCCTCAAGCTTCTGTGAGATATCTCGAGTCTGTCTGACTCCACCACTGGCTGCAGAATCTGTAACCTGAGGCTTCTCAAACCAAACATGATGATAGGGGTCGGGTCTGTCCCAAGCCTTTCCTTTGAGGAGATATGTGCTCAAAGCAAAACTGCACGCTGCGATTGCAGCATAATCGCCGTAGCCAGTAGGCTTAGGCAAGGCGAAGACAAGTGGGTCGAGCAGAGTTGTCATGGTCAGTCTAGCCTGGACCAAAAACAGGCATGGAGAGCGACCTTAAAGATTATCAAAGAGGGAGCTCTCGGACATTAGGTAGAGACCGGACTTAGGCAGCCAAAGTCGTTGTCCATCGGGTCCAGGCGTATCCCGGTCTATCGTTTCGCAGCAGAAAGCGGGTCACATCGCCGAGCATTATGGTCCTACGTGTGTCATCTTGCCTTGCACCTTCGCTTACCCCACATACTGTCTTCGGTGCATTGAGGTGACGAGTTGCGCAAGGAAGAGCTGAGCGACGGGTACCCGATACATTCTACATTGCTTTTGGCAAGACGGCCCGCAAGGCCTTTAACTTCTAGCCCTGAACCAGAAGCACATTTCCACGATGGTGGGGTAAGTGATGAACTTCCCCGCACGAGTTTCCCCGCTTGAAATCCTTCCGCATGTATCTCTCCGCATTGCCATATCGAGCCATGCCAGGGTGTCAATCCCCGGCGGACGACGCTTCTCGTTGCTTCTCCACTCGACATCATGGCAGGATATCCCGCTAGTAGCCCTCGTCTTTATGCGAAGATCTAAGAGTCGCATTAGGGTCACTTGCCCGATGAGAAAGGCCAGGTCGTCGCCATCGAGTGACTGCGGGGACTAAGTCAGCGAGATGTGTTGTTCAATATCCTCAAGGCACCTTCCTTCAAGATATCTGAGATCAGTCATCTTTCGTTTTCCGTCATCGGATTCTCAAACTTTGCTCATCATGTACACCACACCGCTATCGCTCCTTTGCATCATTTCACTTTTGTCATATTCGATCGTCAGGCCACTATGGGTGTATTTGAGGGATCCCAAAGGGCTTCGGAAATANCCCTGTATTAATCCTCTGGCTGGCTTTACCAACCCCGGATTCATGTGGGAAGCCTACACCGGTTTCCGGTCGAACAAACTCTATGAGATGCACAAGACACATCCAGTCATTCGAATCGGCCCCAATTCGCTCTCTTATGGAAGTGTGAACGCTATAAAGGATATATACGGGCATAACTCGAAGTGCACGAAGGATGTCTTCTACGAGGTACTCTCTGGCACGCATTTCCATCTCGCGGATGTCGTCGATAAGGCTGAGCATGCCCGGAAAAGGAAGATGATGTCTAGCGCATATGCTCTGAAGAATCTGGAAGGGTGGGAGTACAAGGTTGCGGACAAAACAGATCGATTCATCAAAGCATGCGATGCCCATTGCACCGCGCCTCTTTCCGAGGGTCACGTCCTTCCAGATCCGCAAGATGTGAAATTCGACTATCGAGCATACAGCAACTTCTTCACTCTGGATGCAATCGCCGACATTGGCCTCTCGGAAAGATTGGGCTTCCTAGATGCTGGTAGCGACAAAGTCGTAGGCGAGAAGATGGATGGTACAGTTTACGAAGTGGAGTCGTACCGCGCAGGTCTTCACGCTACTGCCAAAGCACAGAGCCTTCTTGTTTGGGCTACGGAGTGGTACGACTTCAACAGCAAGTACGTTTCGAAGATCCTTCCAAGCTTTCGTAAGATGTGGAAGCTCAATGAAGGCTGGAACGATCTGGTCTACCACAGGGCCACGAAACGCCTCGCACGCTATCGTGCAGGCGAGAAGCTTGACGATTTCTTCCAAGCACTCATGGAGGATAAGAACGGCAATCCCAACAACCTTGAATGGGGTGAAGTGGTCGCGGAAGTCAGCATCATGCTCAATGCGGGTTCCGACACCACCGCCCTTGCCATGAACAATGTAATGGTCTGGTTGTTGAAGAACCCAGATTGTCTTGCTCGCCTTCGTGAGGAAGTTGACGCTGTCCTCGAACCCGAAGAGGTTGTCGCTCCGTATGATAAGGTCAAACACCTTCCTTACCTTCGCGCCTGCCTGGATGAGTCACTGCGTGTCACACCTTCGACAACTTTCGGTCTACCGAGGCGCACCCCTCCTGGAGGCTCAAGGATCATGGACGAATGGATCGAGGGTGATACGACAGTCTCTATCTCAGCATACGTCGCACATCGCGATCCTATCGTCTTCCCCGAACCTGAAAAGTTCAATCCGGACCGATGGTTGGGAGAAAAAGGCAAGGACTTGCAGCCGTACTTCATAAGTTTCAGTACTGGCTCTCGGGGCTGTATTGGTCGCAACATCAGTTATCTCGAACAGACTGTGCTCCTTGCCAGTGTTGTTCATAGGTACGACTTTGCTTTGCCTCATCCCGGGTGGGAGCAGGACAGGTGGGAGACCACGAATTTGATGGCGGGTCCTTTGCCCTTGAAGGTCTGGAGGAGAGAACTCAGTGTGGCTAAGATCTAGCGCGACGGTATACAGATTGATTTCTCAATAGCACGCATGTATTGCATTATTACAAGCGACTGTGTCCCATACTATCATGTACTACTGTTATAGATAGCCAAGCGGTACACGCCGATAGAGTCACCAGTCTCTTCTGGACGTACGCGACTCGCAAAGCGCCCTAGCTCAATCAGTGTAGGATGGCGGCCAGTCAAGAGCATAATATCAAGACGATAAGTTATTGAGCACCTGGAGCTGACTGATTGACATAAAGTGGAATGTGTTAAAGGTGTGGCCTGCTGCAAAAGATTCACGGACCATATCCCCCAGTCAGCTCGGATTTCTGCACAGCCAGTGGACTTCCTCGGTTGATCTGACCCAGAAGTATGGATTACCTGTTTTACTAGTGCGCGTTGTGGTGGGATTCTCCTCCAGAAGGAGTCTTGGCTGGGGGCAGGGACGATCCCCGTCTTTACCGCAACTCTCGTGCGGAGCAACTTGCCTATCACGTCTCAGACCCCGACGGGACAACTTACCGCATCCAGAAACACGCTTTGTGACAGCATATGGCAGCCGTGGATCTCGGGAAGGCTCCCTGATTGTTGACATTGGATCCATCCAAGCTAGCATGGAGCTGATAAAGAGTAACAAGCTCGCTCGCAGCATAATATCTCCTGTCACTTCAGTATCAACGTCTCATCACGCGATTCGCTTGCTTGGATAGCCACAAGCATGGTTCGAAAGCTCAATATCGCATGTGCAGGTCTTGGCCGGATGGGAGCTAGACACGCTCTACATTTCCTAGANAAGTAAGAAAAGGCACACATCCCTGCGATCGCTGCGCACAAGCTCATCGGTCCCTTAGAGACTCCGCGAGCAGAGCTGGTCGCTGCCTTTTGCCCTGCTGAGGCTGAATCCGAAGTCGCATGGTACACCCAACATCTTGCGCCATTCGGAGTAAAACTGTACAACGATTATGATGAGATGCTCAAGCATCCAAAACTCCAGGCTGTCGTGGTAGCAACTGTGACGACTGTTCATGCAGAGCAAGCCATCAAGGCGATCGAGGCGGACAAGCACGTGCTGTGCGAGAAGCCTTTGAGCACGAGCGTAGACATTGTATGTTGGATGAAATGCATGTTCCACTTTGGGTAGTTACCGATACTGACACTCAGTCTANNGTCACAGTCGGTGGTAGACGCCGCGAACAAAAGGCCCCACCTCAAAGTCATGTGTGGATTTTCCCGGCGATTCGATGCCTCCTACCGCGATGCATGGAACAGGATGGACAATGGATTCATAGGGCGAGCCTCTGTTCTCCGATCCCAAACCTGTGACAAGCTCGATCCTTCGGGATTCTTTGTCGAGTACGCACAATTCTCTGGCGGCATCTTTGTCGACTGCAACATCCACGATATCGATCTCGCTCTATGGTACTTTGGCCAAGATAGTATCGTCAAGAGCACTTATGCAGTAGGGATCACTGCCGTCCAGCCCGAGCTGCGCAAGTACAAAGACGTGGACAACGGTGTTGGTGTTGTCGAGTTCTGGGGAGGCCAAATCGCATACTTTTACAGCAGTAGGATCATGGCCGCTGGTCAGCATGATATGACCGAGATCATTGGTACAGAGGGAAAGCTCACGGTCAATGCCAATCCATTGGGAACTTTGGTCGAGATCTCGGAGCCGACTGGTGTCAGAAGGGAGATTCCGCCGCACTACTATGGTCGTTTTGCCGAAGCTTTCGTCACGGAGGCCAATGAGTTCACCGCCGCTTGCTTGGACAATAGCAAGCTGCCGTTTAAGCTTAGCGGAGCTGTTCAGGCGGTGAAAATTGGCTGTGCTCTGCAAGAAAGTCTGAACAGTGGCAAGAAGATTGAGTTCGACGAGACTGGAAGACGTATTGAGAAGGCTGCGCTATAATCCACTCAGACAGATAGAATCCAGTACCATATATGAACAGACATCATGCCGACTGGTAAAGTCATCAAACCATACTGAGGAGACGGAGAGCGTATCGCGCTGGCAATCGACTTTGGACAAGATTGGAGACACCATAACAACCTGAATATCCATGGTAAAAACTTCATGCAAGATATAAGATATATAATAAGACACATGGAACAAGATTGAGTTCTCAGAGAATTAATGGGACCAGCTTCCATGATGTTGCTGCGGTCTGGCGTTGTCCATCTTGTGGGTGCTACAAGCACCCTGCCCCACCCTCACGAATTATCCCCTGTCGCACCGAGTGCCTGTTCTGGCTCCTGGAAGGACATGGTGGAATTGGACCTATATCTCCCATCCGACCTTGTGACCTCGAACATCGAATAACACTTAACTTTCGAGGTCATAGTCCTGTCAGCTCACAGTCGATACTCCAAAGACTCGTATGCAAGATAGACACAAAGTCAATTGAAACAATTCTGGTGATATCTAGCCGACTTCAACTCCAGCCCCATGCTTCTTTGAGGTTTTCCCGAGCGATCAGAGTTGACCATCCATGCTCAACCTCGCACGTTTCCAATATTCGAACGAAGGCTTCCTGCTCTCTGGTCTGTGTGAATTTATCGCCGGCCATTGTCACTGCCATTGAAGCGGTCACAAAGTTTGGCGGCGTGCTACTGTTGCTCATCGCAAGTCCGCAAAGCATCCTGGTGTGATGCTTGATCTCATTGTCCATCTCTTTCAATGCTGTTGCGCGTCGGGACCCGAGTTTGGGTATTGTGGGGTTGTACGCTCTCAACAGAATGAGAGTGAGATGATAATGCTGTATGCCCGTGACAGCGGTATCTGAGAGATACATGATTTCTGGAAAAACGGCTCCAGAGTCGGCATCAGCATTGCGATAATATATAGGGGTGAAACACGNGGGTATGAACAGCAGCCAATTTTCAGCGTACCGTAGGAGCTCTTCAAATTGAGCTGCCGTTCGGTCAAGCTCACGAAGTCCAAAGCACCATTGTATGGTCTCTGCACAATGGAGAATCATTCGATTTGCCCACGTGCCTTCGTCCGCCGCCCCAAATGAGCGATCGACGCTGCAATACTGCAGGGGAAAGAGAATCGACCGCTGAGTGACGAAAGCGACATAAATTTCCTGCCGAAGACCAATCCAGAAGGCAGCAAGTCGCAGACCCCCTGTGACCGCGGAGATCTCTTGCGCACTTATGAAGGCATGAGCTCCGACCAGATGGCCTGCGCCGTCTAAGTGCAGTTTACCTGAAAGTGGCACGTCGATTTCTTCGAGATAGCGCAGAATGACAGTACTAGCCAAGAGATTCTCGTCCAATACTGCAGTCTCATCGCTGAGTATCGGGATGAGATGTTGAATACACTTTTGATGGTATCTGTCTGCGATATGAGGGTCCTCACCACTGACGCGGCTGAGATGACGGGCGGAGGCCGCGAGGATAGCATTCATCAAGATAGGGTCGTTCATAGCCCGCTGAGGCACGATGTTGCGGAGATGGCACGAAGGATCGGTGAGATCGAACGAGATGGCCAGCTGATTGACAAAATAACGTAAAAGCCGCGCTTCTTGAGGGTCGACGAGTAGGCCTTCTACGATATAGGAACATGAGTGGGATGTGGCAAAGGGGTAAGCAGTCCTCGATTGACCCTTGCGGTATCCAATGCTTGCGCTTTCGGGATCTGCAAGCTCCATACTGATACTCGGTCCCGATAGTAGAGAATGTGATGGCGATTTGTGGGGGCCGAACCCAGCGCGAGAGGCAGGAGAAGGCAGGCTGCAGGATGACGGTGCGACATCGCAATACAACGAACTACCAAGCATGCGACTAGGTCCGTGTGATTCGACTCCATTTGGCTTGTCAAGTGTATCGAACTCGATAGACAAGTGATCAGAATGATAATTCGTGTCTAAGCGAAAGTCGCGTTCACTTACAGTGCCATGTCGAGTTTCCACGTCCTCGTCTGCGTCCTCCTGCTCTGAACCTCCCGCAGCGGAGTCGTCACTTTGGTTCCCTGGCCGTTGAAAATCCTCGTCGATGGTGTCTAGTACGACACTCCACTGTGATTGAGATAGACCTGCAGCAGCATTATCGCCAGCTGGCCGGACTGAGGCATGGGTCGGACTTCCGTCGCTGGACGCCTTATTATCGACATGCGTGCCGTATATCGCTATCGTGTCCCGTGTCTCGTCAACGAAGCTCAAGTCTCCTCTAGTTGATACCCATGGCTGGCTGTCAACGAAAGATTTCTCTGACCCTCTTGCTGCGCGGACACTTGAGAGCTCAGTACTTCTTCCGTCAGGGTGGTGAAATGAGTCGTGCGGACGTACGTTGGATTGAGATTATGGCAAAAACGAATATTCAACAGGCGAACGCATTCAATTCTTGACGAGACGCATCTCGCACAACTCGGTTGCTCGTCGTCACCTGAGACCAAACAAGTAAGTAAAGGAACCAAAGCGCTACCACGCTTCACATCAATCAGCAAGCCAACAGTCCACAACCCCTTGATGGTCAAAGGCTACGACTTTGCGTGTCCAGCATCTCCCCGGACGTGATTGTCAACGACGTAAGACTAGAAAGTCTACATGTGCCAGTCCAAGACTTAACACTGCCACTGACTGAAGGGCTGCCGATGGAACTTTTTGCGACATGGTTCGTGCGCACCTACACTTTACATGCCGGAGCTTGCAATTCTACCACACGATTAGCGGCTGTCGGGACGAGACCATAGCCCGACGTCGACTCACCTGACAACCAGTTTTCGCTCGGGCTGGTGCGCTCGGGGGAGACATGGCAAGCCGCCGATGTCATATCTACTCCAGATCTCCACTCGGACAAGACAACTTGCGACCTTGCAGTGATCAGGAGAAATTGATTGATGCAGAAAGAGGAAAGAAGGACGAGGCACGACCGAGCGGGCAGTGATGTCTCTTTAGACACTTTCAGGAAGGCACCGCCGCGGCCTTCAACATGTATCAAGACCCACGTCCGAGCTTTGTCTGCCCAAAAGCGGGGTTGACTTGCCCTATCTTGACCATCTAGGAAATTTCGCCCGATGATGACGGACGGACTATGTGGTTCTACGTGCATGCGACCTCCGCATAGTAGCCTCGCGCTGTTTCCCAGATATCTCGCCAAGGTGTGTCGCCGGCCGGCGCGCTTGACCGACACGATGTCTGGGGTACCCCATGGGGGATGTTACGGATACCTAATCATCTGTTGTGGCGGTAGGTCGTCCTCACGAAGAGTCCGTGCATGTGATAACGCAATAGAGACGGAGTTATAAGACCTCGCCGGTTCCCTTCGTGGCCAATGTCTCAAAGAAACTTGTGAAACCACCATTCTATTCACATTCTCGCATTGTCTTCTAAGTCCATCTCAGTCCGACAACCATCCCTCTTGACAGCCAGAATGGGTCTCATTGGCAAAAATAACGAGAAGACCGGCTCTGATTATGTTGAACATGTCGATCTGCAGCAGAACTCGCTTGATAATCTCGACACCATCGAAGACACCAAGACTGGCAAGTTCGCATGGCTCGTTTCCATCACAGCAGCGATTGGTGGTATGCTGTTCGGATACGACACGGGTATCATAAGGTCAGTGAGAGGCACGCAAAAGACTCTTCCGCTCAGCAACTCACGCTTCCACAGCGCCGTCCTAGTATACATTGGGAAATCTCTGGACCACAAAGTCTTGACTTCAGGCGAAAAGGAACTCATCACATCTATCACATCGGGTGGAGCCTTCTTTGGTGCTATATTCGCTGGTCTAACGGCTGACAAGTATGGACGCAAGCCAGCCATCTATGTTGGGTGTGTTCTGTTCATCATCGGAGCGATCTTACAGGCTGCATCGTTCGGTCTTGCTCAAATGACAGTGGGTCGCCTTGTTGTAGGATTTGGTGTTGGAAGTGCAGCTATGATTGGTATGTCTAGCCCTCGTTGCCCAAGATCATATCATCTGATCAAAACNATAGTGCCCATGTATATCGCGGAGGTGTCACCAGCCAAATACAGAGGCCGGATGATTGGTTTAGACAACATGTCGATCACTGGCGGTCAGCTTATCTCGTATGGTATCGGTGCTGCGTTCGCTAGCACGCATGGAGGTTGGCGATATATGGTGGGAGGCGGCGCAATTCCCGCGATTGTGCTATGTGCCCTCCTACCGTTCTGTCCCGAGTCTCCCCGCCAACTCCTCTATCACGGCAAAGAAGATGAGCCTAAGACTGTCATTCGCAAGATCTACCCTAATGGAACCGAAGAACAGGTCAACCAGAAATGCGAACACATCAGAATACACATCGAGATTTCCAAGCAGATGACTGCGGGCAAGAGTCAATGGTGGGTGTTCAAGCAACTCTATGTTGTGCCAGCAAACTTCCGCGCCTTGGTCTCGGCATGCGGTCTTATGGCCATCTCTCAGCTCGGTGGTTTCAACTCTTTGATGTATTATTCTTCAACGCTTTTCGCACTTGTTGGCTTCTCTAACCCAGTTGCTGTGGGTACTGTCATTGCTGGGACCAACTTCTTCTTTACTTGGGTCAATCTTATGCTTGTCGATCGTGTCGGACGTCGCCGAATCCTTCTTCTCACCATGCCATTCATGGGTCTGGCTCTCATCCTTGCTGCCATCGCTTTTCACTGGATTCCGGTCAACCACGACTTGACTCTGAAGGCTGGTGTCAGTGTCGGCATTCCAGCGAAGTTGGTTCTCGTCTGCATGGTTATCTATGTTGGCTTTTACTCCTCCGGTATGGGAAACACCGCATGGCTTAGCTCCGAGTTCTTCCCAATGGAGATCCGAGCCATGGGAACGATGATGTTAACCATGACGTGCTGGAGCTCCAATGTCATCGTGGCCAGTACGTTCCTTACCCAGATGGAGAATACCACGCCTTCCGGCGCCTTTGGATTCTACGCCGCGATCTGCATTCTGGGCTGTTTTCCATGCGTTTACTTTTGCTACCCAGAGGTCAAAGGTATGACTCTAGAAGACATTAGAGAGATCTTCTCTCATGGATTTGGCGTCCAGAAGGCGCGAGAGCTGCAAAAGGCGCAAGAGCAAGTCTCTAGCTATAGAACAGATGAGAATGAGTTGGTCTAGACACACACAACATGTAGGTCAACGAGTAGAAGCCTTGAATAGTAGGAAGAATCATGACTTTGGATCTGCACCACTATGTATCACGTCCTAGAGTGAGACTTTCTTACTAACCACGCTACTATAGTATGTAGTATTGTACGAACTCTTACATCCGACACATGTGTTCTTCTGCAAGATTGAAATCAGGGCCACGATGTAAGACCTTGACACTATTGAGGACAGCTAGATGATAAGCATCAGCGGAAAAGACTGACTTGAAACTTGCTAGGTAGCCCCCTTAGTGCATCGATGTTTGCCGATCTCGAAACTGCAAGTGTGACGCAAGTCGAGGCGACGAGAAGTCCGCGCATCTTTGCAGCAAGCACGACAAAAGCGTGTGTCCAGACTCAGAGGGCCACGCATGTGGCAGTATAATTTCTCTAAGTGTGCTAAAGTCTGTAGACGCCAACCATTTCCCATAAAAATGTTGAACGAAGTATATGCTATAGAAAGGCACAGTTCTCTTTCAAAGCAGAGGGCCAGCCATAGAGAGCCGCCGGCATGCTGGCTCTTGATGGATACTACTCAGTTTCTACTTACCACTGTGCATTTCTATATCCACAAACGGTATATATTCTAGCACACAGGGAGGCAAGGAATCAACTTTAGTCCTGATCAGTGGCCCCTGACATTCGACCGCTGTCAGCTTGCGCGTCTTCCACATGGTGGCCGGGGATAAAAACTGTCGCTAACGCTCGTTCGTATGGTGACATTTACATACCGACAGGAGAGTTCCAACGTCCGACTCAACGCATGTCCAACCTGACCTGAATGGATTGCCAACGCGGACGAATACTTTTCAGCTGAGCCACATGCCTTGGCAGAGATGAATAGTGTTGACATGCTGTAGTCCTACCCTTTTCGTCAAACACCGCTTCATCAATCCCCCGAGGCGCAAGGGGCTCGTATCTGCCGACCGATAGAGTTTAACGGCGTCGTGTTGAAAGATGCCGAACTCCAGGCTCTTTCCCCATGCTCGACGACACCCTGCACCTGCGATACAGCACTCCTGCGATTGCAAGTCCGATCAATGACAGTTAGCTAGTCCCATCAGCGCGTTCACCTATCCGGCGATGCGCATGGTTGAATCAACTTCCTCCAGGTTCAAGACTCCAAAGATGACTCGCAGCACGTCAACCAAACTCGACAGCTGTGACTCCCATGCGTCGTACCAGCCGACAGACGCCGTTTCGAAAAGTCTTCAACATGTCGAACCGCTGTCATGCTACGACCACGACCAGCCATCCCTAAACTGAGTTCTCGGATTCATCTCCACGACCTCAGCTGAAAACCAATGCAATTATACCGTTCTCAAACCATCGGGTCTACTGTTTTGGGGTTGAACTCCTCGATAGGAGAACGGCATGCGATGGGGGCATATAACACGCCATGGTTTCTCCCTAATTGACAAGACAAGAAATAGTTCTTCGACACACTGAGAGCCTTGAGTTCTCTCCACACTCGTTTATTTGTTTGCTTGTTCGTCGGTCTACCATGGTTCTTTCTTTGCTTGCTCTGGGTCTGCTCGGCCCTGCCGCCCTTGTCGCAGCTTCGCCCCAAACCATCACCCTAACACGCACCGAGTGGCAGACTGTTACTTCCTGCCCTGTCGCGACCGTCTCGCTTTGTGCCGCCTCTTGCAACGCAAATCCCTACACCCTTGGGATCAACGTTGGTTATGCCACCGACAACACCCCTGTCACCACGGCGACCGTTACTCGATCTGTAATCCCTTCTCCCAGCCAAGGATCAAGCAATGGTCCTGGCTCTGGTCCTGGAAATGGCAATGGCTCTGGAAACAACCAAGGCTCCAACAACGGAGCTGGAAACAACCAGGATTATGCCAATGGTTCTGGTTCCAACAATGGTTCTGGCAAAACCATCACTGTGATTGAAGGCAAGACTATCACAATCTATGGAGGCTCCACCTCGACCCTTACTGCCGGAGCTGTGTATACCACGGACGTTGTATATCCCTCTTCCGTCACTTGCTCAGCAGGAGAGACCGTCATCATTGAGAATGAAACTCTAGTCATCACTCAGGCCACGACCATCTACGACTGTCCTTGCACCAAGGCTGCAACTTTGACAGTGGGTGCGGCATACACCACTCAGGTAGTCTACCCATCCTCCATGACTTGCAATGGTGGTGAGACCATCACCATCTACGGAACAGAAACCGTTGTTGCTGGCCCCACCGTCATTACAGACTGTCCCTGCACCAAGCCCACCACTCTTTATGTCCCGGGCCCTACAACCACTTTGCCCGGAACCACGATTACTGGAGGCGCGGCTTCATCCTCAGGCGCTTCGGTCCCAGGCTCAACAGCTTCAGATGGTGGTGCTTCAGGATCCGGCGCAGCGTCCAGTGCAGTCGTCTCTGGCTCTTCGTCTGCTGCTGTTAGCGGCAGCGCGAGCTCAGGAAGCAACCCATCGGGCACTGCCACTGCTGGCTCCTATCAGACCGCTGTCGACGGCATCAACTTCCTCGTTCAGAAGGGTGTCAACTACAACGGTACTCCTCTGAACATCATGGCTAAAAGACAAGCTGCCAACACACTGTCAACCTGTCTGAACACCTGTGCTGGATCTTCCCTCTGCGTCGCAACTTCATTCAACACAGATACCTCCGCCTGTTTATACTTCAGCGCTGTTGACCAGAGCAGCCGCCATGCCCAAAGCGAAATCACTTTCGCTATTGCTACCTCTCGTCTCGCTGTTCAGTCCTCCTCGGTCGCACCTTCGGCTTCCGGAAGTGGTGTTGCTTCTGGCTCGGCCAGCATCGCCTCTTCGACCTCGGGAGCTGCAAGCATGTCTTCTGTATCCGCCTCGAGCATGAGTGCGTCTCTTCCAGGCTCCGCTGGCCCCACAAGTGCATCGCAGTCCGGTTCTTCCATGATTGCGTCTGTTTCAGGCTCCGCTGCTCCTACAAGTGCATCGCAGTCCGGTTCTTCCATGTCTCAAGGCGGATCGCAGTCAAGCTCTGTAGCTTCCTCCGCGTCCCAGTCCGGTGACGGCTCATTCACCGTCGGCTCATCCACCGTCGGCTCATCCACCGTCGGCTCATCCACCGTCGGCTCTGCCAGCGCTTCGTCTCAGTCCGCTTCAGGCTCTGGTTCTTCCATCCCGTCATCGCTCGGCTCTTCGACCCAGTCAGGCCCAGGCTCGTCAATGCCCTCATCTCCCGGGTCATCTACAGAGTCAACTTCCTCGGGAACCATCACCTCTGCTTCCAGCGTCATCACCAGCGCCTCTTCTTCTGGCACGGTCTCGGCATCGTCCAACATGACCATGACCAGCGCGGCCCCTACTTCGGCGCCTACTCTGGAGGTGTCAAACCAGCCTCTGCCTGCTTGTGGTAATGCAAACGGTACATCAACTCAACAATGCTCGGATGACTCGGGCAATGTCTACGCCGTCACTGGCGGTACGGCTTATGTTGGCGACTCATTCAACACTTCCGACACTACACTCGACGATGACGGCAACGTTGTCAGCGGAAGTCCAGCGAAATTAAAGAAGCGTGCTTTCGCACCGTCCCTCCGCGCCTGTCTGATCTACTGTGATCGCTTCCAGGGTTGCAAAGGTGCCAACTTCTTCAACGGTGGCCAATGTACTCTGTTCAGCAAGATTACTGGCACTGCTCGCAACCCCAATGCATTCGCAGCCATCTTTGTCGCTACAGCTCAGCAAGCAGCTGCATCAAGCTCTCAATACAGTGCCACTGCAACCATGACCTCGTCTTCTGCTTCATCTTCCGACGTATCTACTTCAGCTAGCATGACATCTTCCTCTGTCGCCGTATCTTCGTCTTCGGTAGTCTCAATCTCCTCCACAAGCATGGTTGTCTCGACTTCGAGCGCATTGACTTCCTCATCCGGTGCTACTCAATCGACCAGCGAGGTCGTCTCCTCTACTGCTTCGAGCTCTGCTTCCTCTGGCGTCATCAGCTCTTCCAGCTCTGCCAGCTCTTCCAGCTCGATGCCATCTGGTTCAGGAAACACTACCTCAAGCGGTTCTCCTATGAGTACCATGTCGAGCACCTCAGTCGCCTTCCCCGCTGGCAACACGACTTCGACTGCTGGTCCCACTGCCTCGACCGATGTGTTTACCTCTTCTATGATTGGAACCTCAAGCTCGGCTGCTTCCAAATCAGGTGACAGCACGACGACCAGTGCTACTTCCTCTGCATCTAGCTCCTCTAGCTCAGCTGTCTTCACCATGGGCAACAGCACCCTGACTAGCGCTGGCCCCACTGGCACTGGCTCTTCTAGTTCATCCAAGATCTCTTCTTCTTCTTCAATGACCTCGTCATCCACGTCTACATCCATGGAGAGCAGCAGCAGTGCTCCATTCCCCAGTGGTAATGGAACCTCTTCTGCTCTCTCTACCGGAGCTATGACTACATCCTCTGTTTTGAGCTCATCTAGCTCTGCTCTCTTCACCATGGGTAACAGCACCGTCTCATCGACGGCTGGCCCCACTGGCACTGGCTCTTCTAGTTCATTCGAAACATCCTCTTCCTCCTCGAAGACCTCTTCCTCGTCGTCCGCATCTGCATCAAGCAGTGCTCCATTCGCCAATGGTAACTCTACGTCTTCTGCGCTCTCCACTGGTGCCATGACGACCTCCTCTCTCTTGAGCTCCTCGAGTTCCGCTGTCTTTACCATGGGAAACAGCACATCTAGCACTGCTGGCCCAACTGCTCCCATCACCTCCATGTCATCGTCCAGCTCCCCGATTGCCTCCAGCTCGTTGAGCAGCGCCATGTCTGCCATGAGCAACAGCACAACAACTGCTCAGGAGACAAGCTCCATGCCAACGCTCTCGAGCTCGAGCAGCGCTCCCTTCCCCATGACAAACTCTACCAGCACCACAGCCAGCATGCAACCCACATCTGGCTCGGTGGCACCATTCTCCAACTCTACAGTGCAGCGCCGCGCTAACCTCGAGTACTTCCTTGCCGGAGGCTCTCAGTAGATAGTTGCCTTGTTACGGTTTTCCTCTATGTCTTCCTCTTCTTCTACAAGTAATAATTACAAATCCCTTCCATTCTCAAATCCTTTTGTTTGTTGAGGTCTATTAGATATTACATGTGTATTCCAATTCCATTACTGCCTCAGATCGACTCTAGCTTGGTGCATCACACAGAATTCCGGTCTCGAATGTGCTCAATTGTATACCGAGATCTCTGATCCTTTGCCAAGATGTGAACGTCACTTGTCGATTGCGAACGGCGCTCAAGACATATCTTCGCGTCTCAAGACATGCTTCTTTACCAACTTTTGCGACCACGCACACTTTCCAGGTGCTAGACTGTTGAAAGCATCAACAGGCTTCATATTGCTCGATGACGTACATCCCCTACGCCTGCGAGTGCATCGACTCGAGTATACCTGTTTTCGCCACAGCTCTGATCAATCATGAGGTATGATTGTTGATGTTTCTTGTAATGGTGTCCCGCATCAGAGTCACAATTTGACCATAGTTTCTAGCTGCTAACNNCCAGTTCTTCGAGCAGAGTGATGCAGCATGTCAACGTTGCGGATACTCTTCACCTCAAGCAACTCTGGTTACCTCCAAAGAGATCTCGGCCATCACTTCTGAAACCGTATCACCTGTTCCATCCCATCATGTCCAAGCATCGCCATTCCTCGGATATTTTTCGCTCCAGATTATTGAGTTTACTATCGAAAGACTGGACGGAACAGATCTGTCGCCAACAAACATGATCATTCTCGACGAGCGCACGAACAATGACCGCACGTGTTTGCTTCTGCCCAAGGATGAGATGAGAAATGATACACGGGCATACATGCAAGTGCGCTCGGACGTTGAGTCAAGCGTCATTGCGTTGAAGACAGTTGAGACTGGATGAGGTGATACGGATGGGCAGTTGAACATAGAGTACCCAGGATCGGATGGAGTGTTGAGGATCTCGGGCAGGGACAAGTGATGTAACGGTAGTATTCAAGAGACTGTAACGTAGGTCTGAGAGGATGAGATGGGCGGTACAGGGGACAAGACACTGGCACTCTTTCGGCTCTATTCATCAGCCAAAGTATGCAATCATTACAAGACCTTGATGGGACCAATGAGATCAGTTCCACTGGTTGTGCTTCTTCGTTGACACAACTCGTAATCGATTTTCATACACTTTCCCTAGAGTCCCATCGCTAACAATTAGAATCTTGCATCTCCTCAGCTCGATGATGTTACATCGTTTGGATAAAGATGAGGTCGACATTGGACTCTCTAAATTCAGCATCGGCGAAAGTTGGCCGGCCGTGCCGCATGAAAGAATCCATAGCAAGCGTGTGCTTATGTATAGTAGCGGCGAAATCTAGCCGGTCAGCCTGCATGATGGAATTCCATGCGAGGTCGTGACCAATCAGATTTCACGGAGTAGTAGATTCTCTTGGAGGAATGTTCCGAGTCGAGCCTCAACGAACAACATCCCTCATGCTGGTCCTTTGCTTGATTATATTGCGCATGCGTCGACATACCATCCTTCTATGTTCAACGGGCATAGATGAGGTCGGCATCCTGCGGAATACTATTCTTTGCTCAAATTTGTAAGCTATTGTCACTAGAGCATTTACTTTGCAGCATCCAGTAGACAGAAATATCATTGATTGGTCGTTTAGCTGCAGACATCACAAGTTGGTCGCAGTCTCGTTGGCAATCCATGGATATAGATTGCATCCGCGATTTGATGCAGACGCTCTTCGTATCCGTCGCGCAGGGTGTCATCGCTTGGAGGAGTTGGAAATGTTGCCGTAGGATGCGTGCGTGCGACGTGAGAGAAGTCGAGTCTATATAAAGTCGACATAGTTCCTCGCTGGAACATTCATCTCAGACACACAATTGATTTCTTACCCATCAACCTCCTTGTCAACTTTCGAAGTACTGAGTTCTCCACTCACTTGTCGCAAGTACTTAGATTTACTGACTGTATGCAGACAACAACATGTTCAGCCACTCCATTATCCTCAGCGCTGCTGCAAGCCTTGCCCTCCTCAGCAACTCTGCCACCGCTCTTGCCATGCCTGAGTCGGCCGGTACTCTGGAAGCAAGAGCGACTACTCCCCTCAGTGTCGAATCTGCCTGCAACGTCTTCTACGGAGACAGCTTTTCTGCTCAGACCATCGGAAATGGTTGCAACGACTGGGTCTGCGTCCGCGGCAACGAGAGATACGGCGTCGATTTGAACGCCTGGTGCCAGAACGGGTTCGGCGGAAGCGCTTATGCTACCTGCGGTAACGGAGTCTACAGCTGGGTGTGCAACCACTGAGTCAGACCTCTGACTTTTACGCCCAGCTTGATGGGTTACTGTCGCTTACGAAACTACTCGGACTGAGTTCTTGGGATGCAGGGGAGGTGGACGGGGCAAGTTGCACTTGGAGAGGGAAATGGTTGCATTCATGAGGCTATCTTTGATCACGCAGTGGTACCAATAGTCGGATCTAATTACATGATGTAGCTCCAACTCTTTCTGCTCCTATGATGTGCCAAAGTCTGATGCTTGATCTGACTTGCAAAAGCAGTCGTGAAAGTCTCTTCATTGACTTTCGCAGATCGAGGTCTCCTCCGAGTCGGTCGAGAGAGCGGCGACGCCAGAAAGTGTGGCATCGGTACCGTCGGTAGAGCTCCTGACAGTGGAAATCTCATTGCCAGTCTTCACATCTTGAGCAGCCGACTCAGGAGAATGAGGCAAAACCTCCTGCGATCTTGAGGACTCTTTGGCGGTAGCATCGGCGGTGTCGTTGGTGTCGTGGGTGTCAGGGGCGACAGGAGCCTTGCACCCGGGAAGGGGGACGTGTCTGGGGAGGACTAGGATATGTTCTTCGGCCTCAGAAGAATCAGAGTCGTCTATAGAAGTTAACGGGGAAATCCAAGGAAAGATAAGAACACGACTTACTGTGCTTTGGAGCAGCGGAGCTTCTCGCGCTGGCGCTGGTGCGGGTTGGGCGTTGTGTACGAGTTGTGCGAGTCACGCGAGAAGGGGTCGAGCGAGGAGTAGGAGCCCTTGCAGCTCTGTGAGGGTTGCGACGAGCTGGAAAACAGTATGTTCAGTATACACCAGGAGTAATCATACTTGTGGATGCTCACGCTGACACTGGGAAGACATCTCGAAGATGCGTAGAGGAGGTGACGGAGGTTGAGGGCTGTTGGAAAATAGTGGTTCGAAGACAGAGGAGACGCAAAAACAAAGGAGCATGGGCGACGGCGACGGAAACGATTCGACGGAACGCAGAAGTGAATGCAGCAGTCAACAGCTTACCGTGATCGACGAGCTCGAAAGATCCCTGTCTTTGACTCTTCTCGGCGCACGAACAACAAACTCACCTACCTCGCACACATTACAACAAACACCTTACAACATGTCACCAAAGCACGACTCCCACACTCCCGCTGCTCAGGAAGACTCTGACGTATCTGCTCAGACCTTGAACTTCATCATGCTCGCCGAGCAAATCGCCGACCCTTCCTACACCGGAAAGCTCACAAAGCCGGATGGAAACACCTTCCCCTTGCTCGCGGCTATGAGATCAAAGGTCTCCCCAAGCCCGGCAAGTACGATCATGTCGACCTCTTCCCAAGACCCGAAGTCGTGAACCTCGAAAGATCGTTCTAGATACAGCTTCATCGGAATGATGGCCGAGTTCGAAGCAGGCAAAAACGCAGCCGCCGAGGCCCTCGCTCTCGACTGTTGCGTGCTGATAATCTGCCAGTCCTCTTCAACGTCTATGCACATATCGTGAGTGCAAAATTGTTGGTTTGCGAATTTTCACATGACTGATATACGCAGGTGCTCGCTCACGGCTCTGATAAGCCCGTATCGCATGCTATGATCGCTGTGGCAGAGGCCAAATGGGTTTCGAGCGTTTTGGCGACCAGTCTGTTGACGAAGATCTACTGTCCATCGCCGAAAAGAGGCTGGAGAGAGTCAAGGCGGGTGTTGATGTCGAAGGTTTTCGTAATGAAATTGTGGTGACCGCAATCCGTGGTTTCGGTTATACGACCGACTTCAGCACATTGAGGAAGTACTGGATGCCCAATCACCAGTCTCGGCGCTGGGCAAGCCGGAACGTGACAGATCAGAAAAGAGCAGGCCGGGCGAGAGGAGATGGAAGACACGAAAAGGAGTCGCTATCGCACAAGGGTGAAGGCTTACGGTCGTGGTGGACGTCTGTCGCTAACTCGAGGCTCGGAAGAAGAGAAGGGGTCGATGGACAGACATTCGAAGCTGAATGGAGAATATCTAGTATCTAGCGACCAACATCCAGCCAGTGCCATTAGAAAGTGATTCACATCTCCGATAAGATGAATAGTGGTGCAATTATTATTGGAGAACAAAGAGGTTGACAGTCGCGACACGAAAGCGGAAGCTTCGCCCGGCTGTTGTTCGGCAAAGCGGGTGAACGTCAAGCCATCGCTAAAGAACCCCGAAATTGCGCATGGCAACAATGCGATATGGAACAAGCAAGACATCGACCAAAGTATCATAGAATGCGTGAAAATCCACGACAACACAGAGAAAATGCTGCTGGGGATAGAGGTTGTATCGCTTGGCTCACAAATCTCAGCTGAAATCTGACAACTTTTTTTCTTTTGACATTAAAACATATATCAATGGCGTGGACAACTCGAACGGAGTTTTATAGTACCCAGAGATCATGCCGTAAGGTGTGGTGGAAGCATGTACAAACTCCGAACCAAATATCCCAAAACGTCACCCCTGAAGCCTCACCACGCTACCACTACCCTAGAAGCTTGGAGCATTCAATGTAATGGCCATGATGAGGCCTCCAATCAATGCAGCGATAGGAATAGTCATGANACCTGGCTTGTGAGCGTTTGAATCCGAATATCATGATTGGGAGACTTACCAGGAGAATACCAGCAGGCCTACACGACTCCAGTTCACTGCCTTGAAGCTACCATTACAAAGACCTACACCCACTGTAGCACCCGTGANTGCCTGATAGAGCGTCAGTCGATGTAAGACCGAGGAAGAATAGGTACAACTTGACTTACACATGCTGGTGGACACCGGAAGCTTGTACTGGGAGAAGATGAGGATAGTGATGGAAGCTCCTAGCTCCATGGATGATCCTCGACTCGGTGAATGGTACGTAATCTTGTTCCCCATGACNNTGTGGTCTGTTAGTATAGTAGAGGGTTGGGGTGGTGGTGGGGGTTGGAAAATTCGAAAATCCCAAAACTCACCCTTCATGATATTGTAACCATAAGTAATGAAGCCAAAACAGATCGTAAGCGCCATTACTGCGATTTGCCACGTAGGGACGGGCGTTTCATAGGTTAGTTTTGATGTCTTGACCAGGTTGTAGGAAAAACTTACCTCCTTGGCCTTGACGGAGGAGCCGGTCGACCAGGCAGCGTACATGGCAGCCCAAACACCGACAGCATTACCGACGTCGTTAGCACCGTGAGCGAAGGATGCAGTGCAGGCAGTGATGACTTGGACGAAGGAGTACAAATACTCAACCTCGTTGGGGTAGCGGGCAGCATGAGCATAAACACGGGCCATACGCTTGCCCTCAGGAGTACCGAGGACACCGACCTGCGCCTTGTGAATGTCGTAGTAGATACCATACATCAAAGCAATGACGATGCCTGCAGGGATACACTTCAAAATTGCTTTCATGTTGTGAAGTTCGTAGACGGAGCCGGCGCCCATCTGGTTCTCGTGGACAGTACGCATAGCCCAACCCAAAGGACCGCGCTCTTGACGTAGGTCGGCGTGATGCTGCTCACGAGCTTCCTTAAGTAGGCGGGCGTAAGTCTCTCTGGGATTCTCGTTGGTGATGCTGTTTCTGCGCATAGGGGCAATCTCAGGCGACGAGGTAGCACTTCCACCCTCCTCAGAGACGTGAATAGATCTGCGACGAAGCTCGCCAGTGGTAATCTCGGAGTCACCTCCCTTGCCAGTCATCTCAATCGAGGNGGGTGCTGAAGTTTTGGCCTTGACTACATCTTCCTCGTGAATGACATTGTAGTTGGGAACCATGGCGAACTCGGCATCATCAGGAGCCTTGCGAGAGAAGAGAAGAGGTCCCATGAAGACGTGGTACCACTTTAGGGTGTAGTCCTTGCGGAGGACTCGCTGGTTGACATAGGGGACGAAAAAGAGAGCAGCCAAAAGAGCAAGAGCTAGACCAGACCCAACGCTCACACCAGCGATCCATACTGCAGGCTTTTTGTTCAATCCAAGCTTGGGTGATCCCTTGTAGACGATAGAGAGGGTGCAGACAGTTCCAGCGATGAGGAAGAAAAAAGGCGAGGTATAGACCGCCCAAGGCACGGGGTTGCTTCTCATGTGGACTGTCGTTTTGACGAGCATGAAGATGGTGGCGCCGAAGACTGCGGAGATAGCTGGAGCCATAACGAGGCCGGCAAAAATTGCACCAAGACCAGAGCCATNCTAAAATTTTGGTCAGCTTGCATTCAGACACCGAACACTGCCGAACGGAGACGAACTGTTCCACCCCCACTGCACCTTGCTGACACCAACAGTGGCAACACCGACACCAGCGATGGACGAGACGAGGGAGTAAGTCGAGGAGACATGGGCGTTGTGTCGCGTGCACCACATGACCCAAATTGAAGCACCCGCAGCGGCACATGTGAAGGCAAGGAGTTGAACCGGGGCATTGCCTTTGAAGGCATCTAATGGAATAATTCCATTCTTNNTCCACGTCAGTGTTCGTTTGTGGGAGTGAATAGGGGCTACCCTTACCTTGATAGTCGAGGCGGTTCTGGCACCGACAGCAAGAGCACCTGTCAATTCAAACACAAGACACAGCANGCTAAACACCATTATTAGCATGACCATACGAGTGTATACATTGCCTTTCCAGCTTACCATAGCCTGGCGGTATGAGACTGAGCGCGAGGAAACACTGGTTGCCCAAGCGTTGGCCACATCGTTGGCACCATTGTTGTATGCTTCAAGAAGAGCAAAGAACGTGCCAATGGCAAAGACATAAGTATATTCGTGAAGAACTGGCATCTTGACTGAATTCTATCAAAGCTGCAGTACAAAAGATCTGCCAAGCTTAGGAATTCGATACTTGATGAGAAGTGAAGGTGCAGGATGATCAGAACAACAAAGACAAGGAAAAACAGTCCTTGTCTTTCCAGTGCTTATGAACAATCTCCAAGAATCCCAAGGCTCACCTCTTGCCTACACTGCCACTGCAAAAACCAATTCGAACCTCAGCGGAAGCATAACCTACCTCATACTGCAACGCTTCGCGAATGTCATCGGGAAATCTTGGCAAGGTAGGACGGTCAGAACAATGAGGTTCGAGCATGGCAACACGTGTTGGTCTGGAGGCACGACGTGTATGTTGGCCAAGGACCCGACTGTCTTGACCACAGGCTTCTCCAGGCCTTGGCTCACCCTCTTCAGCTGCTCGCCAAGCTTGCCCAGAGCGCCTCTACTCCGCCCCCTGTCACCAATCTCGCGCTGGTCTACCATTTCGATTTCACCAAGCCGAGGGCAACCAAGAGACAGCTGATACAAGGTCAGAAGGATCGTTGTTGGTGTCGCACGTGGGTGCAGCAAGGCATGTGTGAAGCAGACAAGAAATTCTAGATGTTCCTCCTTTGGTGGGCCACTTTCCGACCGTTGTATTGGCGAAACGCCTTGTCGGATGTGCGTGATATCGCTTCACGGTCAAGCATTGCGCTCTGTCTATAGGTCAGCTTCGAGAATGATGCATGCGACAAGGCTGCGTTCATCTCGCATGATGCGAGCGCAATCACTGCGCCGTCTCGCGTGATGACCGACTGCTTGCTGACTTTTCCCATTGACTGGATGGCCCTCCGTCCTCCAATTCAGCAATCATGCTGGATGGTAACGATCCACCAAAGGATTGCTAGGTGACCAGGTTCTTGACGTGTCTAGCCGCCCTTGACTGAGTACACCATTGTTGATGACTCGCTCATCAAGACTGGTACTCGCGTCATCTCCTAAACCACTTCCTCAACCGGTCTGGAGATGCATCAATGCGATTTTGTCCTTGATGAGGCTTGTCTCCTCCGAGCTATACCCAGTGTTACTCCGGCTCTTTCATCTGCAACATTGCTCTCACACAGGCCTGCTGGCGAACAGGAAGTTGCGGCTGAGGTGGGCGGCGGCGGCAGTATTTGCAAGGAGGACACTTCCGCAAACCACTGCAAGATGAGCGCTTCTGTTGTTTGACTAGCGTATGATCTGATGCTGTCGCTGCTCTGTAGGACAAGAGATCATGAATGGGCGGAAGCCAATCCACCGTCGGGATAGATATATTGATGTCTCCTCTCGCGAGTGCAGACTCGACACTTGTGTCGCGCGTCAAAGAGATCGCGACACGTCGGCAAGACCTGCCGCTCGATTGCTGACATCTTGGCAAACTTCGTGGTTGTCCTTTGTCTGTCCTTGACGGACTCGACGTTGTTTGATCACCTCCTTGTTCTGCACATGTATACGTGACGGACTGGTCTGGAGTGGCCTGTTATTACAGAAGCCTTTGTCATGCAGTTCGGTTCGGCTGAGACAAGATACCACTCTGTTGATACCTATTTTCATGATAATATCTTGGTTCTAGTGTTTTCTTGCAACAATCTCGCAGAATATCGGTTCTGCATATCCATCAATTCCACCAGAAACAAATGCACTACCGAATGATGAGAGAACACTGATCCAGTAATTAAACATACCAAGCTTCAGTCAACAGAACTTTTGGGAACACCGGCTGGCACAAGGTCAGGTATCTCGCAAGGCATCAGGCAACCAGGGTCATCCTTCGGACGACTTGTACGTTGAGAACAAATGTTAGCAACGCGACAGTTCACGGCGAGAAAGCTGGCAGGTTCGCTCAGCAACCATTCCGACGACCCATCCTGCGCAAACATTTTGTCGGAGTTCCCATCAAAGATCATTCTTTAGCGGGCCTATCAGGCTACCGTATGAGTCTCTTTGTTTGAGGCAGCTGACAATAGCACCGTGCTAGGGGCCTCTGGCCATGATTTGTCGCGTTCCCAATAGTTTTCGTCACGTCGCGTCGCAAGCGTCTCAAGCTCGACATTTCCGCCCACAGGACTGTCCTGTCTGATTATGGCTGTCACTATCTTGAGATCATTCTGCTTTGTTTGGAATGCATCCGAAAAATCATCAGGAATCGAGATTATGCATAATGGGGTCTCTGTTCCCAAGTCTCTGGTAGCAATCTACCCCCACCCACTACAAACCGTCTCTGCAGGCTTTCTCCGGGACAGCTTGACGTCTACCAAAAAGCACAGGATGAAGAGACTTGAGAAGCTTATGTCCGGGAAGTATTCAGAGCAAAGACATTGTTTGCGCTGTCAAGAAAGGATGGACTGCCTGTTAATTCTGACCTTGATGGCCGCAGAGTGAGAGAGGTTACGGCGGTAAGAAGTAATAACGATGAGGTTTGATAACATGGTCGTCGTTCTGCACGGCATGGTAACCATGGTTGAAGGCTCTGGATACTGATATGCCCATGATGTCTTTGTAGATCAGCACTTGCTGGTTACGGTCATTCACTGCGCAAGTCCGATTGCTACTATCATCAATGCGGGCGCAGAATCTTTCAGGGATGGCAGCGACAAGATAATCATCCCACTTTCCCGTGCCGACTTTCACTGAAGAGCACCAAGATAGTGCAGGTGGTCATACGTTGAGGCTCCATGATTGTCGATGCCCAAGATCCTCTGACCACAAAAACATTTTCACGTCTGCGGAACTTGAGCCACAAGCCCGCTTCCTGCCTGTCTTCAGTCTTCCTAATCTTACCATTCTACTTCCAAGCACTATTTTACAGTTTGACTCAACTCTCCAGGTCGCCCACGAGCAGCTATGCTCTACCGTTATCACTCGCTCTGGAACATGTGATGCAACGTCACGACCCAACAAACTCTTCTTTCGAAGGCGCCACACAACTGAAGATCTGATCACTTCTTGCTCTCGCATTCCGCGTCCTCCGCATCCCTTCCCAATCTCCTGCCACATCAACGAAAAATTGAACCTGTAAGGAGGACAACTGCTACCATACTCTTGCGCTTACTAATTGCTAACGGCGGCAAGAACAATACTCCAAGCATCACCATGTCTACAAGCGACCAGGACGATCTGTCATCTTATTCCATCACTGTCATAACCACGTCAGCATTGACCCGCAGCCGAGGTCCATCAGCGCTCTCCTCTCCTCCAATTGTGAAACTCCCTCCGGAAATTTTTGAACATGATATTTTCCATGTGCGAAGAACACGACAATCTTCAAGACACGAGGCCCGACATCCGCTTGACCTGCAAAGCTTTTGAGTCTGTTGTAGCTCGCATGCTAGCTCGAGAATGGTCTGGTCGTCTACGTCTTCCTCTCAACAAGCACAGCATGAAAGGTCTGGCTGATATCCGTCCGATCTTCGCATCATACCTCAAAGCCATCGAAATCTGCACCCAGGACGCTACTGATGACGCTGCAAGCACTCTCCGAATCCTCAACCATCACATGGCTTCCAGCAAGCACCAGTCGAAGGTCGCAGAGCTCAGGATAATCCACGAGTCCAGCAGCGGTCTGACTGCAATCATCATCTGGAACGACCTTCTCGCAATACCTGACATCTCACTGGAAATTCTCCTCAGAGATACCAATCTTTTGCCGGACTATTTGCCTGCATACTCGAAGATTCAGATTAGAGGCTACGAGCTTAGAATGGCAGGCCACTGCTTCGCCCCTAGTTGCGATGGTCTGCCCTATCCACCGTTCAACAGAACCACCCACAGAGCGCTTTACGATCACATACGCGAACAAGAGTTCAAGACGCTGAGTCTCGGGCAGATGGACAACCACTATAACTTCCTTGAGTCAGCACTGGCTCTAAAGCCGAACAGTGTCGACAGTTTGGAACTGGTCGAGCTTAACTTTGAAGAGCCGGACGACAATGATGAGCGGTCTGGGTCTCCATTAACATTCTTCACCTACTTGAAACTTCTTCCAAAACTTCAAACGCTCGTACTCCAGAGTATATCCGATCGAGGCTGGCGGTTTGTCCAGATTGAGCGGGTCGAGTGGAGTAGCCAGTCGGGGATTCAGGCAGGTCTGGACGGATTGATTGAGAAGACAGTATAGGCAATCGTGCCCCGAACTTGGGCCAATACATTTGCTGTATTCCGAGAACCACGATTTAGTGTAGATGCAAATCAGGCCCCGACAATTGCGAATTATCTTCTCCTGTCCAGGGGAACGTCACCGCCTCCCGAAAGTAGGCAGAGTGCAGAGACCGTGGTTCGAGAGAACGGCACAGACGACAGCAAAACGAGACATGAGAGCACTAGACTGGGAAGCGAGAAACAGTGTTGAGACGTGGAAATCGGAGCAAAAGCGGCGCAAGCAAGTATTCAGTCAACGAAGAAACGGCAAGCTCGGCAGGAACGGAGGGTCATTAGCTCGGAAGGAAGACCAAGCAAAAAGTGAAGAAAACGCAACACGAGTGTGTGTAAACTCCTAATCAAACTTTGTTCGGGCTGGGTAAGTGATGGATCGAGTAGGTAAACACGAGCTTGCATGCACAGCAGGAGCTATGGCAGTGTGCGGCTGCATTTCTGTTCGAAACCTGAATGCCTGGCTGTGCATGGCTCCTTCCCAGAATCGAGAGCGAGCGATATGTTGATCTGAAAGCTGTCGACCAGCACACTGACCTTCGCTCGTCATTTTGTTATCCGTGAGCCATCGCAATCAGGTCACGCTTGCTTTCTTATTGCGACACAGCCTGCTCTGCGCAACTCTACGAAGTTCGGTCACGGTCAACGTGATCTCGCGGAATCAACAAGCGCTCGCCTACAGATAGAAGCGACTGCACAATCACTTGCATCCACGGCGCTCACCATCACTTGATCTCTACCTGCGCCTTTGCCTCAGCTTCTCTCCTGTCGTCTTCGTCCTCAACTCTCGCTTTAGTCACTAGGCGATAACCGCTTGATTCCAAGTCTATCACCATCGCAGCTCCGAGTCTTTTTCGAGACGTTCATCATCGTCATCGCTCAGCCCGGCGTCTAGTTCAGTTGTCTGTCACAGCGACATCTTTCCAAGCTCAGCAACGACATCACTCGGCGTTTGTCTCTCGTTGCCAATCTGTAACAAGGAGAAGGGGTCCGAGCCACGCAAGCTTGTTCCGTCGAGAATGTCGCTGCACGCCAGAACGCTGGACCACCTTCTGTCCACGATGCCTCCTCTCTCGCATCCTCCAGACTTCCCCACTTTACTCTTCCGTAGGTCCACGGCCACCATGAAGCCTTACCACCTCCAGCAAGTACAGCAGATTCGAGATGTCCTTGGACCTGCACCAATTCTGCGGCTGCCGATCGAGCTGCTCTGGAACATCTTCAACATGTTGCCGCAGGAAGACAAGGCCAACTTGAGAAGCACCAACAAGTCGCTTTGCAATGCCACAAAGCTGCCGTTCAGTCAGACTTTGCCTTCCTGCTGGCGTTTCATGTTCACTAAGCAGAGCTTGAGAGATCTAGTTGATATGTCCGCAGACAAAGATATCGTAGCAAGATGCGACGCCATCAGTTTTCAAGCAAAGCGGTTCAAGGTCCCTGATACCATGTCCATGCTACCTCCCATTTATCATGACCGCGTGGATCAACAAGTCAGGTATTTGCTTGGAGGTCACCACATTGATGCAATCTCCAAAGCTCTCGACAACTTCCAGGCATATGGGAAAACAGACATTCTGCTCAAAGTCTGTGGTTCACACGGTCATGATTTTCTAGTGCGGGCTTTCGCCCACGAGGAAAACCATAACATCTGGGACCGTCATGTCGAGAAATGGGCCGTTCGCGACACACTTTCTGCTTTGGGAACTGCAGTCAGACGCATTGCTTTTACGGTGAGACATATCAGCCTCAATTTCAACAGCCACACCAAGGAGATTCGATTTAGCAGGATCGAGGGGAGATCTATGCTGGTCTGGATGGCCTCATCACTAGGATCAGGACGACTTGAAGATAAGACTGGCGGCTACTCCCAACTCGACACCAGCTCATCAGAGACCGATTGCTTCGATAAGGGGCTTCGTGGGACAAGGGGAAACGCGCAAGAGGAGATCTCGGAAGGGGAACGATCGTGGAGGAAGAAGGAATCTGCAAAACAAATGAACTGCGAGATTGCTGCGCAAACAGAACAAGAATGGAGGAAAATTCGATCACTTGCTGCAAACGCTTCTGCAGAGTCCAAGGAGTTGCTCAAACGAGAAGGGTTACCACAGCAGATAGATCTAGCCGAGGTTTGCTTTATAATCCACAAACTCTTCGCTACCTACCCATCCAATGTCTTTTTGCTACATTCCATCTCCGTGCTATGATATCGTTCATGTTAATTGCTGCGATGGCGGTTCCTCTCTCACCACTTGTATCGATCGCTGGGACTCTTACGTTCCTTGATGATGATCATGATGCCTCCAAAGAATACAATTCCGCCAAAACACTCAAGCCACCTCTTTTCCCACCAGACCATAAAATTAGCAGCCGATGGAATAGAAACAGATGGTCATCCCCCTTTTCCACGGAGCGGTCGATCAAAAACCACGGACCGAGTCCAGGATCTGGACCCCCTTTTGAAAAGACTGTCGGATGATACATTGTCACCGTCACTATAGAAGCAAAGAAGGGTACAAGACGTAGAAGCAAACAAGAAAGGTACAATTATATGAAAAAAAACACTAAAATACAAAGGGTATCAAGAAGAGATATAGCGACAAGAACAAGAAACAGAAGCAAAATGGCGAATATGAAGCGAAAATGATCAAGATGGACCACGAGATAACAACCAGAGAGCAAGGAAAACTCACATCACCTCTCAAGGTCTTCTCCCTCCAAAACTCTTCTCGCCTCGTCAAGACGTCTTCTCAACCACCTTCTCCTCTCCTCGCCACCAGCGCCGAGTTGCAGTTCTCCGACCACTTCGCGCAAGCTTTCGACCAGAGTGTACACTAGAGCTTCGTCTTTGCTTCCCAGTCCTTGTCCCTTGGTGGGATCCAGTAGAGCAGAGACAGCCATGGTGGTGGCGGATGGAGAGATGGAAATGTATTGTTGAGCCTGCTGAGCGGATGCAGGAGTATATGTGGAGGGTAGAACAGGGCTTGGAAGACCTGCTTGGGCGGATGGATGGTTTCGACTGGGTTTTTTCGGTAGGTCGTTGAGGTCGTGGATGGACGAAGCAGAAGTGGAGCGGGACAGCCATTGTGCGATGGACGCTTGATGGCCTTCGTCGGCAGTCTCGAATGTGGCGATGGTGGCTAGGGACTCGGCGGACAGACCTCGTCGGTGTTGGGCACGAGACGGGAGCTTGACCTCTTCGATGTGTCGTAGTGCTTCTGGCGTTTCGGGAGTTGGCGGCGGTTGTAGATCATCCTCCTCTTGGGCACCAGTAATAGGAAGCTCTTGGTTGACAGGGTATGCGCGGGCGGTCAGGCAGGAGTCGGAGGAGCTCAGGGACGTGCTGCGGGCATGGCGGGTGGGAGTATTGGGCTCGAAGCTGCCGGTGGCAGAGTGCAGGAAGAACTTGGAGTAGTCGAAAGCGTCGTCGCGGTCTTCGTGGCGTGGACCCGACACGACCGAAGATTCAGGGGCGTCTTCGTAGAGACTCATGGGGTTGGAGTTGTCAGTCGTTGTCGTGGTAGGGGTAGAGGTGCGATCTGTGCTGCCCGAGCCCGAAAGCGGGAGTGTGTAGTTGTCGTCGTCGTCTTCTTCATCGTCCACCTCTTCTTCTGCGATAAAGTCCTCGTTCTCGTGGCCATCAATGGTCTGCGCGGACACCCAGGCGCCCGGGACATTGCTCGTCTTNNTTGTGATACGGGCAAGTCTCGGTCTGGGTGAGCCTGTGGCGCCAGGAGATGTGTCGGCATTGTTCAGAGGACAATTGTCTCGTAGGTTGTTTGTGCTCCTTCTCCTCAGATTCTCTTCTTGGGCCCTCTCTTTCAGTGTGGAAATCCTGCCTCTCAACTGCATCATCTGTTCGCGCAAGTTGTGCGCCGACGTCTGGCTTCGCACGCTCTGCTCTTCGGAAACGGTATCGAGTTGAGGATCGGGGCTCAGCGGGCTGCGAGGGTAGCGTAGCAGTTCAGAGCTGCGGGTGTTGCGGACGGGGTTGGGGGTCCACGAGGGTGTCGAGTTGATGTTGAGGGACATGTAGCGGCGTTCGTCGGGTTGCTGGACATCCGAATCGCTGAGCACACGCATGTGCTGGGTGTTGGACGAGTGGGGATTGTGTGGCAGGTAGCGAGGGCGAGAGAAGGACGTGTTGCGTACGGGGCCGGTGGTCAGCGACGTGGCTCGCTTGAGGTTGGCTGCCGTCAAGGGCGTGACGATTTCGCGGGCTCCTCGTAGATTTTGATCCATGACNNCTGTGTCTTGTCAGCTTTGGTTGGATCAGTGTGATGCAGTGGATCATGGACACACGTTGAGGCGCTTCTTTGCATTGGCGAGAATCAGCTCGGCGCGCATGAGCGTCACGTTGGACTGCTCGGTCTTGAGGACGTCGCCATAGGACAGTTCGCTGGGCGTGTCAATGTCAAAGTCGTCTTCGTCCAGCGTTTCCGTGTCCGAGTCCAGGCTCGACTCGAAGCGGGGGATTTGCATGTGCTCGAGGTCGTCGGTGAGGATGCTGCTGGCCGCATAACTCAATCGCCGCTCTTCCCATGACGCATTGTCGACATTGAGCGTCGGCGACGAGCCAAAACTCTGTAAAGGCGATTGGGAAGGCGCTCGGAGGTTGGGTCGCGACTTCCTCTTGTTTCCCAGCGACTTTGTCGTTTGAGCCTGCAGGTACGACGGCGACGGCGGTCCTTGCGTCTCGTGATGCACTTCGTCTGCCACGTCCAGCACAAACATGTTCGGCAGCACCATGTCCGGGTTTGTGAGAGTCGGCGACGGCGGTGCCGGTAGAGGCTTGTCGTGTGCGGCCTGCACACTCATTGTTGTTTTGTTTGTGTGGAGATACATGGGTTTCGTGCATATGCAGCTTGCATCTTGACCATGCACGACGGCCGATCCAGTCCGCGGCTTTTGTCTGATCCTGAACGTTTGACCTGCCCCATCGCTTGACCTGCACTGCATCATGGGGGCCGCCCGCCGAAGAAGCGCTGAACCATTGCCGTTGCCAAAAGTGCCCGCCCGCCCGCCCAGACCCGCCCAAGAAAGTTTCTGGAGAAAGCTTCGAGACATGTCCCGCCGTGTCCAATCAAAGTCGTCGCCCAAGCCGAAATCATATCTCGACCCCTGTCAATCCTCGACCATCTTCTGACCATCTATTTACCTACCTACTCTATCATTCTCCTTTCACCATCACCAAGTCAGTCAATCTCTGTAGCACACGTTTCGTCCCGAATCCGGGTACCTGTTCCTATACGCCACCGTTGCATATACACGGTCACCGACAAACGGCCAGTTCGCATACACTTTATTGACGAACTCCTCGAGTCACCCTCTTCATGTACGTGCGCGTGTCGACCTTGTCTACTCCCCACTGACTCAGGTCGATTTCCTCGACCGACACCACCTCGAACCCAAACTTCTTGTACAACTCTGCTCCCATCAAAGATGCCTGAAGATACATGTCCAGCCCGGCTTCGTCGGCTTTCTTCGTGCCTTTCTCGAGCAGCATGTGTGCAGCTCCACGCCTTCGCTGCGATGGGTGTGTCGCAAGATACGAAANGGTCTGTCCGTCCTGTATATTAGTATCCTGACTCTTGACTCTTGACATGAACCATCACGTACGCGCATGCGGTCTGCCCGCAAAGTTCTCCTTAGCGAATTCGTTCGATTTTTGATTGAGTGCTGTGAAGAAATCCAGCAGCTTCTTGGGCGGAGGCTCCTCGCCTTCGACAGGAGTGTCTTGGTACGCTTCGCCTTCATGATATTGGAATGAGAATTTGGCGACCGAAATCATCTCGTTGCTTTCCGTGTCGACCACCTTCCAGAATGTCTCTGCGTGGTGTTCCATGCCATTTGAAATGAATCGTTCGAACGAGTATGTGATGTCGATGTTTTCTGCCTCCTGAATCCTCCAAATGGCATTAGAGATTCCGACATCTTTCATGATAATGCGGTCCATTTTGGCGATGTTGGCGATGTCGCCCTTTTCCACTTGTTGGATTTCCAAAGGCATCGTATTTTGGTGGTGGGAGGTATAAATCTAGTTTTTGTCTTCGATCCTCCTGCTGTGTATATTTTCAAGTCGTATCACGCGTGACTCTTGCTCTCTATAGTGCGGTGTGCGAATCCAGCTAGTAGGAGGATCGTATCGGGCGCCATCTTTCATTATCTCTCGGCTGATAGGCAGCTGGCGACCGCTTTTAGCCGCGCTGACAAACAGTATTAAGTCGAAGACCACTTCCAAGAGTGACAGACCAGAGACACAAAAATACCATAATAGCGCAGTGCGACTTTGTTTCACATGGCTTGTACTGCCTTCTTCGGAGACACTATTGTCTACATCGACACTCTGTTGGTTGAGGTGCAGAATCGAACATGCACGTTCGATCTGGTGGCAGGTCAAGCTTTGGCCGACCGACCGGCTTCTCCACGAAATGGATCCCATAATTCGCACTCGCTCTAAGAGCTCTCTTCGATATGACAATACACTCCAACTCTGCTGCATTGACGAAACAATGGCAGCTATGTGACTTTGCTTTACAAGCTCTTCCTTGGGATCGTTGAGAAAAGACGAACAAGTGTCGCACTGTCAGAACCGCCCTGCAGAATCATGACGTGTGTCCACTCGGGTTCCCCATGGGTTTTCTCACGACAGTCCGTCTCTCCTGCAGCCACCGAAGACGCTGACAGGGCCATGCTTGTATCTTGCATCATGTCGTACCCGGTGCAGCTCTCATCTCGTGGCAGAAAACGTTCTGCTGTGCGAGCTGCTGAGCATAAAAGATCGAGACACCACCATGACACTTTTTTCCTTGCCCAATTTCTAGGCGGCTGCTCGCTGTAGGTTTGCTGACTCTTGTCCCCTCTCTCTGGCGTCGAATCGGGCCTGGATATACGTAAGGTAGGGCTGGCTATCTACAACCACTTCTACCAGGGTCTCTGAGAAGCGCTTCTTCAACGGCTTCGACGAAGAGTGGTGCATCGTTTCCATGAAAGATGCAAGACGGCGGCCGTCCAGCACGACGACTATCGTCCAAACGACATCTGCCCTCAATCTTCAGAAGTGGAAGGAAGTCTCCAGGGGTTGAATCCACGTTTAGTGCAACCAACATCTTGCCTAGGAAAGCGCAGCAGCAGTCGAACGTCGCTGCCGCGTTCGAACCTCCACCCGAAATTCCAGACATGCCGTCAACGCGAGCGGGGTCAGTCTCGCCAAACCAGCCATCAATATTCGATCCTGTTCAGGAAGACATACAAGAAGATTATCACACAGAACCTACGACAGCACCTCAGTCTGGATCCGGCGACGAGCACGAATATTACGATCTCAAACCTCCTCCGCCCACCGTCATCCACTCCAACATGGAACAACTCGGCATGCGCTTCTTTTCCGTCGATCACCTGAATGTCATTCTTCGCGACTATCAAACATCCTCCCGCTTTCATCGTTTCCTCACACAGTACAGGCCGTATGTCTTGCCCTCGCTCGAGAGTTACGTGGATACGCAGAAAGCCGTTGCTGCCATAGAATATGCCAACTCGCTCGCGGATAACCTCCCCTCGCTGACCGGCGATGTTCCACGACCTGCAGCCATCATGGAGAAGAGCTTCCAAGATCGATCACGCGTGGTGGTCCAAGAGCTGGTCGACGATGCACTGCCGGCCTACCTCACACATCGCCTTGTACAACTTGTGACGGATAGTCTCGTCAAGGAAATCACTGGCAATATTGCACCGGTCCTGCGCGACCTGATCCCGTCTCTGGCCGAGGTATACTGCATCAGCGANCCCTCGCTAGCCGACAACCCCATTGTCTATGCCTCTGAAGGTGATCCCGTCCAATCTTCCATACTCGATCATCATATACTGATCGAACGCNNAGCCTTCTACGACATAGGTGGTTATCAGAAAGATTTTGTGATTGGCCGGAACTGCCGCTTTCTGCAAGGTCCGAAGTCATCGTCCGCCAGCATACATCGGCTGATCGAAGCTTTGAGAGCTGGCCAAGAGATTACCGAGACAATTCTCAANTTAGTGAGTTTATCCCTACGAATGAGTTCTCTTCGCTCTTGCTGACTCGCTCGAAGCCGACGAGATGGCATACCCTTCATGAATCTGCTCATGATCGCACCGCTGTACGATAACAAGGGCAACGTGCGGTACTATCTCGGATGTCAAATCGATGTCACAAATCTGATTGAAGGCGGCAAAGGCATAGAGTCGTTCGAGAAACTTCTGGCCAACGATCGCGCTGAAGAACGATACCGTGGCCGGAGCAGTCGCAAGCCAACGCAGGTGCTGGGAGAATTGGGCCAGATGATGAATGAAGATGAGTTGGAAGCAGTCAACACCCGCCAACGCAGCCAGTCGCGCAGCTCGACGCCAGTCGCTTCCCCGCGCAATCCTGCTGCTGCTTCCAGACATCCTCGCAAAGTCTTCGGCATGGATGACACCCTCGAGCGTGGACTATGGCCACATCCTTCTCTTGGCCCGTCCGGCCGCCTGCCCGGTGTATACCAAAACGTAAGTCGTCTTGTTTTTGCAATCACCAACAGATACTGACAGATACTTGCANNGTACCTACTCGTCCGCCCCTATCCGTCCCTACGCATCACATTCACTTCTCCCGCTCTCCGCATTCCAGGACTACTCCAAACAAAGTTTATGGAACGCCTTGGGGGTCCTCAAGATGTCCGTGATGGCGTGCTGGACAGCCTTTCTCGCGGTACCCCCGTGACCGCAAAGATCTCCTGGCTCTCCACGCCAACTATACCCGACAGCCCTCATCGGATCAGCATTGAAGGCAAGCCACGCTGGATCCATTGCACTCCCTTGCTCGGTAGTGACGAGAAGGTAGGCGTCTGGATGGTCGTCATGGTGGAACAAGAAAGCATCACTGGCAATCTTACACGGCCTTCCGAATCCTTTAGTGCTTTTTCATCGCCACCTCCAAACGTTATTGGCAGGTCCTCGCTGGATACTCCTGTTAGAGGCGGAGAGGGAGCGAGGAGCCCGAAGTTCAAGCCCGAGACTGGAAAGCTGTACGCTGAGTACCTCCGGCGCGAGGGCAAGGGAATCAACGCACCCAATGAAGTGGCTACAGATGAATCGATCGGCGCAGGTAGTTTCAGGGAGGCGAGACCGTTCCAGGATTTTTGAGTGCCTGTGAGATGGAACGGAAGGGTTTGTGATTGGGGGACTTTGGATTGACCAGAGGACTTTCTGCTCATCCAGACTCGCCTCGAGGATGGAAAGGTACGATTTTTATGAACCTATGATCTGAGTTATCGTGTGTAATAGTAAAGTACAAGGTATTCACAGCATAATCACCTACGTTCATTCCGTGATCTTTTTGCAACAGGATACATCTTTTGCTGTCTCTTGTATCTTGACACTTCACAAGTTTCATGGAGCCAAGATTTGACCTTGAGAAGAGTCGACCAACCTAGCAGTGATAAAATGGGAAAGGTATAGGGCTCTTCTAGGTACTCAAGTCATTGCTGATATGTGAATGAAGAGCGATGCTGTCTCGAGCAGCCAAAAACTGTTTGTTTACCGAAAGAGGCGGTATTTATTGTTGCATGTTATAACATGTCAAAAAGCATGAGTTCAAGCTCTAGGCTCTGTCAGACTAGTAGGAGAGAAGCCTAAACAAGTAGACACACGCGAGCAGGAATCTTAGCGAGTACAAGACCTCGAGTAGCATGTGCGACCACCACTGTTCGCTGCACGTAGACCAGAAACTTGTCCACTTGTTGTTGCGGTATCGCAAGCTCAAAGTCATAGTGCAAGCCAAGATGCCCTCCCCTATACGCACCATGATGATGCAGGTCGCCAGCGAGGAAAGCCGCAGTCTGTGCTTCGCAAGCAGGCCTGCTCTGACGGGATGCAGACGCAAGGACACCGTACCCAGCACCCAGCACCCAGGCAACACCATCCACAGCGCATAAGGACGTTCGGGATACATCTGGGAAGGCGAAGGTCCTATTTGAATGGCCAGTGCCAAGAAAGAGACGAGGACCGTCAAAAATCTGTCCCGCATTGGAGGCCCTACAACACCAAGACCATGGACGGTTGCCTGAGACTCTTCTGCTTCTCTTTTCAGAGGAGGTGGCATGGCCGGGGAAGACAGTGTCTCATTGCATGCCTTGCTGAACATCCTGCTGTCTCGGTCGGCTATACAGGCATCTCTGAAATCATTTCGAGCGCTCCATATCTGCAGTACCAGAGCCTTTTTGCCGTACTCGAACGTGATGATCCCGACGACCAGAGTGATGACGATGGCAATCCAAGCTGTGGGGCTGTTGACCCAGGTTATGCGTCGTTCCCATTTGGATCTTGTAGCAGATGAGGCTGCGTTGGAGGAAGCGTTGGCTGTTGAAGATGGAGTCGACAGAACGTTGGTGGGTCCTTGTGAAGACAAGGTTGGCTGGGAAGCATTTGTTGGGGTGCTTGAAGGTATTACTGTCGTCACTCCCGTAGACTGCTGTCCTGGCTGGTGTTGCATCGCTGGTGCCGCTGACTGCAGCAATGCCGATGACACTGAAGTCGTTGGTGTCGCCGTTGGTGAGGTCGGAATGCCTACAGTGGCTAGGTCCTCTAAAGGCACTGCTGGAATGTTCCAGGTACGAGACCGCACGCTTGCCATGTGGAGGATAGCCTCGAGAATGAGTGTCCTTCTCCGAGTCGTTGCAGATGGTTGGTCGTGGGCGTAACACAGATGAGTATAGAGTATTGCGAAGGACAAAAAGGCTCAGCAAGTTTCTCGTACAATGTTCAGCTCATAGTGGCTCAGACGTGGCAGTGTCGGTTCCGACTCCTGATGGTCATTGGTTGGTGTACCAATGCACCCCGCTTTGGCGTGAGGTACCTCACCACCATGTCCTTCTTGCGTGGAAAGATCTCAAGATACAGGAAGAGCCAGTCTGCTTGGGCCATGAGGTCTGAACCTGCTGCATGAATCAAGTCTCATTGTGTGTAAACTTCGTCTGTCTCCTCATCGCCACCTCTCTCTGAGCCATCCTTGGGTTGTCGTTCATTACCTGTGTTTGAGTCAACGAGCTCCAGCGGTATAATCCAGTACGACTCTCATTGCTGACCATCGAGCGAATACGAGTTCCGAGAGATTTCGTTGCTTTTATAGATTATAGAAGAAGTGGTTGTTCTCGTACTTGACTGCCTTCACAACGACCATCGTATGCTCAGAGTCTATCGAGGCCATACAAACGATTGCCTCGATATGCTTTGATACTACAAAACTGCAATCAATTGCTTTTCTCCCTGATACTTTTCCACTTAATGGTGGCACTTTCAACAAGCGTCAAGCAAGCAAGTGGGAACAGCCATATATCAAGTCTGCGCCACGCTCTGATCAACAGCAATAAGCACATTTGTTATATCCACAGGAGCCAACAAATGCTTCAAGTCCTTCAAACCCGCAGAATCAATACTCGTGGCATTGAGCAAAGGGCACTAAAGCATGCAGATTAGTACTTAATCGCGTCTAAAACACATCAAATGCGGCAGAGACAAACAAGGGCAGCACCAAATTGCTCTGCAAAGAGATTAATGGCGAGCCCGATACTGGCGTCTTGTTTGGGGAGCGCCATCTATACTGCCGACCGCGGAGACAGAAAACGATGCCGCTGGCAGAGCCAAAGAAGCCAGTCACGACGAGGACGTTGACAAGGGCAGTGCGTACCTTGATGATCGTCAGGAGACTGGCCAGCAAGGGCATGAGGATGGTTCCACCCCATATGGAAGGCGTATAGTATCCTATCAGCGTAACGCCAGTAGACTGAAGACTAACTCCTTCGATTTCGCGTGCGATGGCAGAGATCTGATGATACCTACTTTGTGCTGCGGTGCTACCGCGCACAACTTGGAAGTAGGTAGGAAGATAGTATAAAATGACCATGATCGCCGCATTGGGGAAAAGAGTGACGAAAAAGGCCAGAAATCACAGAACGATCACCGAAGATCCTCGGAGGTTGGGGTAGCTTCTCCCTTAAGCCATTGTTCCACGGCAAAGAAGCGAGAAGAACGACATCCGACTGAGAGAGACATTCTCCAGCCAAGTCGTTCCTTCATGTATTTTCCTAGAAGCCAAGTTTGGGGTGACAGCGGGGTGACAGCAGGGTGATCAAGCCGAGCGGTAAACTGATTCAAAAGCACCACCGCCAACAACATCCACGATCGCATTACCAAGCATGGGAGAAGCGACGCCAGATCCTCCTGGAGCATGGCGATGTGCTAACCAGATTAGGCAGCCAAGCCTCAATCTGGGCATGGCAAAAGCTTATACCTCGTTTCTTCAACCCTAACCTCGATCAGGATTCTGCGCAGCAGCCATCGTTCAGCGAACTAACTTGCTCGGGCAGCCAAGCTGCAATTGACATAGCACAGTTCTTCTAAACATCGTAAGCAGGGTGTGCTGTGGTACGTTTGATTACTGCATGGCTCTTTGACAAATCGACTCACGCCCTTCCATTGACGTTGTGCTTTTCCTTATCTCCATAGTCTGGCTTGTGCAATGTTACCAATCGTCGAATTGTTTTATATCATGACCTGCTCGTTCGCAGACAGTCAAATCCCACTAACGACCTTCCTTTGGAACAAGCACGACTCCGAAATATCGTCCTCCTCTCCAGAAAAACCCTTACCCTCCGTTCCAGCCCACAATGGCACAACCTCGCGACCCTGGGCTCGACGAGACTTTCTCGATTGAGCACTCCATCCATACCGCCTCTGATCAATACGCCGGTCCAAAGAATGTCAGCGATGATTCATCCGAGGAAACACTAGAAGAGAAGGTCGAACGGCTCGGGCGGGAGAGACCACAGATATTCAAAAATCAATGGCACGAGGTCGGCTTCGTCTTCAGCGTTGCCATGTCCCAATTCATGACGGAATACTTTGTCTCGGGCTTTGTTGTCATCTTGCCAACTCTGATCAGAGATCTCGACATTCCACAAGCTTTGAGCGTGTGGCCCGCCACCGCTTTCTCTCTCGTCGTTGCCAGCACTCTCCTTATTTTCGGCCGCCTCGGTGACATGTGTGGTGGCTATTCCGTATTTATGGGTGGTCTCGCGTGGCTTGTTCTCTGGAGTATCGTCGCGGGATTCAGCATCAACCCTCTCATGCTGGACCTTTGCCGAGCTCTCCAAGGCTTTGGAGCTGCTGCCTTTCTTCCTACTGGGGTACAGCTCCTCGGATCCCTCTATCGCCCCGGGCCACGGAAGAATCTTGTGTTTGCCATATATGGTACTTCTGCCATCATTGGTTTCTTTGGTGGCATTGTGATTGCGGGAATTGTTGGCCAGTTTCTCAGATGGGGCTTTTACTTTTGGTTCGGTGCAATCCTCACCGCCATGACGTTTGTCTCTTCACTCTGTTTTGTTCCGAGGCCAAAGTCATTGTTCGAGCAGAAGGCAGCCGTCAGCATGGATTACTTGGGAGCTTTTACCATCACCGCGGGTCTCGTGCTGACTGTCTTTGCAATCACTCAGTCAGCACATGCCGCTTCAGGCTGGAAGACGCCATACATCATTGCGTGTTTCGTTCTTGGCATCGTCTTCCTGCTTGCGGCCGCGTATGTCGAGGCCCGTGTTGCCAGCTATCCTCTGCTTCCAGCTTTCATCTTTACCACGTCCTGCATGACACCGCTCTTGCTAGCTCTCTTTCTTCTTTATGGCACCTGGGGCATTCACTCTGTGTACGGAACTCTGTACTTCCAGAACATCATGTCGGCCAGCGCTATACAAGTTGCAGGATGGTATACCCCTCTTGGCGTCGCCGGTTTGATCATCAGCATCTTCGAGGGCTTCATCCTACACCTCGTCCCGGGAAGAGTGCTCTTGATCATATCCGGTCTTGGGGCAGTGGGTGCCCAGCTTCTGCTCGCACTGATCCCGGCCGGTGCAAATTACTGGGCCTGGGTGTTTCCCGCCATGATAATGGGCACTATCGGCATCGACCTTTCCGCGATCCTGATGATAGTCTTTGTCACGTCCGCATTCTCTTCCGCGGAACAAGGCCTGGCCGGTGGTGTGATCAACTCTGTTCTCCAGCTTGGTGTTGCATTCACGCTGGGCGTGGGAGACATCATCCAGTCGAGAACTGTTGACGGCGAGGGTTTGGGCAAAAGTTACAAGAATGTGTTTTGGTTGGGTGTAGGTGCTGGGGCCACGAGTCTTGTGATCATGGCTATCTGGGGTAAGGTGCCAAAGGCTAGTAGTGACCTTACGGCTGACGAGAAGGAGGAGTTGAGACAAGAGGCAGAAGCTGCTGGATGTCGGGAGCAAGCAAGCTAGATGAATTTTCCGTTCCCTTGGAACTAATCCTCGACCAATTCACATCGAGCTGAGTCAAAGGCTCGCCACGAATGTTGTTAGATCCTACTAAATAATAAGCCAATCTACACCCGAGTCTCTCAAGTACTGTATCCAATTCCCATCTTTTATACTCTCTTTTGAATTCAAATCTTTTCTCTCCTGTGTGGCACTCGATTTCCTGATGGTCCACAAAGTTTCCAAGGTTCTGAGAGCTCCCCGCATGAGTCCCCAGGGCTCAATCTCCCACAATTGCTCGAATCTCGATGCAATCGATTGTTGTTCCTCGGCGGCGTCAGTTTCCAATCCGGCGATAAAAGCCGGCCAAGTCGTTGCGGTGAAGAGTGCGTCGTCCTTGGTGACACGAGAGATGTTGTCGACAATGTCAGTGACCAGCGCCTCAAAGTCGCACGAAGGCTTTGTGGTGAGATACAAGGACAACAGCACACGAGACAGATATATGGTCACGGCTGCTTTGTGTGCGCGGGCAATGTGCGTCCGCTGCTGGACATCTGCGCAGGGTGACCTTGATTGGAGTTCCGTGGCCCAAGCAAGAGGATCAAAAGATTTGGCCAGACATATGAGTAGAAAGATTTCTTNTTGCCTCGTCGTGACGGTGCCAGATGCGTTGTAACCGAGTCGAGCTCCGGCTTGCAAAATTTGAAGGAGAAGGGAGGGGAATGAAGAGCAGTGGTTGCCCTCGGCGTCTCGGAGCAACGATGCGACGTTGTGAGAGGTGTGATCCAAAGGTCCCTCGGAAGATGTCGTGGCCTTTCCGTTTGTGATCGTGGAGCCAAGGATGTCGAANNTCTAGAGCAAACTAATCAGCATATTTTCTGGTCAGTCTTTCGAGGAGCGAGAGACCTACACCATCCAATTTGAGACCAAGCAAGCACGAAAAGGACTCATTGTATGTGACAAGGATGCGTTAGTTCCCAAGACGGCTCTGATGATCGTTCTGGCTCCATCAATATGATTTCTCCAATCATTATGGCCTGAATCCAAAAGCTCAAATTCGATAAACAATACCATTACTGCCAAAACGACATCAGTGTCGACATTCTCTGCGTCGAGTAGAGCGCATCTCAGCATGACCAAAGCTCGCTGCTTTGCCGCGAGGGCATCCAAATATTGCCGAGAAGACTCATGGCAGTGACGCCGGGATTGTGCTTTGTGAGTTTCGTGCTTCGGTCTCGAAAATTTCTGAGATGCATTGAACATGTGTAGCGCGGACAGTGCAATGATGATTTGAAGAAGAATCGGATGTTGTCGTGTCAGAGGAACAAGTTCGCGAAACGGGTTCTGCTGCGGTCTGTCGTAGAGCACAAGATTGCGACACACGAAATTTGCGTCTTCGTAGCGGCAAGGTCAATCGGTCTTGTTTGCACGCATCGATGAAATACCAAGGGACTCACAATGGGTTAAATAGAACCTCGAAGGATCTTTGAGGTCTTGCATGAAGGGGTCGGTCAAACATTTGGGCAGAATGCCTTGCGCATGTTGATGAGGGGCATCCTTGTTGTTTGCCTTTCTTTCTGTCTTGCTCTCAAAGTTGAGACCCATCATCTTTCCGCGACTTGCCACGCCCTCCTGCCAGAGGAAAAGGCGTCCATATCCCAGGCATTTTTGCCCGCGCTTGCCGCACTTTGAGCACTGCGGTGTGGAGCGATCACACTTTAGTCGCTGTCGGCGACAGTTGTGGCATGCGTGCCGGGGCTGATCCAATGAAGTCTGCACTACTGGGACGATTGATTTTTGGTCAGTCATATCTCCCTCGGCGTTTGTCAAAAGTGTCAAGGACTAATGCTCGAAGTATGTGTGGAGTGAACGTCGAGATTCGATTAGAAGGATTCAGAAGCAAATTAGGACGCCTACGTTACCCGCGTAGTAAGCAACTAGCTTTTAGCATAGTTTTTAACTCTAATACTAATTATTTAATATCGTACCTTTATTTTTTTGCTAACTAAAAGATGCTACATCTCGGTAAGCCACTGCATCTCCCTCTGTTGCCCTGTCGGTCCTAGATATCCATTGCTTGTTCGATTGAATCAGTCGCCAGAGTGATAATCAACACCAGAGTCATAGACAGCATCAGACTCGTCTGGATGTTGCTCCCGATCGTGCTCGCTGACTTCTTCGATGAATCGGTCCAGCTCCTCCACAACCTCCATTTGTCTCTCACACACCATCTTCCNCTGCATTGGTATCATAAGGTGAGCTCCCACTCGAAACTTGTGTATCGATAGGTAAGTCAAGTTTAGCTTGGCCTTCAAGAAGTCGAGAAATTGCAGAGCCAAAGCTTTGGGATCATCGACAGCAATCATATCGATCTCACGGAGCTCGAGCGTCCTCAGTGTACTGTCGTAGCTCTCGATAAATTGAACAAGCTCAGTATAACTAGCATCCGAAGCCTTGATGGTGATGGTTTGGAGTGGACTTGACTCTATGCAGGACAAGATCCGCCCGTACTCGCTGTTGTCGAAGCGCAAGAGAGTATCTCCGGTACCCCATGGACAGAAAGAGTGTCCAGACAATTCTAGGCAAGTAAAATTTGACGATATTTTCAGTTCGGCCTTGATATCTGGTGATGAGATGTTGATGTCAAGGTTCATCTTCTTCTCAGATAGCAGTAAACCAAAAACATCATTCTCGTCGCCGTTGGCAAGAGTTATGGGCTCGGATTCCAACAGGAAGAGATCCAGTCGCAATGCTCGGAGTGGGTATCCGCTACGCGACTCGGCTGCCAACACCGCATAGACTGTCCCATTGGCGTGGTGATCATAGAGCATGAAACCTTCATAGGAATCTTCAAAACCCAACCCCCGACGTACTGCTTCTCCGTAGCCGAAGTCATCGTGAGCCCCCAGAACGACACTGGTGTTTTGACATTTTCTCAGGTTTTGGAGGGCCAAGATCAGCATCTTGACATGGTGATGCGCATTCACGAACGCGCTGTGCATTGCTGCGACCATATCATAACGGACGCACCGATCGTCATACTCGCAAGANNTTTGTACTGGTCCAGCGTGTCNGTCATCGTCAGGCGTCAGACGATAAGTGCCGAACGTGATGCACGTAAGATGAGGTCCAAAGACTGGATGAGCAGTGATATCAACCAATGCCTCCATGCTCTGGTAGGTGAAGATGAAACGACGACGAGAAAATTTGTTGCGCGCGAACGGTTCAGTGGCGACTTGGTGCATCAGTCTTGAAGCTAAGCACATATTCTTCAGATCTGCTGACTCACACTCGTAAGCGATCATGCCGAGCACCTCATTAGGTAGAATAAGAAGGTGGGACGGGGTGGCTATTGGAGTTGTGCTGGCAGTGTCACCAGAAGGCAGATTTGCGGCTGGGTCCATCTTTCCAGAAAGATGCGAGAGTGACGAGTTGATGAGAGCAAGGAGGAACCAGGGATGGTGGTTTTGCGTTCATGTTGTGATAAGAGATCGCAGTGGTTGCGAGTGGTTGTTGAAACTAAACAATGATGGGTGTGTAGGTATGAGTGTGCTTCACTATTGGTGCGCGACAGCAGTCGACAGTTGTAGCCACAGCACTTGCTTGTGCGTAAAGTCGATATGACGGTGGTCGCGAGGCAGCAGTTGGACACCGTATTGTTGTAACGTGTGCTGAGAACAATGCTTGAAGGAGGAAGATTTCCGAAAGGCAATAGACTTTTGATACAATGGGAGTGTCGTGTTTGGATTGGATGGAGTAAGGTTGTCGCAGGCATGCAATAGTTGGCGAGGTCGGGGAGTGTGACCAAGAGCAGTCGCGCGTGATGCAACCGGGCACATGAAGAGTGCGAGTCTTGCGACTTCTTGCTCACAGATAGCCAGTCTCCCGGTACCTTGTTTGGTGTTCGTCCTTCTTCCCGAACACCCAAATGACAATGCCGGTAGAGTGCTTTCAGTGAAACGACGAGGTCGGGAAAAGCACTGAATATAAGACGGGTCCCTAGTTCGAGATAGTGTCTTGTGATACTGCAGTCGAGTGTGCTGCAATGATTGATTGAGTGCAGGTGCCACGAGCAGATATCAGAGAAGGACAATGGTTGCTCGTGACCTCTTCCATTCAAACCAGTGACAGCCAGCCGCGGCGACAAAACGGAGAGATCGAAACAATAATCACTCACAATGCGTGTCCTCAGGAAAGAGGAGCTAGAAGAAAATACAATCTATTCTTCTACGAGATGAGACCCGTGAACTACGAAAAAGTCATAAAAAAACAAGACATGACCCAGCTATCCCCACCATTCATGCAAACCATGTCATAAAAACTCGCAGTCCATAAACCGAAAAAGATCCACTAATGCAAAAACAACTCTCGGGTGACCTAGAGCTTGGCACCCAGGTCCTCAAACTCGGCCAAATCTTTGATGGGTCTCATGGCCTCAGAAAGAGGCATGCTGGCCTTGAAGCTTCTGACATCTTCGATTCTGATGGCGGTACCGACTTCTTCCATCTGTTTCTCGACTCTGCGCTCCGAGCTCGTCGCACTGGCAGCCTCGTCTTTGACCTCTGCTGTCTGCTCCGATGACGACTTGATGGTTTCGGCATCGGCTGACTTTGCTTGGGCTAGCAGGTGGGTGGAAATCTTTGAGCGGGTCTTTGAAGCAGGGTCGATGTGCGTGTTGAAGAAGTCGATCATGTCTTGCTTGGTGATGGGCTCAATGTTCTCGACGTCACGATACANCTATCAAGGTGGTCAGTAAGTACAGTCAGTGCTGGGAAGGAGCCAAAACTTACCGAGCTCGAAGTCAAAGGCTTCGCTAGTAACGTGATGCCAGAAACGACCGCTCTCTTGGTTGAGGTTCTTCATCTTCTCCAATCGCTTGTTGATCAGAGCTGTCTTGTGTGACTCGAATTCTTCATCCTTCATCTTATTCTTGAGATTGTCACCGAATGTGTTCAAGAAGACGTCGATGCGCTTCTCGAGGTATTCAGGTGATCTCTCTGACTGAATCAACACACGCCAACCAGAGATGGCGGTGAGCATCAACGGCATGGACTGAACAACGTAGCCGAGCTGCTCCTTTGAGCGAAGGGTGTCAAAGCAGCCTTCGTCTGACATTTGTGCAAATAGCAGAAGTTTGGCGCGGTTGGAACGATCAGTCAAGAGACCGGTGAACAACTGGTAGTCAATGCAGTGGTTGACGTTCTGGGGATCCTTGAGAGTACGCTCAAAGACAAAGTTGCTGCCTTGGGGTGGAACGATAGAGCGACGAAGAGGCCACTGACCAGCAGGAAGGGTCTTGGGCTTCATGATCGACTCTACCAGATCAGTCATCTTGAGTGCATCTTCGCGGTAGAGGTTTCCATGGGCAAGAACCTCGATGTGCATCTGGTTCAAGACTTGTGGGAAGAACTTGCGGATGTCGTCAGCAGTGACTTGGTCGAGCTCTTCGAGCAACTGATCAACAATAAAGCCTTTTTCTGCCACCAGCCATCTGCTGTAGGTGCTGATCTGGTGGTAAGGCTGTTGGTAGCCAAAGTTGCGCCATCCTCGGAGAGTGCGATCTTTAACAATTTCGAAGCGGTCGTCTTTGACCTCGAGATCACGCATACAAACCAAAACCTTCTCAAGAAGAACAGCCATCTTGTCGTTGTACCCACTGATGGTGACGTCGAAGCCCTGAGCGTGGTTCTGAAGATCGTACTCGAGGCCAGCAAGCTCGGCATCGTAAGAGTACTCGGTCAAAGAGTCCTCGACCAAGTCCTTGTACAGCTGAGTAGTGACAGCAGTAAGAGCAGACATGCTGACCAGAGGCGACCTAAAGAAGACCTTGATGTTTGCCTTTGGTGCCCAGAACTGATCGTCTTTCTTCCACCATGTACGAACATTCACGTCGTTGCGAATCAGCTTGGGTGAAACAGCAGGCTTCTCAACCTCCTTGACCTCGACATCGAGACGAGACGGCACAAACTCGTTCTTTGCAGGCATGTGCAACTCGGATGGACGCTGCGAGGACGAAGCTTTGCTGGCAGCCTCCAAGTCCTTCATGAAGTCCTTGGGCATCTTCTCGTACTTGTACTCGGTACCATACCAGTGCTCCTTCTGGTCCCAGTTGCCAGGGTATTCCTGAGAGACGAGAGTTATGCGGAAGTTGTCGGGTCGAAGGTAGTCGAGGCCGCGCTTGATGGCGTCTGAATCGAATTTCCAGATCAGAGACTGAGCGCTGAGCAGCTTGTCGCGAGGGAAGGACTTTTGCATGACACCACTCAGAGCACTGACGGTACGACTAGCAGGAATCTTCTGACGGAAGCGGAAGTCGACTTCTGCAAGCTTGGCCATCTCATCAACAATCCACTCCTGTGGAGGCTGCTCCTTGACCATGGCAAGATATTGGAAGACAGCCTTGACGACCTCTTGGTAATTCTTGAGACCGTCTTCGGTGAGGCGGATGGAGATGGAGAAATGCGAGGTTCCGGGACAGATGTTCATGGGACCAGCACCGAGACCGTTGGCCCAGCCCTTTGCCTTGATGTATGCAAGGATGGATCCGGGCCCTTCGTGACCGATGAGGTGGCTGAGGTATTTGGCGGGCTGAGACTCCCACAGATTCTCCTCGTCGGCGTAGACAAAGTGCATGTCGAGCAGGCGCATGTCCATGACGGGCTTGACAGAGATCTGCGTGCCCAGCTCGGCCTCTGTCAAGGCAGGTACATCGTCCCAGCGCAATTTGGGAAGGTTCTGGTTGGGCACATCCGAGAAGAGTTCAGTGACCCACGACTCCAGCTCGTCCAGCTTCTCGCGGCCAAGAACAGCAAGCTTCATGCGGTTTGCCGAGTAGTTTGCGCGGTAGAAGTTGATGAACTCGTCACGAATCTTGACACCACGAGCGATGGGGTCATCGTGCAAGACCTTGTAGTTGCCGGTTGAGAACTTGTTGAAGGGGTGCTTCTTGTTGGACAGACTCTTGTTCAGTTGGTGCAGACGCCAGTTGTCGGCCTGCAGGTTCTTCTTGTTCTCCGAGTCGACGGCCTGTAGCTCGCGGTCCAGCGTGTCTTCGAGGAACAGCGGGTGGATGAAGAACTGGGCAAAGCGATCGAGGGCGCCGTAGAGCGGGGCTTGCGACTTCTCGATGGGCAGTGTGTCGGTGCCGTTGAGCGACGAGGGCTGGCTGCTGGTGGCCGTCGAGGAAGCCGAGAGCTCAAAGTAGTAGTTTGTGTCGCATGAGGCGGTGAAGGCATTCGAGTAGCCGCCGTATCGTTGCAGGTACTGGTTGTATTCGTTCTCGACGGGGAANNCTGCAGCACAAGAGTCTCAGCCCACGTCTCGCAGAGTCGCCACAGCAGCACGACTTACCTTTTCGGTTCCCATGAACAGCAGATGCTCGACGGCGTGGGCCATGCCGGGCATGTCGTCGGCGTCGCTGAAGCTGCCAATGTTGACGTCCATGGCCGCGCTCGCCTTGTCCGTGTCCGGGTCGTGGATCAGCAGCGCCTCGAGGTCGTTCGGTAGCCGCACGACGCGGTATGTGCGGTTATCCAGTAGTGGCTTCTCCATTCCGTCCGTCAGGACACTGGCTCTGGTGGATGCGGATCGCTGGGGGAGGGGGAGCGACATGTTGGCTGCGCTGCTTCCGACCATGGCGCGCTGGTTGTAGAAGAGGGACGACGGGCTGCGCGAGTGTTGGCGATGATGAGACTGAGACGGAGAGGGCGTGTGGTGGAAGCGTCTCGTCTTTGTGTTTGGTAGGATGGCGGATGGTCTTACTCTTGTCCAAGACTGCACATGCTCAGAGCAAGCGAAACGTTGAAGGCGAAGTGCTCCAGCATTCTTCGCCAGCTCGACGCACAATAGCATCCGCTAGACACCCACTCTGCACACAGGCAAGGGGCTGGGAGACGGAATACAACAAAGACAGTCGCTCTGTCTAATCTCTACTGTCTCTTGGACGACAAGTCTCTTGCAAGAACCCTCTGCTATCTACCACTCTATCGACCTCCATATCAACCGTTCCCCCCCCCCCCCCCATTCGTCATTGAGTCGCGCGCGCCCGGGATCCACCTCGCACCTCGGACCCTAATTCAAATGCACAGTCCAAAGCTTGATTTTATGCAATCAACTGTCTTCATCTTCCTTTCTCATGTCTACTGTTGTTCGTGCCCTTCATCAACACGACATCAATCTCTGCTCCTGTATCCTTCTCTGTGTGTTACTCTCTGCCAAAGAAGCCGGATGCCTGCTCGGCCTATTTTTCCGAGTAAAGCACACTGCCTTCTCCAATCTGGCCTCGTTTGCCTGTGAATCTTGTACATCTCATTCGTGCAGCCATGTTCCTCTAGACATCCATAGTCTCATGCAATCCCGTCCGCATACTTTCACCAGCACGCCACTCATGTTTCATCTATCGAATGTTCAAGCTCTCGTACTTGAGCCATGCATTGCGCGCCTTGTTGACATGGTCCAGCCCGAGCTGGTCGCCCTCGCTGTAGTTTTCTGACAGAATGTCATCTGCAATCTTGGTTAGCCATTTTCTTTGAGAGCATCAAGTACCACACTCACCATCTTCAAGCGGCTTCGGTCGAGAGTAGCTGCCGTGAGGGATGACAGCAAACTTGATCTTCTCGAATTGCTTGCCCTTGATGCCTGTACGCTTTGACAACCTCTCCTTGGTTTCCTTGAAGATTTCGCCCTGNNTTACAACCTGTCAGTATTCTGGTCCTCTTGAGCACATTTCTGTACCATCACTTACTTGCTTGACGAGGAAGATGAAAGGCACACCATGCGGTTTGCCGGGCTCTTTGTCGTAGTGGAAGCATCCAATAAGAGATGGTGTTCCCTCCTTCTCAGCTTCACGTTCCTCCTCCGGTAGGCGTTCTGCATACACCTGCATAAACTCGTTCAAGGTCGAAACAGCTGTGTCCAGGTTGAGATTCTTATACACTTTGCCCGAATGTGCCTCGTAGAAGCGGATTTGCTCAATGAGCTCATCTGGTAGCTTGGCCTTCCTCTGGAATACTGGAAGAACATCTTCAAACGTGCCGACCTTGGGTACGAGGCAGTCAAATGTCTCTTCCTTGGTTACTCCTTCAGGCAGCCAAGTCACCTTGACTGTCTTGCGCTGTTCCAAGTCGGTCAAGCTCATTTCCAGGACTTCGTAGTAAAGTGTGTCGGGTGCTTGGTTGGTGTAACCATAACCGCCACCATATCCACCTGTACCGACGCCGGCAAGGATCGTGTGCACTGTGGTTGTAGGCGTGCGCTTCACCGGTCCTCGGGGCTTGCCACTTTGAGAATTGACGGTAGTAAAGCGCAGGTGAGTGGGATCCACCTCTGTCTTTGAGATTGCTGACAAGTGTTGTGCTGTCTTGGTCGCCAATATGTCATAGCTGTCCTTCCTTGAGAGGTACATCTCAAACTCGTCAGCGCCTTGTTCGAGAGGGACGCTCTGTGGTGCTCCAGGGCGGGGAAGGAAGAATACACGGATGCGGTTCAAAAGATAGTCATAGAAGGAGTTTGCGTCAAGGTAAGCAGAGGGGTACTTCTGTTGGAATGCTTGAACCTCTTCCGTAGGCATGACCTTCTGGAAGCAGACAATGTCGCCATCTTGGATCTCCGATTGTCCTAGAGTCTGCTTGGGCTTCATGACATCGATGAAATTTTGCTTGATCTCCTCGTAAAGCTTGAGCGATGTGCCGGCTTCCCAGCCCATGAGCTTCAAGATCGGTTCCGCAAGATCCTGTACCTTTTGGCTTTGGAGCATGTATGCGTGGCCGACACCTTTGAGTGTCTGTGTTTCGAGGTCGAAATGCTTGAGGAAAACAATAATAGGCTTTTGCTCCTGGGTTGGAGCAGAGGCTGGCGTGACGTCGGTATCCCAAATTGGTTTGCCATCCTCACCGCGTGTGGTCTGTTCAATGAAGAGACGGAAGGATGCTGCTCTAGTAGAGAATTTAGCATTCGCTTCTTCGAGCGTCATCGTCGAGTAGTTGAGAGGGTGGTCGGGTCTGACAGTGCCATTTTGGCGGTTAACCATGACCCAGGGACGAATTAGATCAGCATCAGTCCCAATGTCCTGGGCGACATGCTCGTTGAATTCTGACAGAGTCATTGCCTTCTTGTATCGCAAGACTTTGGGAGCAACAGCGTCTTCCTGGTCCGTTGACTTCCAGTCAACCAGGTCAAAGCCTTGGTAGGAGCGGAAGTTGGCCTCTGTGGCGATCTGGACGTTCATGTACAAGTGTGCCTCTTCACGTTCCTTTCTCTTGCGTTCGACGGCAGCACGCTCTTCGGCAAGACGACTGGGGAGGTGAGTTGGGGGTTGAATGCTGTCGCTATCTCCGAGTATCTGATCGATGCGGCTTTCACGGATGTAGACAAGCATGTAAGCACTCATGGATCGCTTAGTTGACCATTGGCGAGTGAAAGGGTTCTGCATCTTTGTAGCGCCATTAGGGCCAGTTGGGGCGTAGTCACCTCCAAAGTTCTCGTCCATGGCTTCTCGGGNGGTGGCGCGAGTTACGCGGTCGTCGTCGAACTTGAAGAATGGGCTGTCTTTGGTGGGCTTGAGGAAAGCGTAGTAATGGCCAGCGTTCATGTCACCGCTGTGGACGAGCACGCCGTGAAGGCGGTAGATGTACGGCTCGGAGCGATCGGCTGTCTCGGAAAGGTATGGCGAAGCATCCCAGATCTCGGGGAACTCGTACCGGTCGTTGACCTTGACCATGGCGTCCCTAACAAAGTCGTACTCGAATCGCTTGAGTTGGAGATGCAAGACTTGAGGGAAGCTCTCGAAGATGACACCCTTCTTTGCGTCTTGCAAACCGTATCCTTCGGCGGCATACTTGTTGTCGCCCTCAAGAGTCTCTACCTGGACATAGTCGCGGAAACTGTCGTCCAGAGTCTTGCAGCCGCTGACGTTGAGTTGCAGGTCCCAAAAATCTTCGACACGAGAGCTCTCGTAGTCGACGTTGATACAGCGGAGATATGTCTTCATCTTGCCAACAAACATCTCGGCCAATACGTTTGCAGCTTCGGTGCCCTTCATCTTCTCTTCCAACTTGTCCATCAAGATGCGAGAAAGCTCTTGGACGTCCTGTTGCTCGAAGACCTGGCGTGACTCCCATCCGAACGATTGTGTGAGTTCCATAGTAGAGACAGCGGCGGGATCTGTCTGGAGCTTGTAGAAGAGGCGTTGCAAGGCCCATGCGCTGCTATTGCGTGCGTCTGTCTCGTTCTCGGTGGGTATTTGATAGACAGCNNCTGGGCGATCTCTGTCAGCGAACGAGCCTCGGCCTTTTCAAAGTCCACATACCTTGCGGAAAGCATTGGTGAAAAAGAGAGATTGGAGCAAAGAGTTGAGATAGCAAGTTGCGCCCTGGTTGCGCAGACCCACCATGCCGGTCTCTTTCTTCGAGTCATAGCTGAATAACAAAGTTAGTCGGTTGATCAAGGAGTTAGGGGGTACAAGACAAGAATGTGAAAGATCGTGCCGTTGGAACAGAGAGAAAGGAAAGTGGCTTCCTAGCCAATAGTAAAGATGGTTGAGATGGTGTGATGGCAAGCAACTTGCTGGATAGTCTAGAGTGCGTGGTTGCATTTGACAATCCCTGACACAGCTGCATGCTTCGGCAAGCGGCACAGAAATACTTGAGAATACCGAGAGATCGTAACAGTTGAGATGAAATGATGGGCGAGGGCGAGGGCGAGGGCGAAGGCGAAGGAAGAAAGGAAAAGACAAGGCTCGACTCACTTGACAAAGTTGTGCCAGAGAACGCCAGTTGCGTCTTTCAAGACGCGGACATAGGCGGTTAGTTTGGCAGAATCGTTCTCAATCAGAGGACGGTCCTTGTCGTCAAAGCGTGTAGCAAACACTCTGCTCTTTTCTGCGAATCGAGTAAAACCCCAGTCACCCTCCTCTTGATTGAAACGGTGTTGAGCCTCGTGGTGTAGATAGATGGACGGGTCGTTCGGGTTCCATAGGACGAGCATGAAGCGAGCGCATGCATACCAGTCTGCCGGGGTTTGTCCTCTTCTCCATAGCCCTGTTCGAGGTAGAAGCTGACAGACTCGGTCGCGTTGTTGCCGGCGGGGAAGAAGAGGACTTTCCAAGGGTGGTCTCCGGTGTGGAAGGTCGGACTGTTGTGTCTTCTGGGCAGCGTACGCCAGTCTTTGATGTCCCATGTGTAGGTTGTTTCGGACTCGATCTCGAGGTCGGGGTCTTCGGGCATGAAGCGGTTGCGCATGGCAGCGTAGTCGTCGGCGCGAGGCTCCTGGACGGCGACCTCCTCCATCGAGTCGTCCTCGGGTGAGATTATGGCGACATCTTGTTGCTTCTCGTCGTAGTCTGAGTCGACCAGCATGTCATGGCCGAGCTGCGGGCGGAGTGTCAGTGCTTTGTGATTGAAGACCAGGTCTCGGTGTGGAGGTGGTGACGACATGGTGAGAGCGGATCAGCAAGGCGAGCTTCTGTTATACAACAGTTGCAAGCTGGCCGAGGATGGGATGAATTGGAACGAACGACAACGGTGGGGATTTTGTCAGAGATTCTGGATTGGGAACTTACATCCATCTTGTGCAGAAGTGCTGGACAAGGGAAGGTGCGATGCAGACCGGTTAGGAATGTGCGTGCTCAATGATGTCCAGATACTGCCGCTGCTGCTGGACTTCTCACGCCTGCGGGTCGATGGCAACCAGCGGGTTATGGATATGGAGAGCTGTCGGGTAGTCGATGCTCTGTGGTTCTAAGATGCGGCTCTGTCTGCGCCTAGGAATATGCCAGCACAATCTCTCTCGCCTTCGGTTGGTGGTGGAGTTATTGTTCGGCAGGCCGGAAAGAACGAGTAGCAAGATCAAAGCACGCGCCAAGCCTGACGTACTCAATCACTCACTCAGCGCAGGTGCAGGTGCAGGAGCAGGAGCAGTTTGCTCGCGGGGCAAAGCCTCGCTGTGTGCTGCGAGCTGACTTCACAAGCACTCCACTTGCACCTGTTTCCATCTGTGCCGCTTCATCCTGGCAATATTGATCGTGTCTCATCGTTGCCCCTTGACTTCAGGTAGGTTTCTTAACCACGCTGCAAGTGAGTGTCCGTCGCTGTTCGCTATCTCTCCTATTCCGGCGCATTCTAGCTCCGACGACCCATCAACTGAGTCGTTGCATACAATTGATCCCCTCGCTTCAACACGACGGACTGACACTCGATCTAACAACCCTCTGTTCTTTCATCAACTGAAAGCAAGCCTCCATCTTTCTTCCATTCGACCTCAATTCTTAATCATTTCATGGTTGACATTGACCGTCTATCTCCGTCTCTCGTCTTTCTTTGTACTTCGCCCGAGCAATCATGGGTGGTCGAGCCTTCCCTGACCTTTGTGTCCCTCGCATGAACCATCAAACCTACAACCAGGTCAAACATGCCGCACTCAAGGCTTTATCTCAACGCTTTGCCAGCGTCACCGCCATTCCCGAGGCTCCTGGGAAACTGGATTATGGCGATGTCGACCTCGTCGTCGAGTTGCCATCGTCCATGCCGTTACCGTCTCAGCAAGTAATTCTCGATCTCGGAGCAGAGCACGTCAAAATCAACCACCCAGTATATTCCTTCGCTGTCCCTCTCGAAAACACCAGAGACACAGTCCAGGCTTTTGCTCAAGTCGACGTCCAAGTCTGTCCCCCTGGCGACTTCGCATGGACGACGTTCGTGAATGGCTACGGCGACCTTGGCTCTATACTCGGCACCTTCAATTACGGTTATGGCTTTACATCTAAGAATGACGGCTTCTTTGTCCGCATCGAAGAACAAGAGGCGCAGAACCGGGCTGCAAGCCAGGTCTTCTTGAGTAAGGATCCAGATTTGGTCATGGATTTTCTGGGTCTTGACAAGTACAGATTCCATCAAGGGTTCGAGTCCGAGCGCCAACTTTTTGACTGGGCCGTGAACTCTAGGCTTTTCAATCGCAGATTGGTGGAGAAGAGAAGGGACAACTCTGACAACCGGAGTCGAATGGAGAAACGTTCGATGTTCCGCAACTTCGTGTCTCAATACCTGCCTTCTCTTCCAGATGTCGGCACTGACGCTACTGGAACCCGAGCTGCTTATACCAACGCCGCTTTGGTGTTCTTCGACACACAAGATGAGTTCAACACTCGTCGTCTCAAGATAATCAACGAGAACAAGGAGGACCACGCATGGGACATAATCAAGACCACAGTCCTCCAACCACTGGCCAAGCTAGAAGAAAAAAGACTAAACGAGGTCGTCAGAGCCTTGAAGAGGTTCGTGGCCTTTAAGGGTGGTGAGCCAGTCATGTGCTCCGAACCAGAGATGGATGCTGAGGACCAAGCTCGATTCGCTCGATACATCACTGCAGCAGATGAGGTAGCGCCCAATCTGCGCGAGTGGATTCTCAACAACTGGAAGGAGGTCAGGTCGCAGGAAAGACAAAGGGCTAAAGGTAGCAGAAGGTTGGAGGGCCAGCAAGGATGATCGAGCCAGCGACGTTCCGATTCTTTCAGTCTACATGTTTTCTTGGCGGGAAGACAAGCCCTATAGCAAATGTTTTGGCAGGGTTGGGTTGGCTGCAACGACGATAACTTCCTGTCCTGTTCTGGAAAGAAACAGGCAGAGCAAACATGTTCACTGCTCCCGAGTCCTCGGCCGCAAGCCTGCGACTGGGGAAGTGGAGGGTCCGTTCGTCGCAGCTTAAATTGTCTCCGCGTCTTGATCGGCGACACGGGCAAGCAGACATGAGACTCAAGCTCGCAAACAATTGGCAAAGCATTCACATCACAATCGAAAAAACACCGAAGCATCCGTTATGTAGTCAAAAGAACAACACCACGAACGCCGTTCCCATCGTCATTTCATCAAGCGCTCCAGAAAACGTTTGTGCTTTGCACGGTCTTGGCGCTCGTATGCAGCCCTCCAAAACCTGGAGAGCGCGGAGCAGTTCGCATGTCTCGCAAAGATAAGATTCGTTGTCGCTCGGCCCAGTGCGGTCTCGACGCGTTGAGAACTTGAGGAACAGGAACACCCCGACCAAAGAAAACCTCATGTTTACCTCTGTACCTCGGTCTGTGAATGCGGTCACGGCGGGTTGAAACCTTGCTGCGGCAATTGATTTAGACGGAAAAGCCCTGACGCGCTGTCCTTCGACTCTTGATCCTCTTTATCTCATCATCGGACTGCGCATCCGCAGGTCAACCTTTTCCTCAGTTCCTTTCGCCTCGAATTCTCATCCAAGCCTTGGTAAACTTGGCGAATCAATTCAGGCTTGTTTCTCTGATAAATCCAACACTCCCCTCAGCTGTATTGTCGTCTCCGTCCCATGGAGTTTGTGCCCGAGTTTTTCTGCCTGCTTCTCAAACAAATCCATTAAACGCCCCCAGGGTTCGAAGCCTTACAACAAGCCACGCGCCACCAAAAATTGTACACAGACGTCCTATACCGAGAGATACTGGATAAGGCTCCGGTTTCTAGCTGAAGATATGAGGTCTTCCTTGTCACACGATGCCATCCACTCGTCCAGCGTCGAAGCTTCGGGCAGTGGTGACGCTCTCAAAGTCCGCCATCCGTCCAAGTCTGGTGTCGAGACCTACAACGAGACCATTAGCTTACCTGGATATGGAGGAGAGTCCGGAGGATCCGTGGACTCGATCTCCCTGGCCAAAGACGGGACTCATCGGCGTCTGAAGTCCCGTCACATTCAACTTATTGGTATTGGAGGTACCATTGGTACCGCGCTCTTCGTCTCTATCGGAAATGGTCTTCTCAATGGTGGTCCTGCTAGTCTTTTCCTGGCATTCAGTATATGGTAAGTCATAGCAAGCAGCTCGCAATAGATTTAGAACGATACACCGAGCTCTGCCACTCATCAACGATCTCGCCATTGGGGGAGGAGAGAGTATACAGTCAAGAATAAATTTAACATGGATTGCAGGTGCTCTTTCATTCTTGCTGTCACTATAAGTACGAGCCTTTCCCTTCTTATCCTCCTTTTGCGCAATGGCGTCGTGTCCTCGACAAAGCCCAAGCGACATCCATCAGCCCATCGCGATCAGCCAAACAAACTTCTGTCAATGTACTGACTCGACGCTCCAGGTACTGCCGAAATGGTCACTTATCTCCCTATCTCGTCACCCTTCATCAGATTCGCCAGTCGGTACATGGACGAAGCTATGGGCTTTGCAGCGGGCTGGAACTTCTTTGTGTTCGAGGCAATTCTGGTAAGACATTTGCAGACCATCTAGTTGTTGCGATCAGTCTGACATCAATTANNGGTCCCTTTCGAAGTCACAGCTTGTAACGTTGTTATCCATTACTGGAGTGATGTTGTCCCAGCTGGTGGCATCATTGCTATCGTCATTGTGCTTTATGCGTGCGTATCCGATCTAGAAGTACATGGCGGACTGCTAATACAGTCGTAGNNTCTGATCAACCTCCTCACTGTTGAATGGTATGGCGAGACCGAGTTCTGGGCAGCTCTCGGAAAGGTCTTGCTGATCGTCGGTAAGCTTATACGATCTTGCGTGTTTCCCGACTTGGTTTTGATACTCTCTNNAGGTCTCATCGTCTTCACTTTCATTGTCATGTTGGGCGGTAATCCACTCGGCGAAAGATTTGGCTTTAGATATTGGAACAACCCTGTAAGTACGAAATCCAGAACCGGCAAACCTGTGCTAATCCGATCTTTTTGTCAANNGGGATCTTTTGCTCAACTATACTATGGGGGACAACTTGGCTACTTCCTTGGCTTCCTTCAATGCTTCATACAGGCTTCATTCACTATTGCTGGACCAGACTATGTCAGTATGGCGGCTGGTGAGGCCGAGAACCCACGTGTCGTCATGCCCAAAGCATTCAAGGCCGTCTTCTACCGTCTGACCGCTTTCTTCATGCTCGGCTCTCTCTGCGTCGGTATTCTAGTTCCATACAACGACAAGGAGCTTATAGCTGCCACTACTGCCGGCCTTCCTGGCGCAGCAGCCTCACCCTACGTCGTGGCCATGAATCGTCTACGCATCAGAGTGCTTCCTGATATCGTCAATGCTATGGTTTTGGCGAGCGCTTTCTCGGCTGGTAACAGCTACGTCTATTGCGCATCTCGCTCCCTCTATGGTCTCGCCCTCGAAGGCAAGGCACCCAAGATACTCACCCGCACCACGCGCCGAGGTGTGCCCATCTACTGCACTCTCGTCGTTCTGTGTATCGCACTCCTCGCCTTCCTGCAAGTCAGTGCCAACGCCGCCACCGTGCTCAAATGGTTCATCAACTTGGTGACTGCATCCCAACTCATCAACTACGCGGTCATGTGCATGACCTTCATCTTCTGGAAGCGCGCTTGCGATGCGCAAGGATTTGATCGCAACAACCTACCCTTCAAAGGATGGGGCCAGCCTTACCTTGCCTGGTATGGTTTCGTCGGCTGCATCATCATGGCCTTTGTAGGAGGATACTCTGTATTCCTACCTGGCAAGTGGGATGTTCCGACTTTCATCTTCAGCTACTTCATGATTGGACTGTTCCCCATCCTGTTTGTTGGGTGGAAGTTGATCAAGAGGACAAAGTGGACCCGTGCGGTTGACGTTGACCTCAGAGGTGAGGTTGACGAGATTGAGGAGTACCAGGCTACTTTTGTNGCCTGATGCATCAAACGAGTAAGCGCGCCCTACCTTTTTTAACACATCGTCAACTAAAACTGACTTCGCAGCACTCACTTCGAGAAAGTCTTGGACAAAGTTTTCGGTTGATGACTATTGTGATGAAGTATATACGTGTTCTCTACGATGAGTACTGGAACTCTCTTATTGGTTTATACCAGTGTTCTGGTTTTCATGAACAAGTCTTTGCACGTTGTTTGGCAGCAAGCTGTAGACTGCCATCCTGTCTCTATCTTCAATTCATTACAACAGTCGCAACGAATGCTGGATTACCTTGTATAATCATAATTCAGTGCTTTTTAAGTATTTGTACGGGTGAAGATGTTGTCCATGCGATAATGGTGTTGATGATCAGGTGCTTGTTCAAGCCGATTAGTTTGTATGTTCTAACGCGCTATGAGCACATGTCACCGATGAAGCATACCATGGAACACATATTCATGTATATCAGTTCAACGAAGCTCATAATCAACCTAGACTACTGGCCAACAGCTAGTATGATTTAACAGATATATGATAAAGTACTCAGAAGAAGAAAACAGCCAGTGTTGCTGCAGCAATATCGTCGTCGACCCAAAAACTGCTTGTAAGGGGTACAACCCTGCCCTTACATCATAGACCCTTGCCGAACTTCCCGACCAGCCACCTCGAAACTCAAAAGCAACCACCCTTCACGGCATGTCAGATGCGCAACTTGCAAGGAATATGTGATTCCAGGCTTGCGACGCAGTCATCAGAATAGACTTCGCTTTTCCTCTCCATTGGCGCACGTTAACGACCATCTGCGGATCGTCGATGGCCGAAGGATTCAGGCCCCACAAGCCTTGACTTCAACAGTCACTCTTGCTGCTTGCACATCGTCTTCAAGGTCACAGACACTCACGTGAAGACCCACCAGGTCGTGGAGTTGCGGCCGTACGATCAATGCGGTTCTGATTCGAGACACTGGACACCCCTGTGCAAAGTCGCAGGCAGCACGTCGTAAATAGAGGCAGCAAATCGCTCGCTCACCAGCGCTTGCATGTGTCTGGGGTATGATCTGATTCGATACTTGACTGAAGACTCCCACTATGGTATAACAGCAGCGAGTCAAGAGTTTGCGCCACGAAGTGAAGGGTTAGTCGCATCGTTTGATGCCTTGATTCGATTCTTGGTACCAAGACCGGGTAAACAACCAAGTCTGGGCATGAACAACATCATTCTATTTCAGGATCCGCTTTCCTGTGTTCCCTACCTTAGTCGCCCTTTTCTTGACTTCTTTCTCACATTCAGCTGATTTCTATATCGTGTATTGACTATTTAGAGACCATCAACATGTCGCTAAGAGTGGCACTCGTGGCACTGGCTGCAATTGCGAGTTCGATTCATGCTCAAGATGAAGCCAGTCGAGCACCATGCTCGCAACTTAGTGCTCTCTCGACAAACGATACCAAATTCTTTCCCGCCGACCTTGCACTCTCGTGTTTGCGCTCGGTACCACTGGCAAGAGAAGACGATCTTGTACAACTTAGCGGTCTGCGTACCTTTCTGGAGTTTCAAAGCGATCTGGACTATCTTGCAGATCCTACTGTCGGTCGCATTTATCCTGGAATTGACCTGCTGGCTGGCCTGGACGAGCTCACCTCCATGCTCGAGGACGATACCTACGAGAACGAATATGATTTTCAGATGGATGTGTTCAAACTCTTTTCAGCGGCTTACGATGGCCATCTTTCGTATATCCCTGATATCGTGGATGTGTTTGCTTTTGGCAGGTTGCAGAGTGAAGATCTAGATGATGAAGGAATCGCTGACTATTTCTCACTGATCTCGGTAAGTTGGAATCAGATATATCTTCTGCAGGCTTGTAGTCCCAAACTTACATGTCCACTATGCAGGTCCTGACCGGCGAAAATNGAAACCCCGGACATCTACGCATACATGGATGAATCTGCTTTGGTTAACCCTAGAAGCTTTGATTACAGTCCTTCTCCCATCACCAAGATCAATGGTCAGGATGTCGTGGCTTGGCTCAATAGCTATGCATCTCAGAACGGCCGGTCGCAAGATCCCGATGCGAACTACAACCAGGTTTTCGTCAACATTCCCAAAGTGGCATATCAAGCCGCCGAGACAGATTATTTTGCCGTCTCCAGATTCTACCAAGGCGATGATACCGTGCTTACCTTTGCTAATGAATCAACCCTTGATGTGATGACCAGAGCACAATTGCTGTCTAACAAGACACTAGAGGGTCTTACTGATGGCGCGAGCTTCTTCGACAGATTCTGTAGCAACAACCTGACAGAAATGATTCTGGCACAGGCGAACGCTACTGGAACAGCGCCTTTGCAGACTGCGACCAATGTTACTCGAGTACCCTATGAATCTATCTCGACGGAAGGTGTTGCGCCACCACACCCAGCTTACCCAAGCCCAATCGCCATCTCTTCGGACAAGAGTGTTGCTGGCTACCTCTCCGAGACCAACTCCGACCTTGCGATTCTTTCCGTGCCCAGCTTCTCCACGACCTCTCCTGTCGAGTTTGAGAATGTCGTGCGTCAGCTATTGGCGACTGCGAGTGAAACCAAACGCACCAAACTCGTCATCGATCTCCGTGGCAATGGCGGAGGCACCATTTTCCTGGCTTACGATCTTTTCCGCCAGCTGTTTCCCACTGAAGTTCCTTATGGTGCAGGCAACTACCGCGCAAGCGAACTACATAACTTTACAGGACGTGTTGCGAGCGAGAATATCGACGCACTTGGCGCTGCGTACCCTGAATTGGTCAAGTCTGGTGTCGATGGAGTTGTGCTCAACAGTTTCAACTACCGCGAGCCATTGACTGTGGACAATGAGCAATTTACTTCTTGGGAAGAATTTTTCGGACCGCAGGAGACCGACAGAGGAAGCTTTACCTCGTTGAACCGCTTCAACCTTACAGACATCTCTGCCACAACGATACCCATACTGGGCTATGCAGACGGCAACACCACACAACCACGCACTTTCGCACCCGAAGACATCGTCCTCCTCCACGACGGTACCTGCGCATCCACCTGCGCCATCTTCAGCGAACTCATGTCCTCCCAAATGTCCATATCCAGCATCGCAGCCGGCGGACGGCCCCAAAAGGCACCCATGCAAGCCGTCGGCGGCGTCAAAGGCTCCCAAGTCCAAGGCATGTTCATCCTCTCCACCATCGTCTCCGCCGTCCTCGCCGCCGCACCGCCTATCGAGCAACTCGCCTTCATCTCCACTTTTGGCACCAGCATCTTGACGGCAACCAACAAAGCACTTTCCCGTGCTTCGTTTGGCGGAACGCTTTTGGTAAAAGCGTCTGTCAATTTCAGAAATGATATAAGGAGAGGAGATGTTGACAAGACGCCGCTGCAATATGTTTATCAAGCTGCGGATTGTAGGTTTTTTTATACGGCAACGATGTATGTTGATCAAGCTGCCGTGTGGGACAAGGCGTATGATGCCACTTGGGGAAGTATGCAGTGTGTGGAGGGATCTACTTCTCATCCTTCCTCGGTGGCTGGTGGTGGCAACATCACCGCTGGACCACCAGAGACGGCGCGCAATTTCTTTGGAGGCAATGCGAGTATTGTTCTAGGAGATGATCTGGGGACTATTTGGAGAAACGGCAGTTTGGAAGGTGGAAGAGGCAGTGGCTCTGGAAACGCTAGCAACAGCTCTGGCAATGGTTCGACTGAGGGAAACAGCGATGGCAAACAAGACGACAAGAGTGGTTCCAACGTGTTGGCAGTGCCTTTGGTCTTGACTTCGTCTCTGACCATCAGCATAATCTTGCTGTTTGTATAGAACACACATAGATTCTCGAGACATATTGAAGACCACAAGATAGAGGCTAGAAAGCGGCAGCCCTTCACATCCGAACCTCCCACATATCAGACGATGTCCAGCAGGTACCTGTATATATGATCCGGCTGTATCGATTCGATATCAGAGGCGTTAACTTCATCCGACATGGTTATGTTGAGAGGAAGCAATGCTCCAGCGCTATGCTCAAAACGATTCGTAGTATTCATAAACCTATCAACTGGAACATGCAGAGAGCCAAATAGTGTTGCGGTCTTGCGAAGCGAAAGAAGGTCTGAGAGAATCGTTTCGTGATGGTTGATAGACCACAATGTCGCAAGATTGAATATGGAAAATTTTGGAGTAATCGAGTACAGTATGGAGCAAGGGTTTGGTCAAGCGCCATGTCAAGGGGAGTAATGATGAGTGCGTATAAACATCATGTAATGACAGAATATAGCAAAGACACAGTACGACTATAGCTTGAACGCAAGAGAAGACGACAATGGTTAGGTTACGAGCTACTTGGAATGAGTCGACTACTCCATCCTCCGTCTTTTCACTCGGTAGAGCTTCAGCAACAGTCTCTTCTCATCACCATTTTCCAATCAGCTCCGCTGCCCAAGGTCCACCAGCTTCCAGCTTCTTGCGAATGAGCGCTCCTTGTTCGCGAGGATACAGGTGCCTGAGACTGATGGGTGGATGCTCGCACGATGGTTTTGTGTGATTTGCTGTCACATCAAGCAAGAGTACCCAGCGGTGACTCCACAGCTTGAAAGCCTCAGGGTCAGGATTGCACATTGCAGCTGCCTCGAAGCCGTTCCAGATGAGCTCGACTACACAAGTCGGGCAGATCAGTTTCTTCTGAAGGTCTTTCTGACAGTCTTCTTGAGCTGGAAGAAGGTGCGGCGAATGCTATGAACAGATTAGCTTGTACTCGGAACAGAAAGACGACGGTTTACAGACATCTTGGTGAAGCTGGCCTTGGAGACAACTGGGCGACTCACACGAACAGGAGCGTTGACAAGAGGAGCAGGGTGGTGCGAAGTCAGAATGGCAGGGGGAGGAGCAAAGGTAGGCTGAGCGACGAGCAGAGCAAGGTTGGAGCGAGCAGCGTGGGCAGCGTTCTGAGCTCTGGCAGCCATGATCTGTCCAGCAAGGGTCGATGCGTCCCAGGGGCCATCACCCATGCCAGCTTCGGCGGCCAGCATCTCTCTCTGGGCGGCAGAAAGACGGTCTTCCTTGGAAATCCAAACGTCCAGGCGAGACATGTCCCTGACGCGCTGGCCCAGAGCGAGGAACAGCTTGATCATCATGTCTTCGTCGGCGAGTTCGCCGGACTTGACCATCTCCATGAAGCGGTCGTTCTTGACCAGGTACTCCATCTTCTCCATGATGATCTTGATGGTGAGCTCGATGAGGAAGGGGTCGGCGAAGACGGGTCCCTCGGGTCCAAGCACTCTCTGGATAGCCATGGGGAACCAGCGAGTGTCGACAAGGGCGTTGGCCTCAAAGAAGAAGGTCTCGGCAGCCTTGAGACGAAGGCTGCGAATGTCGAACTGTTCGCCAATGAGGTAGAGGTCGACGTGGAAGTCCAGGTTGCGGCCAAGAGTGTTGCGCTGGTGGATCTTGTGGTACTCGGTGCCGTGAAGGAAGCAGAGCATGGCGTAGATATGCTTAGGGTTGTCATCATCACCAAGGTCGATCACATCAGAGGTGGCAACCTGTATGTCTTGTCAGTGATGCGTCAAGAGAATGATCGATGCGAGTGGAAAAACATCAAGCATAGAGAAGACGAGGGGTAATAGGGATCTAAGCACGTACAGGGAAGTTGCTCGAGAATGCGCGTTCGAAGTAGCCAGACTTTGCGCTGAGGACAGCCTTCTGGGAGAGGAACTCCGAGCGGCCACCATTGAAGCGGACGACGACGTCCGAAGTCACAACGCCGGTGACGTTGTAGAGTCTAGGCAGGTTCTATTGCGCCTTGGTCAGTCTTGTGCGCATCGTGAGTAGCCATGAGAATCATCTTGACTCACGCCAAAGTCCTGCGAGAGAGTGTGCTGGTCCCAGTCCTCGTCAGGAGCTACCATGTCAGCTTCGAGAGATGCCATGCCGTCAAGGAAGGAACACTCCGATTGGGAGTCCTGGAAGAGTTCGTCTTGGAAGCTGCCCTCCGAAGAGGAGAACGAGTTGCGCATAGCAGGGTAGACTTGGTCATGGCGAGACATGATGCCGAGACGATACGCCTAGAGGATCTGCACCGCGACGACGAGATGGGATGAGAATTGGTATGAACCGGGGTACGGGGTAGGAGGAAGAGAAAGTGATAGTGGACGTCGCGTGGTGTCGGATCGTTGTCACGCTCCAAGCAAAACAATGGAAAAAGTGAACTCCTATCACAACAAACTGAACCAGCGTCACTCTCACTCGACCGAACAGATAAATTTCATACACACTCCGGTCTGGCGACACCAACACGGGGTTGATCCCTTTATTTACAAGCTGACCATTTCTTTCTCGTGTTTGAGAAAACAGCCCCTCATGGATGGGCAAGGAAGGGCACAGCGGGGAGAGTAAAAGATGCAGAGACGCTTCATTGGAATGGGAAGCAGATGACCTATATGAACAAGAGAAATGAACAGACCTCGTAAGATAGCGACATGCTTTTCGGTATCAGCAAGCAGATGCCCGAGCCTAGAAATGATAGGCACGATGGACAAGCTCCAGGTCAGTCTGTGCTACGAGACAGAGGTCGTCTGAGGCACCGAATTTGTCGAGCACATGCTCGAAGTCCCCTGGACTCGGAGCTGGACGATGTCTGAGTCTGCCGGCTCTTGCTTCTTCTCGGATCCTTGCAGTCACAAAATATCGATCCTGATGGCCAATCGATTCTAATATCCATGGCCTAGATCTTGACGCTCCAGGGGTGAGCCTCGTCACCGTATTGAATACCTTCAATCCAGTCCTTCATACGCTGGGCGATGGGACCAGCCTCCTTGTCAGCCTCGAGACCGCAGTTGATCATAGAGTCCTTCCAGCCGATGTTGCGAACAGGGCTGACGACGGCAGCGGTACCAGCACCAAAGACCTCGAGCATGCGACCTTCCTTGTCGGCCTCGGCGAGCTCTCTGACCGAGAATCTACGCTCGTTGACCTCCCAACCTTCGGGAACAAGACGCTCACGAGCAAGTTCGAGGATAGAGTCACGAGTAACACCTTCCAGAATAGTTCCATCCAGGGGAGCCGTCATCAATTCCTTCTTTCCATCCTTGTTGATGATGGCAGCGAACAGGTTCATGGTTCCGACCTCGGTGACCCATTCCTCACCACCCTCCTCAAACAACCACAGGTTCTGGTGGAAGCCACGAGAGGCGGCCTGCATCTGAGGAACGATGCAAGGAGCGTAGTTTGCGCCGAGCTTGCTGTTGCCGACACCGCCAGGCCATGCACGAACAGCGTATGTGGTTGCTTCCAATGAGACAGCCTTGAAGCCAGTAGGATAGTATGGACCGACGGGAGAGGCGATGGTGTAGAGAAGGGCAGAGCCGGGGGNGCCGACACCGAGAGTACGTTGAGTGCCGATCATGGTAGGACGGAGGTAGAGCGAGTAGCCACGAGCACTGGAGTCGACGAGTCAGATGGTGCTGGACAAACCGAGGGAGACTACTCACGCAGGGATGAAGCGCTCATCAGTCTTGACAAACTTGGAGACCAGGTCAATCATGGCCTTGGGGTCGAAGTTGGGCAGAGCAATGCGGGCAGAGGATCTGTTCAAGCGGGCCATGTTCTTGTCGGGACGGAAGAGACGAACGTTGCCCTTCTCGTCCTTGTATGCCTTCATACCCTCGAAGCACTCGAAGGCGTAGTGGAAGACACAAGTGGCCGGGTCGAGCGAGAGGTTCTGGTAGGGAGTGATACGGGGAGCCTGCCAGCCGTCGGTGGCAGTCCATTCGAGAGACAGCATGTGGTCGGTGAAGTGCTTGCCGAAGACCAGCTCATCGTTGGGGATCAATTCCTTGGGCGTCGTTGTCTTGGTAATGGTCAACTTGGAGTTGTCGATGGTGGTCAGCTTGGGATTTGAGACGTCGTGCGCAGCAATGGCATAGCAGCGCGAGTGGGAGCCATTGACGAGGCGGAAGGAGCGGGACGCCGCCCGTGTTGACCGGAATCCACAAGAAGACAGCATGTTGATATAGGGAAGGAGCGAAGGACAAGAGGAAAGAGCGATACAGAGCCAATTGCAATGAGTCAAGATTATCTCGCCCGTACTGACGGCATGCGGGACAGGGCGCGGGAGAGCAGCCGGGAAAGTCGAAGGCCGCCGTCATCGGAGTCGTCCTTGGCCTGTCCTTATACAGCGCTTGGGCCTTGTTGAACCCTGAAATACATGGCTCCCGTATCCTTGCGTATTACCATAGGTCGCATTTCCAGATACGCTCCTTCCTGTCCTTACTGTGAAGCTGCACGCTCCTTCCTTGTCGCCTGTTCTCGTCGCTGTATCAGAGGCTTGTCCTTCGTCTGTCTGTTTCTTATGGAAGCTTGAAACCTCAAACAACCCGTCGCAATGTTCTCGTCAGCGCTCAAGTCGTTCACCTCCAACATCGGCTCCAACTACACCATCGCTCCGCAACCCAGCTCGACCTCTGGACCATGGAAGATCTTTGATGCCAAGAAAAAGTCGACCGGCAAAGCTGCCTCGGTCTTTGTGTTCGACAAGAAGTCTCTCGAACCAACAGCCAGTTCTCTAGGAGGAGGTCGTGGGAACTCATCGTCCATCAAACGAGCCCAGGAGGAGGTCATCGATCGTCTGAAGAAGGAGGCAAGCTCTCTGGCTCGTCTGCGACATCCCAGTGTCTTGGAATTGGCCGAACCTGTCGAGGAGACGCGTAGTGGTGGTCTCATGTTTGCGACGGAACAAGTCACGGTCTCTCTTGCTGCTTTGCTGGCCGAAAAGGATGACCAAGAAAGATCAGGCCGAAATGCTGGAAGAGGCAGCCGTTATGTTGTCCGCGGGAACGATGGTCAAGACGAGATCCGCGAACTCGAACTGGACGAGCTGGAGATACAAAAGGGTCTCCTGCAGATCGCAAAAGGCTTGGACTTTCTACACAACAGCGCAAAGCTGGTTCACGCCAACCTGACACCAGACGCCATCTTTGTCAATGCAAAGTCGGACTGGAAGATCTCGGGCTTGGCCTTCTCGACCCCTTTCTCCGATTCTGTCTCGTCACCGTCTCTGTCTCTATCCGAAGTGTTGAACCATGATGCTCGACTTCCTCCTTCGGTACAGCTAAGCCTCGACTACACCTCTCCCGATTTTGTGCTGGATAACAACATCAATCCCTCGGCCGATATGTTCTCGCTGGGTCTCCTCATCATCGCCCTCTACAATTCTCCACACCGCAGTCCCATCGAGACACATGAAAGTCTCTCGGCCTACAAACGTGCCTTTTCCTCATCCTCTTCTGTACCCAACCAGACAAACAACTTTCTCTCATCTGTGCCGCTACCAAAGAACCTTTCATCCGAGCTTCTGCCACGCCTGATAACTCGACGTCCTGCACAACGACTCAACGCCATGGAGTTCCAACAGGCCCAATACTTTGACAACATTCTCGTATCCACTATTCGCTTCCTGGATGACTTGCCGGCCAAGACACCCAACGAGAAGGTTCAGTTCATGCGAGGTCTTGCAAAAATCATGCCACAATTCCCAAAATCAGTCCTGGAGAGAAAGCTCTTACCTGCTCTGCTAGAAGAAATGAAAGACCGCGAACTGCTGGCTCCGATTCTGTTGAATGTTTTTGCCATCATCAAGGCCTCGCCATCAGGGAAGCGTGCTTTTACAGAGAAGGTCATTCCGAGGTTGCGTGATATATTCCTTGTGCAATCGAACGCGAAATCTCCTGCTGAGCGTGACACTACAAAAGAGGCTGGCCTGATGATCGTGCTCGAGAACATGAAAGTTGTGGCTGACAACTGCTCTGGCAAGGAGTTTAGAGATGGTATGCACTTGGTGACGTCTCTGTTACATGCGTGAACACATGCTAACATCTGCNNAGACATTCTTCCCATCATCGCTCTGGGTCTTGGATCTCCAACTCACGCCGTTGTCGATGCCGCTCTTTCCACATTACCTTCAGTTCTGCCTGCCCTCGACTACACCACAATCAAGAATGAGCTGTTCCCTGTAATCGCTGGTGTCTTTGCCCATACAAATTCGCTTGGCATCAAGATTCGTGGTCTTGAAGCGTTCTGTACTCTTTGCGGCGGTACTGCTGAGAATGAGTCTGTTAGCGACGGTCTTGATGGTGTTTCCATTTCTCACGACTCTTCCAAACTCGGTAGCAGCCAAGTGCTCGACAAGTTTACCATTCAGGAGAAGGTCGTGCCTCTGATGAAGGGAATCAAGACAAAAGAGCCCGGTGTTATGGTGAGTCTTCTTGATAATTATTAACGCAGCAATTTCGTAGCTGACTCGAGCAGNATGGCCGCCCTCAAAGTGTTTAGACAGATAGGGCAGGTCGTAGACTCCGACTTCCTCGCCATGGAAGCCCTACCCATCCTTTGGAGCTTCAGTCTCGGACCCCTTCTCGATCTTGAGCAGTTCCAGGCTTTCATGACTTTGATCAAGAATCTCTCATCACGTATCGAAAGAGAACATACTCGTAAACTGCAAGAGCTGGGCTCGAGCAATGGTGCCGGGTCAGCGAGATTGGGAGCAAAGCAGCCCTCTGCTTTCCAGTCAGGCACGACGACCAATGGCGGCGAAGTAGACTTTGCAAGCTTGGTCAGTGGNAAAAAGGGAACCGCAACTCCAGACATCATGAACGATTGGGGTCCGCCTGCTGCCAAACCTGCCTCGACCCAGCCACCAACTACATCGCAAGGCTCACCCTTCTCAACCTGGACAAGTGCAGCACCAGCCCAGACTTCTCGATTGACCTCTCTACAACCTTCAGCCAACCAGCGCACAGTAACGCCAGATCTCAACACTTCCTTTGCCGCACTCACACCCGCATCGCCGTTCAACGCACCACTACAACCTTCAAACCCCAACTTCACATCTCCACCTCTCAACCGCGCAGCCAGCAACACTGCTTCTTCGATAAACTGGTCAGCGGCAAGCACAACCCCGAATGCTAAATCAACATGGTCATCACAGCAAAGACCCACGAATGGCGGTAGTTTTCCTCCGCCCACCCAACGGCAATCTTCGTTTACTATTGCCCCGCCGCCGAGCTTCAAGACGCCAGCGCCTGGGACGGCGAATGCGTATTCTGGGGTTTCGATGCCGGTGATGCAGCCGCAACAACAGCAGCAACAGAGACAGGCGTTGCAGCAACAGACGCAGCAGCAAAAGGCTGCGGCACCGCAGAGTAGTGGGTTGGACAAATATCAGAGCTTGATTTGAGATGCTTGCTTTAGTGTAGATGGCAGCTCGGAAAACGTAATAGACAATTGACTGCCATCTTCTTCAAAGTGCTCTTGATGTTTATCTTGGAAAGGTTACAGTCTATGCTTGGTATAGAGGCCGGCTTCTCATTACCAACCATTACGCCGTGTATTTGATTCAGCTCTCTGAGCGTAAGGATACTCTGAAATGTTGTCGGGTATATACATTACTCTGCCTTTCTACTTCATGGTTCTCTATATATCCTCGTTGTCGATATCTTCACCCCGTCGCTGGGCCAGATATACACGCCCACTCTCATAGACACCAAGATAAAGTCCAGACCCAATCAGCGTCCACACAGCCCTCAAAGCACCACCACGGAAAAGGCCCTTGATGACTCCCTGATCAGCGATAATTTCTCTGGCAATCTGTATACTGCCCTTCCGCGACACGGGCTTTGCGACATTTTGTATTGCGTCTTTGAGACCTTGTTTGCTGTTTTGGAGTGCGTCTTTGAGGCCTTCGGTTTTGCTCTGGGTGGAGCGACCTAGGGCGTCGACGGGGCTTTTTGGGTTTGAGTTTGTGTTGCCTGTTTGGTCTTCGGCTGCGCTGGATACTGCGGCGAGCATGATGCGTGTCTTGACAACGTCGACTGGAGTGGTGACGACGGCGGCAAAGGCGCCAGCTGAGCCTGCACTGGCGGCAGTGATCAAGCCGTTTTCCAGCAGTGTGTTTGTCCGTGTTCCTCTGTCCTCTCTGTGTTTCTTTATTCCTTGCTTCAGACGCTCGAAGATGGGGAATTGTAGAGCTGTAAAAGGCAGATTGCGGCCTGCCAGTGCTGTGTAGCCTCTCCACAATGCCAATGGGTTTGATCTGAATTTGGCGAGGGTTTGGAGGGTTGCGTTGGCCTTATTGTCGCCTTTTGCTGTATCGACCATCTGGGCATTCTGCTTGATTACCTCGGCAGGGGTGAGGATGGCACAAGAGACCAGTTCTGCTATCGAGGATGCGGCGGAGTGGATGATGGGTTGCGGGAGTAGAGGAGAGGAGCCAGAGAAGGTAGGGTTGTATTTGGTGAATGTGGACTTGACACCTTCGTAGGTGGTGAAGAAGGCTCCTGCTGGACAAGGTCAGAGATGGACTGATTGAGATATGCGAGTTCGGGGGTGGGTACAAGAGGGGAGGGTGGCTATGATGACACTGCCGACTCCTTGGTAGAGGCCTCGGAAGAGGACTTGCTTGTTGACGGCATTGGTAGCTTTGTCGAGGTAAAGGCGATTGTATTCGGGCGATTGGAAGCGAGTCTTGAGTGTGTCGAGAGGGTAGACGAGCAAATCGACCGTGAAAGCAGCGAATGCGCCGGCCTGCATGGGTGATTGTGATTAGCCATACTTGAATCCAAACCAGGATCTCAGAAGACTCACGACCAAGATGTCGGTCGACGTGTTTCCAGCCATATCCTTGACAGCTTTCTGAAACTACAGAATGAATAATTAGATGCGAAGATGCGTGAATGCTCAAAGATGTTGGTATTTTTGAATGCATCATGGCGTCATCGGTTCCGTGGTCTTTTGTGGAGAAGGACAGCCCTGAGTTCAACCTCAGCTCCTTCCATCTCTTTCAATCTATCACCCTCTCATTGTCAGATCTGTAGTCTTTCGCGTTTCATGTCAGCAACCTGAGAGAAGCTGTGGAAGTAGGCAAGACAGCATTGAGGTCAAGTTGTACGTTCGCTGTAGACAATGACGAAGATGTCTTGGAGCAGCAGGCTTCATTTAGTTGTCAGGTGGGTTTATGAGCTTGTAGACATTTCTTAGAGATAAACGGAAGACAGAGGTAGAAGGTTCCCAGAGCATGAGAACAAGAGAAGGTAGGCAATCACGTTCTTGCGGTTCTCTGTCTCCAAGCAAGAGGTCGACCGCTGTGCCTTCCGTCTTCGGTGCATTGCAACTTATCAAGCAGTCGGCGCAGTCCCTTCTTCTTTTGTTAACAAGAAGTTTCACGGCGTTTCTCTTTCACACCGCGTTGCTCTCTTTCTCTTCCAACACGCACATATATCGCTTCTTATCACTCCCCAGCCATTGCAGCTCAATCATCTTCACTCAATACTCTTCTCGTCATCCAAACACATACAAGTCATGGCGCACGGAGGTCCGCTCACTCATGTGCAAAAGAGAATGATGGCGATACAGGGAGGAAGCGCAAAGATCGCCCAGCCGTTCCCGACTGTCATCTGTCAAAGCATCTCGTCTACTGCCCCGACCAGTGCCCTGGACAGACAACCCTTGGTCGCTTTCGGCGGCGACATTGACATGCCCGACGTGCCCAACTATGTACGTCTTCCTTTCACTTTTCCCAAATCTCAACTTGCCTTTTCTTTCGCTGACACTCTCACTTGCGCCCTTAGNCCCTTCTCCGCTGCCGCCAAACCTTTCGTCTTACCTGGCTCCATCACCCCTAGCCCCGCCACCCTCACCATGACTCCTCCAGTCACCACTCCGGCCAAGAGACTTCCCCTCATCTGCGCCATGCTGCCACGCCTGCTCCTGTCATTACTGCTCCCTTCACCTCGGCCCCGGTCGTCTCTGCTCCCGCTACGCCAGTGCCCGTCAAGTTAGAGCCTCCCACCNTCGCCCACCTTTGCCGAACACAGTACCCCTCCTTCAAACAAGCGTCCTGCTGGTCCCCACACAAAGATGGGTCCACACTCCAAGATGGGTCCTCACACCCAACTCCCTCAGACTCAGACGGAGCAGCCCGTGTCTCCAGCCAGTTCTTGGGATGATCTTAGAAAGACTCAGGCCGCCACTAACACTTGGGTCGATATTCAGAAGCCCCAGATGAGCGCACATGCTGTCCAGAGCGATTCCGGTCCTGTTTCTCGTCCCATGAACACCACCCAGAGTGTCTGGGACGATATCCAGCAGCTTCAGTCTGTGTCTGCCCACCAAGAGCCTCGGGTCAAGATCGAGGCTGAGATTGAGCCCATCGTCGAGGATCTTCCCTCTCTCAACTTCGCCTCTTCTACAGCCGAAGAGCAACCCTCGTCAGACTCGACCATTGTCCCCGAATCNAAACAAGGTACCTCGCTCAAGCCTCTTCACGATAGATATATACATGCTGACATGGTCGGACAGTCTCGTCACTTTGGTCGTAACGAGTGGCTGCCTATGCTGCTTGACATGAACGATACTGAAAAGGGCCGTCAACTCATTCGCGCCTTCGCCGACCACATCCGTGCCAGGGTGGATGATAGCAACATGACAGGCTCGCAATCCAACACTGATCACGAATTATTGATGGAATTTCCTGGTGGACAGTGCCATCCTGCTGTCGTGCCTCAGGATGCCACTGTCAGCGAGATTATCAAGGAGTTTGCTGAAATGACTGAGGTCAACGAGGCCGATATCCGCATCGTGTTGAAGATTGGTGTCAAGGGCCACGGCACCTGAATTGTCTTCATCCCTCAGGTAGCCAAAGGGTTATGGCAGAGAGGGAGTAGGGTCGTTGAACATGAGACCCCCAGTGTAGTATAGTGACGAGGGCAATGCGCGGAGACGCGCATCTGGTAGCTAGAAAGATAATTGCCCGAATCCATGTCTTTTCTCTTCGATGTTTGTACCCTGTTTCCATTGGGTTCTGCGAGTGGCAGATTCGTTCCTTCCCGATCGAGTCATAGTTCCAAATTTCGCAGCGCACGCGTAAGTCGACCAAAACATGGCACCTCAGATATCAACCCACCACAACATCGCTTCGTCGACATTGTTCGATCGCCAGCATTAATCCACGCAATCGTATTAAACATCGATACTCAACTCGACACACATTCGAGAGCATCATTCCGGCAGGCAACCTCCTTTGACCGAGCCATTGTTTGATGCCTTGTTGGTTCCACGTCTATATATATAGCGGAGATGGATGCACAACCTCAACAAAAGGTCGAGGCTGACGATGCCATCAAGCTCCTTCGCTCCAGCTTTGACGCGCGCACTGCAGCCCTTCAAGCAGTTGAGCAATATATACACCACTTGGAAGAGATCTGTGTGTCTGAGGTCGGACAGGAGGAGGCCACTCGCCGACTGGAGGTTCTTCGAATCAGGGATGGAGACAGCTTGTTTATGCCTGGCCATATCTCGAGTTTCACGGAACGTGCTCCCAGTAAAGAGGCTGGTCTCATGTCACAAAGTGTTCCTGGAAGCAGCTCAGACCACGGAGAGCGTGCTTCGAAGAGCAAAGAAACCGGTTCTCGGCAGATATCGTTCCCGAGGACGATATGAGCACCAGGAAACATAGCACAGCAAGTCAAGGAAGTGGTCCGGGCACCAAGAAGCGTGGCTCCACGAGCGAAGAAACCGGTCCCGTACCAAAGAAAAGTCGTTCAGTCACGTCTTTGACCTCCGGCTTAGGCAGAAGCATCTTTGATGGCGCCAATGATCAACAAAGCGATACCTCAGACATCTCGCCGAGGACCTCTCGCAAACCATCAGGAGCAGAATTGGTTGCAGCAGGGCGTCAGGAAGCACCAAATCAGCAAACGACACAACACCCTATACGTCCTCGTCCACATTCACGCCGCAGCTCTCAAAACGTAGTCATGTTGCCGAACATTCGTCCTTCATCAAACTTTCAAAGTGTACAGAGCGCGCCGCCGCCGAACGCGATAGCAGCTCAAAGCATCCTCACACCACAATCAGTCACCAAGCAGCCTTTAGCATCAATGTTTGGAAAAGGATATAAGCAACCTCCTACAAAGAAAGGGGCCATAGTGGTGAAGAAGCCGAAATCTCGCTCTGGATCAAAGGTATCTGTGTGCAGCGGACCATCCTACGATGCGAGTGCCTCGAGACCCGTCTCTTCCAACGCAAACGTAGCACCCGTGGCGCCGATGTCTTCAACTAGACCACCTCCACCAGAAATAGCACCAAAGCCAGCACATTTGTCCGCACAGTCTGCCAAGTCGCTGGCAAGGAGCTGTTCCCCTCGTCGCCCCCTGCAGAGCAGCCATTGCCTTCCTCGAGTCAACCTTCGCACAAACACCCCGAGAGATCACCCTCTCGTTCTGACTTTTCAAGATATACAACACACGCTCCTTCCACAGACCGGCCTCCACCCAAGAGAAAGCCAAACCGCGCTATCAAGAAGGGTTGATGAGCATTCAATGGGAATGTCTTGGATCTGAGATGAAACTCTGCATTTCATCAGACATCTTTTCGTCAAGAGCTCGGCGCATTTTGGAGTAACTACATTCATCCATTCTCCATAGCACTGTCGTTAATCGAATTCCCCCTTTTCTCCTTCTTGTTTCTTCCCGTGTGCCTGAATAGTGTTATAGATGATGGGCTATAGAAAATGCAGAATACTTTGCAGAAAAGGAGGAGTGTCCATGGAGATGGATATTATTCCTAGGGTATTTCCAATGGTCAACGTCTCTTCTCGCAAAGCATCTTTGCATTTTTATAGTATACTACAGCATGGCAATTCGGCATTGAGAAGAGCATTCAACAAAGCATGTAATCTCAGAGTGTCTCTATAGTCCCCTTCTTGTTTTCTTCTTTGCAAGGCATTCCTGCATTGTGATGGTACATTACTACCACTACCAACGCAACATTGAGAAGAGGGTGAAGTCAAATGTTTATCTTGGAAAGTCTATGACTTGTGTTGAACACGTATAGAAGGCCGCAAAGTCAACCCGCGAGACATATCAGAGAAGTTGGATCGAAAGCACACCAAGACAGATAGATGAGCACGGAAGAAGAACTATTACAGTGTAAAGAGTTGTCATTCTTTTTGTCTATTATAATACGGCCACTATAGACACCACTCCCGATGGCAGTGATCCGAGCAAAGAAAGAAAAAAAAACCAAGCCGATGTTCTCCACTTGCAATGCAATCGTGCTCTGTTCATGCACCCTGAAGAAGAAAAAGACTCCACGTTATTCATCCCATGATCCCAGCATTACTCCCATTATTCCATCATTTCCAGAAGAGGCGTGACTTGGCGTGAAGAAGAAAAAGAGCGAACAAGAAGATGCAAAAGTGCTCACAGCTTTGGTTTACATGAAAGCAGCAAAGAAGACACCAGCACCGATCAGGGCACCAGCACCGATCTTGACGTTGGCGGCCGAGCCAGTAGAGGAAGCGGCGGCAGCAGAGGAAGCTGCTGAGCTGCCAGATGCAGCAGCGGAAGATGCACGAGAGGCAGTGCTGGAGCTACCACGCGAGGAAGATCCGCTGAAGGAACCGCTTGAGCCTGAGGCCGATGATGCAGCACCAGCGCCAGAAGAGCCGGTGGAAGAAGAGCCCGAACCGGTGGCGGCGACGACAGCAGCACTCAGAACCTGGGTGGTTGAAGCGCCAACAGTGACGACGATGGAAGTGGCGTTACCAGCGGTGACATTGCCGTAGATGAGGGTGGTGACGGTGCCGGGAGCAAGGCCTGCAGGAACGAGCTGTACAGCAACGGATGAGATAGCAGCGTTAGTGGCAGCAACACCGACCGAGGTTTCAACGGCAGGGTGGCCAGTCACGACACCAAGAGAATTGGTCTGGGTGAGGAAAGAGGTGAATCCGTTGGTGTAAGGGATGCTGGAAGAGGAGATAGGGATGGTGCTGAGGACAGACTTGGAGACACGTTAGATCTTTGTGGTGCTGGAAGACGAGATGAGAGGAAACATACGGTCTCGTTGGCGGAGGCAGAAGAGCTCTGAGCAGCAGCCATGGCCACGAGGGGGCAGCGAAGAAGACGGAAGCGCGCATCTTGATTATGTTGTAGAGTGATGTTGTGATTAAAAGCACCGTGATGGATAACGATCAATGTTCAAATATCTGATGTTTGGATTTGATTGATGATTGTCTGAGCAAAGAAAGCGAGAGAGGTGTTTGCAAAGATACAGATGGCTTTTGGGGTGTGGTGATTGAACTGAGAGGGAAAGAGCAAGTTACGCGGCCCTACCCTGACATTTATATGCGGTAAGCTTTTTGGAAGGTGCTCGGGCGGAGGCTGGTAAACATGGCTGTCTCGAGGTCGACAAGGACCATGGTTCCTGCGGTGCTCCTCCAGCTTGCCGCCTCATTGGCCGCCGACGTTCTAGTCTGCAGCAACTCGGACGCTTTCCTGCGAGCGCCACCGGGCCATTGNNCCCCTTGGCTNNTGCAGTAGCTCTGTGAAGATCGTTGCCGTAGTCTTGAACCTCCTGCTCGAGTACGAAAAGTCGGCCATGCTGTGGTGTCGCCNNTCTCTCAATTTTTGACTATTCTCCACGGCAACTACGTCTCGGTCCTGGCTCTGCTTGCGCGAGACCAGGNAAGAACATCTCCTGGTCAACCACCATACGAGAGACATTGGGTGACAATTCTCCCGGCACCAATCGAGACAATAGCGGCGGCGGCGACAAGNNTAGTAGATGGATGGTCCAGATTGCCATGTCCAAAAGCTACCAGCCTACNTTTTTTTGCTTACGCGCTCTCTCAGCCTCTCTCTCCGCACGCCTACTTTGGCAACCCCGCGCCAAAAGCGACCTCCCTAGTCACACGGCCCATGGCGAGATGTCTCGTAACNNAGATCACCGTGGTGTGCAGTCTACGCGTCCTTTCCTTTCCGTTGCTTGTCCCTATGCNTTTGGTGTCTGGGTCCTTTGCTCTTATGCGGCTGCACCGTTTCTGTTGCTCAGAATAGAGNNTAACCTGCGGGCAGATAGCAGAGCGTTCTCAACAGTCACGNNTTTGTCCCGCTGCTCGTTGCGATGGATGTGGGTATCTGATGATCTGCCACAACACCCTTGCATTCTCTTCCATATTCTTGATTCTCTCACGAAACTAGCAAGGACACAAGACTTCGTGATATATCAAGCTCAAGTCGATTGATTAGAAACACCGTCATAGTCATGGAGAGTTGATTGCTCGGTAGTTCTCAACCTTCTTCGTTGACGAGGAAACTGTAAAAGAGTTGGCAACTGCGGCGCAGGCGAGGTCTCCACAGCACGTTGCCATCTCCCTCCACAATCACGAAATCGAGGGAGGCTCCCTCCCGCTCCTACAGCAACGGCCATAACAACCATCCAGCCACACCAAGATGCAATGCACAGCACGGTCGTTCGTGCGGGATATGTACATACTGTCCTCTCTCCAGAGCGAGATCCACGGGAGTTGGACCGATTACTGTACACCACCATGACGTGATGATTTGATGAGTCTCGTTTTCGGCTACAAGCTATTGCATAACATGGGGATGGGAGAGCCGATTGCCGATAGATTGAGGGCTTGCAGATCAGAAACGTGAATCACGAAGAATCAGAAAACATGTCTTGTCTCGATGAGTTTGAAACAAAGAAAACCAACGAGTCGAGAGGAACAGGCGGTATATAAACATGAAAACGTGCATTGTATCGGTATACTCCAGTTCGCTGTACAGTAAAAAGAAAAGGGAAGATTGACATCGCCAGGACATGCCCAGACAGGTGACAGATGATTAAGAAGAGGGCAGTTCCGAACACACGAAACAGACCGCTGGATGAGAGAGTCAAGACATGGGTGCGGCTCTATTTCTCAAAGGAATATCTGAGCCATTCACCTACTGCTCTCAAACTCTCCCAACGCACGGATTCGTCGCTGTGCTGCATGAGCTCCATGACGCGAGCCTTTAGTCCAAGCTTTTCCATTTGCTGTCTCTTCTCGGGTACTTCCTTGACGAGACATGCGACATCGTTGCAGCCAATAGCCAGCACCTGCTTGTCGTTGTCCCAGGACTTTGAGAGAATCTCAGCGAGCTTCTTGGCCAACTCGCCCTTGTTATCTTCGAGGATCTTGCGGGCGTTCTCGCTCCAGAAGGCCTGGTTACGATGGGGTGGCGACCAGCGAAGGTGGCCGGAGTTGACCTCTGCGGCGTATTCCGAGAACGTTGTTTGTGTCTTTTGGAACTCCTCGACCATTGATTGCAGGGCTTTCAGGTCCTCGAGAAGGTCAGCGTCGTTGAGATGGCGACCTTGCAGATTCTGGAGTATGGCGGGAAGGCGAGCAGGAATAACGGCAGGCATGAGGGTATCGCGGTTGGTCGAAAGAAGGTTTGTAAGGGTAGCGAGGAGGAGTCTGGTGGTCTTTTCCTTGGGCGAGATGCGGAGAAGGGCGGCGTAAAGAACAATAATGTCGTGCTCCCTGGAGAAGGTTAGTTCATGCTTGCGAGAGGGTCTTCAGGATGCGTACTCATCGAGACCACGACCGACCAGCTTGCCCTCAAAGCTCAACTGCCAGATGACAAGCAGGACGTGGTATAGCAGTTGCAGACCGACGTTGTTGATGATCTGAGAGTCGGCGATGCTGCGAATGCTTCCACCACTGATCAGGGTCGACTCAGTGTCTCTTACACCGCCTCCAGTAGCGTTTGTCAAGATGTTGAACAGAGGAGTGACTGTGTCGTTTCTTTGCTCCCAGAACAGCTGGCGTGATTTTGCTGTGCGCAACAAGGCCGAGTACTCCTGGACGGCAATGTCTTGAAGGTTGCTGTCGGATCTTCTTGCGAGAGTTGAAATGTACGAGTAGAGCTTGGGAAGAGCCTTATCAATTTGTTCGGCCTGGGGACCACTAGTCATGAGGCCGTGGGAGATGAGACTTGACAAGACGCATGATGCAAGTAGAGGAATGGGGTCTTCGGGGTTGGCTGTCTGCTTGAGCAGCGGCACAAAGGGAGCGTAAGGGTCGGCGTGTTCGAGAAGCTTGGCTACGAAGGATGGGATGTNCTGGTCGAGCTGTCAGTCATGTGCGCATACATCGCAGAGCAGCTGACACTTGTCCATACCCTCGATAAGGTCGCCTGTCAAGACAAGCATGTACTGGACAATGTCGGAGCGCTTGGCGGCAGACTGGAAAATGCTGGGGCTGTCGTCGGAGCCCAGGACGAGAGCAGCATAGCTGGCGGGATCCGACTCGACCGTCTGTCTGCGCTGCTCCTTGCGGACTTTATCTATCGACTTGATCTTCTTGAGGTCCTGGTCGGTGATTGTCTTTGCCCGGACAGCTCCTTCCCACGAGATTGGTCGCGCCCGGATGTTGTTCTGGAGCGACAGAATGTATGCCGGCGGATCGAGAGACATGGTGATGTGCGAGTACTGCGAGACTGTCGTGTGATATGTCTACCTCTCTCAAGCTCGTCAATTGCGCTCGGAATCTCGGTGCTCTAAACAGCAGGAGCAGGCTTGAGTGACGTTGTTGGGCGAGTCGCACCTGCTGCTTTCAATCCGGGGTTCAACCGGCGCGACTTCCCAATCTTTGCCTGTTGCCGTCATCGTTGGACAATTTTTGGGACCATCAAGAAACTCGACGGAACACCTTCTCGTCGCCAATCCATCATGACGAGTCTGAAGCGTTCTTATGCTGCCGACAGTGCTGCTCCTAACTTGTCGAGCAAGGTCTATATCCGATCCACTAAGAGTGGCAAGGTTCAGAAAATTGTTCGCGAGCTATACTTGCGCGAAGATATTCCTTGCTCCTCGAGGCTATGTGCTCGCTGTCTCGAGATTGCTCCTACCGACTACCATAACAAGGGTAATTCCATCGTTTCTGGCTTTTGAATCCTTCTGACTTTGCCAGTTGCTCCGTTTGTGCTTTCTGACACTCCTGCTGGAACAAAGTCCTTCCCCAATGGCCACTACATAATCCCCGACACAAATGCTTTCCTTTCCGGAATGGATCTTTTCGAACTGGAAACCGCCTTTCACGATGTCATTGTCTTGCAAACCGTTCTGGAGGAAGTCAAGAACCGCTCTCTTCCGCTCTACCACCGCCTCATCAGCTTGACCAAAAACGACGGCAAGCGCTTTTACGTCTTTTTCAACGACTTCAGACTGCAGACCTATGTCGTTCGTGAGGACAAGGAGACGATCAACGACAGAAACGATCGCGCTGTTCGTCGCGCTGTCAAATGGTATGCCGATCATCTCGAGGAAGCTGTCAGCAAGCGTAAATCCGTTAGATGCCCCTCAGTCATCATGATCAGCGACGACCGTGACAACCTCCGTAAGGCCAAGAACGATGGTATCACTGGTCTCTCACTGCGCGATTATGTTTCTGGACTCGATGATTCGGAACGTTTGCTGGATATGGTCAGTGCTGGGCAGGAACAGAGAGTGGGCAAACAGACAAAGGGCGAGCTGCTTTACCCGGATTACCTTTCTGTCTCAAAGATGATCACTGGTGTCAAGGCTGGAACTATGCACCAAGGAACCTTCAACGTGTCACCCTATAATTATCTGGAAGGATCAGTCTTCGTTCCCGCATTCGACAAACCATTGCTCATCATCGGAAGAGAAAACAGCAACAGAGCAATCTCTGGAGACATTGTGGTTGTCGAAGTTCTACCCAAAGAACAATGGAAGGCTCCTTCATCCAAAATTCTGGAAGAGGAAGTTGTAAACAAAAACGACAATGCTGATGCAGATGAGGGTGAGGCTGTCATTACACAGCAGGAGAAGCGCGCATTGCAAGAAGAGGTCAAGAAGACGCACGGAAAGAGCGCTGAGGGAAGGCCGCAACCTACTGCTCGCGTTGTGGGCATTATCAAGCGCAACTGGCGACAGTACGTTGGTCATGTCGACAAAGACTCTGTGAAATCTTCAACAAAGCAGAGTCGTGCACAGCAAACCGTCTTCTTGATTCCCATGGACAAGCGCATTCCAAAGGTTCGTATTCGAACTCGCCAAGCTGGAGATCTACTTGGCAAGCGCCTGCTTGTTACCATCGATGCTTGGGACAGAGAGTCAAGATATCCTGTTGGTCACTTTGTTCGTTCTCTTGGAGAACTTGAGACCAAAGGCGCCGAGACTGAAGCTCTACTGCTGGAGTGGGATGTACAGTACCGACCATTCCCTAAGACCGTTCTGGACTGCTTACCTGCCGAGGGTCACGACTGGAAGGTTCCCGAGAACATGTCTGATTCTGGCTGGAACAAGAGAAGAGACTTGCGTGATCTGTTGATCTGCAGTATCGATCCCCCTGGTTGTGTTGATATCGATGATGCTCTACATGCCAGAACGCTACCGAACGGCAATATCGAAGTTGGTGTACACATTGCTGATGTTTCCAACTTTGTCAAGCCGAACAATGCTATGGACCAAGAAGCAAGTTTGCGAGGTACCACGGTTTACCTGGTCGACAAGCGTATTGACATGTTGCCCATGCTGCTTGGTACCGACCTCTGTTCTCTAAAGCCCTACGTCGAGCGCTTTGCCTTCTCAGTCATCTGGGAGCTCACACCCGACGCTGACATTGTGCGCGCCGATTACACCAAGTCGGTTATCAAGTCAAGGGAAGCTTTTACCTACGAGCAAGCTCAGATTCGTGTGGACGACCAATCTCAACAAGATGACCTCACCAATGGCATCAGGATGCTCATGATGCTTTCNAAAAAGCTAAAGAAGAAGCGTATGGACGCTGGTGCCTTGAACCTGGCCAGTCCTGAGGTGCGTGTTCAGACCGAGTCGGAGACCGCCGATCCTGCCGACGTGCAGACCAAGCAACATCTGGACACCATGTCGTTGGTCGAAGAATTCATGCTTCTCGCCAACACCAGCGTCGCCGCTCGTATCTATGAAGCTTACCCCCAAACTGCCTTGCTACGTCGTCACGCTGCTCCACCAAAGACAAACTTCGAAGAGCTTTCCAACCAGCTGCGTGTCAAGCGTGGCATGGAGCTACGAACAGACAGTTCCAAGGCTCTTGCCGATTCGCTAGACACCTGCGTGGACCCATCAGAACCCTTCTTCAACACACTTGTCCGCATCATGGCGACTCGTTGCATGATGTCAGCCGAATACTTCTGCTCAGGCACCCAGGCATACCCCGAGTTCCGCCATTACGGTCTTGCAAGCGAGATCTACACTCACTTCACATCGCCCATCCGTCGCTATGCCGATCTGGAAGCGCATCGTCAACTCGCCGCCGCCATCAACTATGAGCCTCTGGACGCCAGTCTGCTCTCCAAAGCCAAACTCGAAGGCGTGTGTAAGAACATCAACGTGCGCCATCGCAATGCCCAGCAAGCCGGCCGTGCCAGCGTCGAGTACTACGTCGGCCAAGCACTCAAGGGTCGCGTGGTCGACGAGGACGGCTTCGTCATGCGCGTCTTCTCCAACGGTATCGTGGTCTTTGTCCCTAGATTTGGCATCGAGGGTTTGATCCGTCTGCGCGATCTCGCCACCCCGGAACCCGAGAGCGAGTTTGACACTGAGAATTATGTGCTCAAGATCAAGGGCGAGGGCATTGACCGAAGTGTTGAGCTGTTCGAAAAGGTCAAGGTTAGAATCTCGGACGAGGCTGAGGAGAGCACTGGAAAGAGAAAGGTCAAGCTGTCACTCTTGTAGATGTAGATAGAAAGGGTTTGGCAGGCATACACATAACCAAGGTTTCTTTCTGTTTTACGATCAAAGCAAAATAACGCAAATCTTTCACGTTTTTAAGACTGCTGCCAGAACATGCATTGTTTTTGATTAATTATGTTTATGCCCTTTGTCTTTTTTGTGTGCCATTTGTTCCACGGATGCTTTCCCATTGCTGATTTTCCGAAACCCACACCCATGCTGACAAAAGAGAAAGAATTACCGATGTACCGTTATGCTTGTATGCATACCATAAACGCCATAGTGGAAGCAAAAGTATCCTCGCCCTTGTATACTGAGATCGGTACTTTCGCGATTGCTCAATGTGAGTCTGATACCGACAGCTTTCGAGGGATGACCTGGTGAGGTGTTTGAGGAGTCGCTCTGGGGGTTTCCGGCGCCTCTCAAAGATGCTTTATGCATAAACCAGAGAAGGGATGTGCTCACAGCTTCATGATCCCAAGAACTCCTCGCAGATGAAAATGGTGCAAAGGCCTGTTGTGTAGTAGGGGTTTGGTAGATCATGCGTCACCGGTCGATGGTGCAATCATCCACTGGCCAGTCTTGGGACCAGGTGCTGCTGTCAAAGGTGCCTCGGTGACTTTTGCATGATCGATGGTCCAGCCAGCACGTCTGGCTAATTCGGCCACCACATCGTCACAGTAGCCGAGAAGTGTAATGTCAAAGTTGATGTGATCGGCTGGTTCGCGCGAGATGTAGATTTGTGGCACTTTCTCGTCGACATAGTTAGNGGCTGTTGGTATGTGGGTCAGCGGGTTGAAGATGAGGAGAGAAGTGAAGGAAACATACATTTCGGAAACAGGGGCGACTTTCATGGATGTGCCGATGACGATGATCAGATCAACGATGGCGGCGTCGTGCTCTGTGAGTCTGTCAAAGAAGCGGCTAGGAAGCTTTTCGCCGAAGAAAGTGATGTTGGGCTGAACAATTAGCTATGGAGCGTCCAAAGGAAAGGACGAAAAACTCACCTTCATCACGCCAGGCTGAGGAACGTCGTACCGTCCATCATCTTCGGAATCAGAATGACTCGATCTCGATTTCGACTTGCCGTTGGATGTGCGCTTGCGCTTTCGAGGTTGCTTCTGAATGATGTCGAGGCAGGTTTGGCAGAGCGACACTCGTTGTTGCCTCACGTCCTCGAAGATGACATCGCCCTGGACTTCCGTGTGGCATTTGCGGCAGCTTGCAGTTGCCCATGAGCCATGGCATTGAATCAGTCTCTCTGAATCAATGCCCGCATAGGCTTCAATGTTGTCAATGTTCTGAGTGTAATTTGTAAGCAGCTTCTGCTTGTCCTGGAGCATTCTGATGAAGGCGTGAGTAGGCGAGCATCTGTCAGTGACGGGCAAGATCTCCTTTGCCAGCTGGTAGAAATGNNTCTGTGCAAGGACGTCAACACTGTCCTGTATTGTCTCAACTCGAGCTGTATCTGCTTACGTTGGATCGCTGTCAAAGTTTATAATGTCGAAAACATCTTCAGGGCTCTCGAAACCGCGAGCGAGAAGCTGTGAGTAGAAGCCAGTGTTTCTCGATCTGAAATCCGGAATTCCCAGACTGGTCGAGATACCGGCTCCAGTGATGACCAAAATATTCTTGGACTTTTGGAGCAGCGACACAGCATCGTCGATTGTGTTGTATTCGGTAAGTTTTTGGCGTCTGGTGAGCTCACGCTGAATGCATCGACCGAGGATTTGGTAGTACCAGCTGGTGGAATAGGGTAGGTCAGGCCTCACGCCGAACGCTGTGACAAGCTTTCTTATGCTAACGGCACCGAGAGTGATGGTTTGCTCGACAAACTTGTTGGGTCCAAGTCGACGCAGTCTTTCGCGAATCTCCTTTCCCTCTGCGGGTGTGTAAGAGATGGGTCCGGGTTCNNTTGGGATAATGTTAGTCTTGGCGAAACAAGGGGGGGTTGAGTAGTAGTAGTAATTTCGCCATCACTAACCATCATCGGTATATGGCTCAAACTCTGCGCGTTCCAATTCATCAGTCAGAGCAGATGCCGCGAGTTCACTATCGTCCTCATCATCAGAGCCGTCACTACTGTCTTCGAGATCGTCGGCGTCGTCGAGATGGTCTTGCTCAACAAGCTGGGGTAATGGCGCAGTGTTGACGGGATCCTGTACACGGGCAACCGATTCCAATTGTTTTTCCGGCTGCGGCGATGTCAGATCGACGAGGTCATCAGCCTTCATCTTGAGCAGATTTCTATCTGATGATGGTTAGGAAATGGTGCGAAACTTTTGTTGTGCATAAAGGGAAGCTAGGTCGAGTCAAGATGCATGAATTGGGAGATGTCTGGTAGGCGCTAGTGGTTGGTTCATGGGGATATGATCAAGAACGTTGCGAGCTTCTAGAGAACGCTTGACGCACTTGCTACATATAATCTTCTCAGAGCAACCCTAGTAAGTGCCTGGTCCGGAAGAGTGAAAGTCATTGATCAATCGGAAGCTAATTAGCCATTGCAGCAACACCTTGATTGCAATTGCCTAGATTCTGGAGCTGTTTACGAGACCACTCATCGAGGAAGAGTCCTGCGACCTCTATTCAGTGCTATACGTTCTGGAGCGTCCTCCAATCTGTTATTAAGACCTATAAACGCACTTGGTCTAGTCTACGTAAGGGTTGCATCAGGAAACGTTCTTGCCTTCGTATTGGTCAGAGCTAGCATACAGCTACCTGACACTACCTGGAACATATGATCGATGTCTCTCGTCCTTTGATTCTCTCGTTTGTTCTCGACGTACAACCCCGACTTTGCTTCTAAGACAATCCTCCCGGATGGGATGGAGCGATCAACTCCAGCGCTCGTGTGGTCTCAATGTAGACAATGACCTTGGTGTCAGTCGTTTGACGAGGGCACAGTTCGGCTGCATAGAAGTGCCGCTCAAGCCCCGAAGCGAAGAGTAACAAGTATTGACGACAGTGTTTCTGTCCGGAACGGTACACTGGCTTCTGGCGTATTCATGAATCTCGCATGAGCATCAATACGCAGAGCATGAAGAATATCGACAGATTCCATGCTTCTCAGTAGGTTGAAAGGCTGGCACAGCAGGCGAGTCAAACTCTGTACGCCCGAAGCTGCGCAAGTAGGTAGCCAACCAGTACCACCTTTGCAGAGCCAGGGCCTATTAATGCCCGTCAGAAGTGGCAACAAGTCCCGAAGCGTGAGTCTAGGCAGGTTTGATTGCAGAGTCGGTGGAAGCACTTGGAGTAGTGTTGCTAGACGGTGGGAGGAATGATGGCGAATGTAGTGGTATGCATGTTCATCTCCAACCGCCGACTCTTCCTTCGTCCCAACGCTCCTTGCGTTGATTGCGTAGAAAGGCGACGCGTTTGGCGTCTCTCAAGCGACGGACAAATTCCTGGACCTCTCTATCCGGCGCAAGAGCTCCGTCATCGAGAAAGCTGTCTTCGATGCCTTTTACCAAAGCATCTTGTTCTTGTGCACTGGCACTGAGGCGCTGATATAGAGCCATTGGACTGAAGCCTTTCAGAGTGTCTTCAGTCTCGACGATCTTGGACTTGTGCTGCTGTTCGAGGGCACGGAGAGCAATGAGACGAGATTGAGTAGCTTGGCGTTGGTGGGCCAGACGAGACTCGACTTGCTGCAGCGAGGAAGCCATCTGGAGATTGGAGTCGAGAATACGGCGCAGAGCATCCTGAGAAGCAGGAATGGATGGATGCGTGTTCTCGTGGTCGTTCAACAGGGTGGCTTGCAAGTCGGGATCCTCGAGCAGTCGTTTGAGGTCATTGGTGGAAAGATCTTGGACAATCGAAGGAAGCCAGCCGAGTCCAGGAAGCGCTATCTGGCTCTGTGTATTTGCATAGGCATTGGTCGGATTCAGTTGTGGCTGGGTGTTTGGTGGGGGAGGTAGAGGGGGACCTCTGGATGGGGTACCAGGCTTTGGGGGCGGAGGTGGCGGCGTTGACGAGTCGTATTGCTGGAATGAGGAGTTGTAGTATTGCGACGAGCTGTCGGTCGAGGACATGGCGACCACTCGAGAGTTGAACATGGACGATGTCGATGATGTCGCCCTTCACATGCCAAAGCTCCGCATCCTCAGCGCGTCCGGGCCCAAGCTTCGTCCGTAAGCCGGACTTCAACCGACCGCGGCTTCCTCAAAGTCTGCAATTTTTCTCGTCTCCCAAACTTCTTCTCTCGCATCACAACAAACAAACCGTCGCGCATCGCTACACGCGCACTCGCACGAGCTCGACTCGACATTGCTGCCTGCCTTGATTCTGTCGCTTATACCAAGTTGCGCAGACAAGGCGGGCAGATGTCCATCAACAGGTAAGCTTGACTCTTTACCCACATCCATCACATCCGTCACAGAGATGAAACAAAATACACGAACAATCCAACTCCTATAGCATCGTGAAGGATTACAACAACTCTAGAATTACACTGAGACTATCACACAATCGCCATTTCTTCTGCTTTTGTTTCTAGCACCATCATGCTAACGATCGTCTGAACAGTCCTTCTCATCATTATCGTCTGGCGCTGGTCGCTTTGGGGGTGTGCTGTTGATCAGCACCCCTCTCAATCCTCAAAAGGTTGGTCACACCACAACTCCTGCACACTGCACTCTCCCCCCGGCTTGGGTGATGATATACCGACTCACGGAAAGGCATTCCTCGACCTGAATATACAATGTCGAATCTGTCTAAAATCAAGTTTCAGCCTTGTCTGACTATCTTGCCACAACACTTCCTTTGCACTTCATAACTTTGCTCCGCTGAACAGCCAAGCTAACAAAATGTGCATCAGGTATCTACCCACCACATCACCCATCGATCCGAGTTCCCCCTTTCAATATGAAGAAGATTTGAACGAACGGGCGGACAGACTGCGCTTTCGGTTGCCATCCGCTGAAACAAGAGCGTACAAACTCTTGGGATGGTCGACCGGGAGTTGCTTGTTGAGATTATCGTCAGCTGATTTTTGCGCCCATACACAATTCTTGCACTTCCTGTCTTGCTTGATACATGTACTAAGACTGGTTTTGTTTAGGTATGCAGCTTCAATCACAGCTCTCGGTCAACTTCAAGCACATGTGCAAGGGCATTCTTCACAATGATGAACATTTTATTCACACTGTTTGATCCTTCCTAAGCCTATATTGTGCTGGTCGGACATGAACACAAAACACTGAAAATTCTGAGAATGTTGAATGGTAATGCTCCTCCTGTCTACATTGATTTTGACCTTTTGCTTACTGTTGTCGTAGCCCATAGCACTTGATGCTTGTTGAACATTGCCATCGTGACTCTCGAGTCTCTTGCTGACAATGTCTTCGTTAGGTATGCAGTTTGTTCTTTAAACAACAACTCCCCATCATCATTGCATGATGATCAACATTCACACCGTGAACGGTTTGCCCGTAACGAAGGCTTATCCGTTGTGGACATTTATAATGATTTAATGGTATGCCTTTCTACAATGATCTGGATATTATCACGGTGCTGACCATCAACAGAGCCTGACTGCAATCACTCATCCTACCTTGTTCGACTGAGACATGGAAGGCCATCACTGATTGCTCTGGCATAGGTCAAGTACTTTCCCACTCGCCAATACTTCTGCCTCCTCAAGCTGTAAGTTGCCATTCTATGCCTACACACCTTCACCCTTTGCACAATGATGAATAAAATGATATTTCGCTGTGTTCTTACTGAGACACGTCTTTGAAGATACCATCACCTTGGAGAACTGACCTTTGCCCCTCTACACACCTTCTATTCACTTGAACATCTCGTGGATCATGTTGCTGACCAGTAACAGATCTTTTCAACCAAGTTAGCAATATCTTTCGATGAAACAATTTTAACCAACATTCTCTCGTTACCGCGTGACTCTGTTGTTGTGCTCCTGCGTGTCTTGCATCGTCGCCCACAACAACTCTGGCCTTGTCGGCGTGGTGAAGCTTTACTCCATGAACCACGACGTCCCTTGCTTATCCACGTTCTTCAATGCCATCCACACTTTGCTTGTTCTCGAAGTCGACCTGGCTCGATCAGAGATCCATCGTCTTCACGCCTTCGTCTTTTGTCGCTGTACTGCAGGTCTGAGCAATTGTCTTCCACGAGTCCTGTACGCAGCGCAACGTCCTATCCATTTGTCCTTTGCATCCCTCACTCGAGAACGCGCGCAGCCAAGTCCACCATCAGACCCGCTCCTCTGTTCCTTGTTTACTTGTCACCGCCCTTCTCGGCTTTAGTCGAATCTGAGGCTACGGCGCAAGACCTCGTTCTTCATCTCGAACGCTAGAGGCTCGAGATGGCTCCCACCACTCCGAAGACGCCCAAGAAGGCCACTCCTGGCAAGAGGGTGTAGGTTGCTCGCTCCATCTATCGTTGATCCCAACTGACACCAGCGAGCCTCAGCACTGCCCTTCCCTCACCTGCCAGTCCGACCACTCGCGTGCGCAAATCGCAGAAAGATGCTCCCGAGTAAGCATTGTCTTTCACTAACTCCTCTGCCATCCATCCACTGACAGGATCCCCAAGCTTGGGCAGTGAAATGGTCATCGTGCTCCTCGGAGACGGCCCCAAAGACCTCCGCCAAACCAAAATCTTTCACAGAAACCTTCTCATGCCCGTCTCTGGCTTCTTCTCCAGAGGTCTCACCTCTGGATTCAGAGAAGCCGCAACCAAAATCTTTGAATTGGAGGAAGAAGACTCTGCCACGTTCTCGGTGTTTGAGCAGTGGGTTTACAGGGATCGTCTGTTTATNCAAAAAGCCTCTGCCGTCACCGCCTCTGCTTCTGCTGCTGCTTCAGATGCCGAAGACGATGATCAGCAGGAATGGGAATGCTTGCCTCGTCTTTATACGCTCGGTGAACGCCTCGATGCTCCAAAGTTCAAAGATGCGGTTGTCTCGGCCATTATCGAAAAAGTCGCAGAGACTGAAGTGATGCCCGACAATTGGGCTTCGTATGTGTATCAAAACACTGTATCAGGCAATGCACTGCGTCGCTTGATTGTCGATTTTCATGTATTTGCTCACCAGAGCAGATTGTTGAAGAAGGGTGCCTGTCCTGATGCTGTAGAGCCCGAGTACGAGTTTCTGCAGGATGTGGTGCAGAGAATTGCTGAAGTGGGACTCGAGGTATTTACCGCTGGTGGCGAGATGCCTTGGACTGATGCTTGTGTTTATCATGAGCATGAGCAGGGTGCTTGTCATTTGGCTGCTGCTGAAGAGGATGTTGTTCATACGGTTTACAGTCTCTATGGAACCCCTGAGACGCCCCTTAGACGTAGTGCCAGGTACTGCACTCACTCCACTCTTACGCAACTCGTCAACTAACGCCATCTCTCTAGGCGCTCTTGCCCAGTTGGAGGTGTTTGAAGTCAACGAGCCTCGTCCTCTGGTGTCGCACTTGCACTGGACAGTGCTCAGGCCGTCTAATTCTGGTGACCTCACGTCTCTTTTTGAGTATTGATTGGGGCTCTCTCCGTCAAATGAGGAGTGAGAAGAAACAAGAGATGTTTGACGGAAAGCAGAGGGTAGAAGGTATGAATGAATGAAGCTATGATGACGACTTTATAACGCATGAGGAATGAGAAGGAACGAGATGGAAAGGGAACAGAGTGTCATTAAAGGAGAAAGCCGGCGTCTGTATCATACAAGGAAAGGAGTCCGATAGGCCTTGTAAGAGCATAATCATGGCAAGCAGACGACTTACAGATTAGCCACCGATACATAATTATACCTTGCTGTCTCCATTACCTTCAGCCTTCCTCTTCCTCCTCTCCTCATTCTTCAACCTCTTCCTCTCCTTCCTCTCAACCTCGGCCAACTCTTTCTCTTTATCGATGATAGCAACCATCTTCTCGGCCATCTCCTTGTTCTTCACTCCCTCAGCCTCAATAACGCCAAGCGTATACCGCAAAGCCTCATAAACCTCCCTTGTCCACAAAACCTTGCCATTCCTCACACCACCCCCTTCATCTTCTATTCCTTGTGCCAGCAGAATACGATCCCACTCGTCTTCACCCCTTGCAATCTCCATCTGTGCTTCCAGAGCGGATTTGCGGTCTAGGCGTTGTTGACGGGCGAGGATGCGGGATTTGAGGTAGTGGGATAGCGCGGCGGGTTGGGGTTTTGTGAAGCGCAGGAAGGGGATTTTGTTGGCCGAGACGAGGGTGGGGATGCGGCGGCGGGAGGGTAGGGAGAAGGCTGGTCGCGGGTGCAGGGATAGTGCTGTTCCTTGNNCGGTGCGGCGGGTTTGGCTGCTGGAGGTGGAGGAGGAGCGGGGTTTGAAGGNGCCAGTCGTCTTGAGAGATTTGGGGAGGCGTGATAGCAAGGTTGTGAGGTACGAGGTGCTGGGTTTGTTGCCGGCGATTGAGGCGTCTAAATGATGCAGTGNCCTATTGTGAACATGAGTGTCAGAACTGACAAGTCTGAAATACCCAAGAGCAAGACATACTTCGTAGCCACCGGCAAAGCTGACCCGTAAGGTGTTTTGACTCGTTACATGTCTATTCCTTGCAAAGCTGTTCTTGACGACAGCTCTCAAGGCAGAGGCTTCAAGGGGTGGTGGTGCAACTCGACATTTTGTCAAGAGGGCGCGGTAGAGAGCGATTGCTGTGCACGGTAAGCATCATCGCCTTGCTCCTATTCTCATGAGCATACCTGTCACACGATGCACGCCGGACTTGTGAGGCGCGAGGAATGCTGGCATACCATTCTATCGTTTTGTCCTGTCAAAGAAGATGGAGAGAAGTGCAGCATGACGCGTGCTGGTGGGGAAGATTTGCATCCACCAAGACCTTCGACGTTTGTTCCATCGATGTTGCACGGGCTTCAGCCTCTATCAGCAGTCAAGACTCGAGAACATGTGTGCCTTCCTAACTCGAGAGCCTCCTTCAAGATGGAGAGATATAAGAATACGTTGAGTGAAGACCTGACTTTCGAGATAGGAGACAGGCCAGCCCAGCCTGCAAGAAAAGAATACGCATTGTACAAAGGGAATATCAAGTAGAACCAACATCAAGAAAGATACCCCCAAGAACATCCATGTGTGTATCCACCACCCACCAGAGTCTTGCGCCCGCTGAAAATGCACCAAATCCTTTCCATAAGCCCGCTCACCCCATAACATACGAAAACTCCAAGTCAACTTCAACTCTCACTCACCCAAAGACCAAGGCATTGAGGATATGTCCTTCCTTCCAGCTCGTCTGGCCCAGAGGCTTGTGTTCTTCCAGAATCTTGCCCATGTACGCCAGCTTGATCTTTTGCTCCACACCAGCCTTCTCTTGCACCTTCTTGACCAAGACAGACACCTTTTGATTCGTGCCCATCTCTACGACCACATCGGTACCGCGATCGCTCAGTCGTGCTCTGACAGACACCATCTCGCCAATCTTCTCTTCACACACGACGCCCTTTTCGGCGTCAATCTCGTCCTCTGACTCTTCGTTGATGTCCTTGCCTTCGATCTGGGGCTCTGCGACGAGATCCTCGGGGTCCGAAACCACCCAGCCAGGAATCTCGTACAGCAGACCCTTGTCATCATAGACACCTCCTTTCTTCTGTCCGCCTCTTCTTCTCTCAACACAGAATTTGCCCGTCGGGCACGTAGCACCGCTGGCATCGAGGATGGTTTGCGCCGCACTCAGGTCGCCAGATCGAAGCAGTTCCGAGACCTGCTTCATCGCCGCCCACATCTCGGGTCGTCCGCTGACTCTAGTCTCGAAGAAGGCTTCACGCTGTCTGGCGAGTTCCGATGGCGTCCACGGCGTCAGTGCAAGCTGAGGAGGAGAGTGCTTGACGGTAGGTGCGACGCGCAAGGGCTGGTTGGGTCGATCGAGCAGTTCGGTGGGAGTGTTTGCCGAACTCGTGCGTGAGGGTGCAGTGCGAGCAGTCGTGGACGAGGGGTCCAATGTCGCATGACGGGCAGCGCCATCATGGTCTTCCGTGGCCGCAGCCCGGGATTCGCGAGACAAGCCACAGCCCTTGACAACAGTCAGTATACCTTGTCGCTTGCAGGTCGGAGAGGCGCATACCATTGTGTTTCTCACGATCTCATAATTTGCCCGAATAGACTTTGTGGTATGTCTGTTCGCCTCTTTTGGATCGAGACAAGGTTGAACGAATGTCGGTAAGCGTTGCTATAAATGTGGTTCGAAAAATGTTGTCGCGCCGTTGTGCTTGTGAGATTACGCCGGATGAGAACTGGAGGGGTCAGGGAGAAAAGGGCGTTCACGGTCGGCAGTCGAGAATGCGTTGAATATGTGGAAAGCAAGGTGACGGCAGGCAAGAACAAGAAGGATGCCAGAACCGAAAAGGCAAAAGTCCGAACGAAGGCAAGGCCAAGTTAAGTTACAAGAATGTCTTGGGCCGGGATTAATTAGTCTGGTAGAGATTTAATCTTTCAAGGGGCGCGCCGGACGAGAGTTAGGCTATCCAGCTGAACTGACGACTGCCGGCAAAAGGATCGAAGATGGCCTTCTTGCAGACGACGTGCAACACAACAGGATCAAAAGAGAGATCACGGCGGGAACCTCGTCGTGCTTCCCCTCCTAAATTTGGCATCGACATGCGGATACAAGTCGTCATGAATCATGGCCGGCCAATGACTTCACATCTGAGCCGTGAGCCGCCCGTTTCCCGAACTTTGTTCTGGTCAGCCTTGTCCGAGGAACGTCGACTCCGTTTCAGCTGCAAAGCCCATTCGGTTCTGCGCTTCGTTCCTCTTCCAAACACTCAAGACGAGTATGTTACACGCCCTCACAAAGGTCCGCAATACGGCCATATGATCATGCTGTCTGCTCAAATCACATCTACCGCGACCACGGCCTCGGGGCCTCGTGAAAGCACTTACTACGCCACCTTTGAGCCTTTCTACTCACGAACCTCCAACCAGCTGAGTTTGAGACACCCTCGGCACCTGATCATGACAAAAAGGCACAAGATAGTAATGTAGAAAAAAAGGACAAACTTTCTATGAATTGATTATTAGTTGCAGAGCGAGCATATGCCTACTTCCCCTCTCCTCCCCTTTTCGTTATCAAGTAAAGTGGACAGGGTATCACGGGTATTCGCGATCAAAAGACAAAGTACCAATCGAATAAACAAACTTGCAGGAATCCCAAAAGATTGACAAAGCAGAAAAGACAAAACAAAAACCAATGCAGTAAACATGTCCGACAACAAACGCAGCTTTTTCTGGTGGAGATCATCCTCAAAACCGAGTCCGAGTGAAGGGCATGAGTTGGGTATTAAGCAATGAGAGCGCTTCGTGGCCAGGAAAATCCAACGGTAAGCGCCATCTCATGTCTGAAACAAAACAAGCACAGTGAGAGGGGGTATCTGTATGTCAAAAAGAAATAACACATCAAACCAGTTGCAGCGATCGACGCACTCGCAACGGCGAAGATGGGTCTTCAGCGTAATCGCTGGCCCACCAAATCGTCCTTCGAGGCATGCTACGCAGCGGCGGACACGGTGGGGTTGGAGGGAGTGTGCTGCGTCTCGCTGATGGGAGCGACAGTCTCGACGGCGGACTCTTCAACTTTGGGCTCAGCGACGGCGGGGGTGTCGACGACGGTGGGCTCAATGGCAGTCTCGGTGGCGGGAATGGCGGGGATGGGCTCAGTGGGGGCGATGTTCTCCTTCTTGACGGGACGAGCAGCCTGAGACTTTGTGCGGAAAAGGCCAGTGACCTTACCGAGCATCGACTTGTCCTCTGCAGGACTCTCGGCGTCAGTCTTCTCCTTCTTGGCACCACCGAAACCACCGAAGTACGACTTGCGGCGGTTCTCCTTGGGGGTACCGGTCTTGGGAGTCTCAATCTTGGTCTCGGTAGCGGGAACAATGGGCTCCTCGGGCTTCTCGGCAACGACCTCGGTGGCAGCGACAGGAGTGTCGACAACAGGGGCGACGACGACCTCATCATCCTTGGGAGGGACGGCAGGAGCGTCAGTAGAGGTGACAGGAGCAGGGCTCCTGGATCTGGCCTTCTTCACCAAGCTGTCGAAGAAGCTTGACTTGCGCTCGAAGTTGGGGGTGACGAGAGGAGACTCGACCTTAGCGGCCTCGAGCTCGGTCTCCTTGGGAGCCTCAGTGACGGGCTCAGCAACGACGGGTGCGGCCTCGACTGCGGAAGGGTCGAGGTTGGAGGTCTCGGTGGTAGGCTCAGGGAGGACGGGAGGCTGGGCCGAGACGACGGTCTCCTTGGGGGNGACGACGGGAGCGACTTCGCTCTCCTTCTTCTCGCTGGTAGGGCTGCGGACCTTGTCGAAGAACGCACCGAACAGACTGCTACGCTTGTTGGTCTTGGGTCTCTCCTCAGTCTTCTTCTTCTCCTCAACGGGCTTGGAGGAGACGCTGTTGACAACAGGCTTCTCCTCAGCGGCGGCAACCTCGACGGGCTTCTCCTCGGCAATGGCGGCAGCCTCGAGAAGGGCAGCACCCTCAGCAACGGGAACCTCCTCGACATTGGCGGGAACCTCAGTAGTGGGCTCAATGACAGACTCGATGGGCTTCTCCTCGGCAACCTTGGTCTCCTCGACGGGAGCTTCGATGACACGGGCAGCTACAACNNAGTTAGCGTCGTTGACGAAAACATAGGCATAGATCGACTTACCAATAGCTTCAGCCTCAAGGGGAGCAACAGCAGTGACGGGCTCCTCGACGGCCTCAGTGGCAGGCTTGTCGGCCTCGATGGCCTTCTCTTCGGCCTTCTCCTCCTTCTTCTCTTCCTTCTCGGCATCGTGCTCGGCCTTCTTGCCCATGATACCACCGAAAAGGCTGTGGCGCTTACCGTTGCGAGAAGCAGAGCGGCTCTTCTTGGCCTTCTTTGCGGCAGCCTCGGCGTCGGATGAAGATGAGCTGGAGGTAGAGGTGGCACGAGGTCTGGAGGCGTCCATGCTCTTGCGGCCGGCACCGGTGTGAGGAGCGTGAGACTTGACAAGGCCGGCGAGGGTCTCCTTGTAAGACTCGCTGGAGGTGACAGTTTCCTTGTTGGCCTTGGCCTCAGTCAGGGCCTTCTCGATGGCGACGAACCAGGCATCACGCTCGGCATCGCTGGCAGCCTTGAAGGCGTGCTTGTGGTGGTGGATCTTGAAGGTGAACTCGTGGCCGGTTGCCTTCTCGAGGTCAGTGGCTTCGGACAGGTTCAAAACACCTTGGGGGTGCTTCTTCTCGTCGGCGTGCTTGACAAAGTAGAGGAGGCCCTTGCCGGTGTGGCTTGACCAGGCAGCGGTAGCGTTACCGGTCTCGGGCTTCTCACCACGAAGGTAGGTGCTGAGGTTGTCGACTGAGACGGGCTCCTCACCCAGCCAGAAAGTTCTCTTGGAGAACTTCAAGCTCCTGCTCGCTGTTAGTCTCCGATGTTCGGTTATGTTTGATACCAATGCCTACTTGATCAAACCAGGGGCCTTGTAGCCAAGGATGCCAGACTCGATGGCCTTGGTCTCCTCAGTGGTGGCAATGGCAGACTGCTCCTCTGCGGCGATAGCAGCGGCCTCGACTGCAGGAGCAGATTCGGCGACTGGGACCTCCTCGACGGTGGCAGGTGCCTCGGTTGCGACGGTCTCGGTGGCAATGGGCTCAGTTGCAGCGACTGCAGGTGTCTCCTCGACAACGGGGATCTCGGTCTTGGTCTCCTCGACGGGCTCGACAATGGTCTCTTCGGGCTTGACGACAACGGGCTCGGCAATGACAGGAGCGTCTGCCTGAGCGGCGGTGGTGTTGTGGACGTCAGACATTATGGATGGTGAAAGAAAGGGTATGAGGTCGTAAAGCTGGCAGGAGCGAAGCAGAAAGAGAGTCAGCTCGAAGATCTTCTGGTGGTGTTATGCCAGTGGTGTGTTGGTCACGCGGACGCGGCAAAGGTTGGCATCGGAAGATAGATACACACCTTGTATTAATTAGATGTAGAGCTGACAAGAAACAAATCAAGGGTCTCCGGCTCGAGCTAACGCCGTTCTGCAGCGATAAGCAATGAAGCTCTGTTTGGAGGAGAGAGGGATGGAGGCTGAGAAGTGGCACAAGAGTAGAGAGAGAAGAGAAAAGATGGTCTGGACAGCAGGTGCAGGGGAAGAAAAAGGACGGCCGCATGTGCTTGCAACGAGATTACCTCCTTCCAAGGGGTTGCATGCCGGGTCAAAGCTCCCTAGACCGCAATGCGACAGGCGAAATTTGCGAGGCCATGAGCAAGACGAGGCCAGCAAACAGCTGCGAATGCGACAACATCTGCCTGTGATTTGCTTTGAATTTGGTCTATCCCGGATAGATTGACTCGTGCGGCGCCGTTTCACCTTCCTAACCGCTCGGCCGCAACCTCGACCAAGAAGCAGGACCAACGGCCTCGACAGAGCATGCTGCAAATAGATTGTCTGTACGCTGCGTCTACAGCTGCCGACTGTCGCAACACTGTGCCCAGCCCTTCCCCTGCTTCTCAAGGGCGCATGATGCGACTCCCAGCCCTCGAGCATGAGATGCGCGACCCGATCCTAATCGCGACATGTGCACATTCGTCCGGCCTGGTCTCGTGTCACCTCGTCTCATGACATGATCGAGTCAGATTCGCATACCGCCATTCACCTCTTGACTGGCTCGGCCGACCAGCACTGTACTTCCACTCTCCGCTTGACAGGGCGTTAACGCCATGCCGCAGAATCTCAAACAATAAACACATCACTATTTTTTTCCATCGCCATCTTCTTTTCCCTGCAGCAGCGACACCAGCTTTGTGAAACGCCAGGTTTGGTAAACGGCCAAAGGCGCTTAACATGTACTCCTTGCGACCGCATCTCTCTTCTATTCTGGTCCTTGACCAGATAGCAGACTCAATGCTGCCACGACGGCCTTGATGATTGTTGTTTGGCCCAAACAGAAACACGTCATTTCCCTTGATGGCAGATCTTCAGCTTAGTTTTCCCTCCCGCACACCAAAGCTCGAAATGCCCCACTTGGTGTCCGCAAGGTGGTGCTACCCGCACGCAGGGTTCTGCCACCAAGAACATCCCAACCTCCAGGAGCCAAGCCTCCTGGCTTGAGATGCTTAATTTACCACCAACTTCAGCAGCGGCGCATCCATGGCTCTACTCGGCTGCCCTGTCAATTCATGAGGCCTTCAGCATCCTGTGTTAGAGAACCATCATGGAAGGAAAACAGCGGTGACTGCATGGTTAGAAGGTGAAGAAACGTCCCTGCTCGTCCTTCTAGCCTACCAGACTTTACCGGACTTTTGGCAACATCACAACACACCGATACACCCTTTCTCACCGACTCTCTAATATGGTTCCTACATTTCCCGCCTTGTCTACAACCTCGACGACGATCGGGGATGGAAAGAAAAGGGACTCCTGTCCCAAATCTTAAAGATTTTTTACGAACTTGGTGGCTTGAGACACAATTACGGGAAACAAAAGCCTGGCTGCAGACTATCAGACTACCAACCCCAGCGAAAGAGCTAATTTACCTAACTGAATCCCAATAATGACTATCAGAACTTCCCACGACCAGACCAGGGCTGGATGTTCTGCTTACACCCACGGCCAGTCATGATCGATCACGAATGACTTATCCAATTACTACCACGGCGCTCCGCGACACAAGAGAGCCATCGATCTGCATGCGGGTCTGCCATGTCCAATGTAACACCTGAAACATGACACCGCATCGCACTCGACCGTTCGTGGACCTTTTTGAAAAAGAGGTTAGTTGGGCCGATGAATATTTAGTAAGTCGCACAAAGCCGACGACGGCATCTCTGTACCTCCTTCATCACGCCCTCACAGCCCCTCTTCATTGTGCAACGACTTTTCAACATCACCACTACCGATAGTCCTCGGAGTGTATCCCTTTGTGCAATCTGAATCTGCCATACATCGGGAGTGCAGCATATGATACTGCTGAACGTGCAACCCTGACTCGAATATTAATCGCGAAGACTTTCACCACAAACTCCTGCCTCTCTGGACGTCGAAGACAGTCACGATCTGCCTGCAAGATTGTACGATACTTTTCACAACACGATGAGTTTTGCGGAAAGAGTGTTATGTTAGAACATCAACATGGCCTCACCGCTGTTCAATGAAGCAGATGTGCATTTCTCTAGCTTTGTCTTGGATGATCTGTCTACGGGAGGCAAATCATTGTAATGAGGGTAGAACTATCCTTTGCACATAGAGAGGAAGCTCTGCCATAGACAACTGTCCAACACAGCGCTTGTCGAATCAACAACGCAAGCACCAGAAACCAAAATAATGGACCAAGGATCTGATTCCCAAAAATGCGATTCCAAGCAACGACCAAACTACTATCCCATTATGCATACAGTAGCCGAATGTTTCTGTTTACCAACACAGCGACAGATGAACTACTTACTCATCATCCATCAACTCTCCAGTACGGAGAATCTTATACGACTTCACGCCCTCAGGCTTCTTGAACCAAGTATGCTTGTGCGCAGCAAAACTCTCCATCTCGGGCGTAGGAATCACAGGCATCATTCCCAGCTTAATGATCGCTTTGCCAGGCAACGCATCAACCTTTGACATGACAGGACTGCAGCAAAGAATAAAAACACAAGGTCAGCTACACATTCAAAAGACCCATACATCATTCCTGCTCCAAACTCACTTTCCATCCACACTGCAAAAATACCGGTATACGGGATTACCACTGTTGGTGGCTTTATCCTCATACACCTTCATCGTGCCGTCTCTGTCGTTGATATCTACTTTTTCTTCTTCCATGATTAGGTTGGCGGAGACCACTGAGCCAGACACTTTTCGGCAGTTTGCGCAGTGGCAGAGGTGGCCGCGTGGTTTCGTGAAGAGCTCGTTGTCATGGATGGTTACGGTGATGCTGCCGCAGAGGCAGTTGCCGCTTAGTGAGTCTTTGAAGGTGGAGAGGTCGTGACGTTTTGGGTCGCCGGTGAGGTGTGACATTATTGCTAGGATAATTGATATGGGACTTTGTGAGGTTCAGAGGATGGTTATATGTCTAGCCAAGTCTGTATTTGTAAGGATGCATGTTGTTGCTCGGGATGCAAGCAGAATAAGCTCTGTAAGCATCCATCTCCCCCGCCGCAATTGCCGCAACCCCCGCCTTATGCTATACCTAGGTATAGCAAGGTTCAACAATACAGCAAGCGAGAACAAAAACTATCATCATCCCTGTATTGATCAATCATACTACACAAGATCTATGTATAAAATTCCAGACAAAGAGAGAGACTGGGAAAACGCCACGCTCGCGCACATTTCCCAGGATCAATAAGTGCAACCACAATGCAGAACAGCCACCCAAATTTATCTATCCTCAACTCCAGGTGGGAACTTCTTCTACAGCTTGCTGATTGATACACCCAGGCGGTGTTCGTAGCCCGGCATTCAATGCTAACACATACATACAGAAAGGAGGTATAACCAGAAGTACATTGAGATCGTCAGCTCGAAGACGTATCGTGTGCGATCAACTGGCCGTGATAAGAACGTATCTGCAAGAGTTAGTAAGAAGGTCCTCTCTCAAAATCGTAAGACTGGTAAACTTACGAAGTAATAGCGTTCATCCTCTCGGCACTCAACTTCATGCCAACCTTCAACATCTCCTTGGCCACTTCAGGCTCTTTCTCTTGCATCCTCTCCCAAGCCTCTAGCGTCAGCAACCAAGCCACGCAGTCCATCTCCGCCATCACAGTACTCGTCCGTGCGGTCTCGGAGAAGAAAGGCAGCTCGCCGCATGTCGTGCCAGAGACAATACTTTCGTGGTAATTTCCTTGGTCAAGGTCATACTCTGCGCGCAAGATGCCGGATTGGAGAAGATAGAAACCATCGGGCTTGTCGCCGCGTGAGTAGAGGATCTTGCCTGCTGGGTAGCTGCGGGGCTCGAAGTAGGAAACGGCGCGGAACCAGAAGTCTTCGTTGCGTGTTGTCAGACCCTGGAAGGATTGCAGGATCAGTGGCAGCGGTTGCTTAAAGTGCTTCCAGCGGTTGCTGTCGCCGTTGGGTCCACAATTGGATGCCAGAGTCGTCGTGGCAGCCTGGTGTAGGAAGTCACGTCGAGGTGAACCAACATTCATATCTAGCGACGCAGGCGTCTGGATGGTTAGAGACGAAGGGATGTCGATGTTCTCGGCTGAAGCTTCCTTTTGCTGATTCTGAGCTTCAATACGTTGCTTGTCGGATAGAATGACCAGCATCTCGTTCTCACAGGCTTCGAGCGCACCGTTGAGATTTTCAAAGACCTTTGGTGGTGGGATGGTCGAGTCTTCTACGGGATCTTCGAAGAGGCCAACCATCTGCAGACTCCTGCCAATTTCACCTTCGATGCTTACACCTGCTAAGGCTAGCGTTACATCGCGACGATGTAGAATACGGTTCATTCGGTTGAAGGCCTCGGCTGCCGAAAAGTCGATACCGGCGACGTGAGAAAAGTCCAGGATGAGGTAGCGGATCGGTTCTGCGGCGAAAGCCTCTGCTTCTATCAGGGCTCTGACCTTCTTCTCTACCTTGACAATACTGCCGAAGAAGAGATAACCACCTAGCTTGACCACCCGGATCTGAGGACCGACCTTGTGGAGATATTCACGTTGGCGGGGATGACGGCGTACAGTCGACTCGGCCACAGCACCAGAGAACTCGGCGCGAATGACGGTCTTGCGTGATGTCTGCACAACGTATACCAAACAAGCGAGACCGATACCCACAGCGATACCGACAACGAAGTCATAGGCACCCATTACCAACGAGATGATGACGATGGTGGCATACTCCAGACGGTGTAGTCTTCCATAGGTGGCCCAAATTGCTTCTTGCGCAAGATCGATTCCAAGCATATAAATCAAGGTACCGACGACCATGACCGGCACATAACCGATGACGACAGGGCCAGCAACAAGGAGACCGAAAGTGGCCAAAGTCAACAAGTACCCAGCAAGACGGCTGTTGCCTCCAGTTTCGATGAAGAGTACACTGTTGACAAAAGCCAGGTAGTTCTGAATACTACCAACACATCCGGACAGAGTGTTCGAAATACCATGCATGATTAGCTCTCTGTTGACGCTAACGTTGTCTTCTTGCACAACAATAGCCAGATTGGGCACGTTAATGGGAACGTGCAAGATGCCGAAGAAGGTGAGGGCGAACTGAGTAGGCACCGTCATCCAAATTGCGTTCCAGTCCACAAGATGGAACTTGTAGTGGCTGTAGAAATTGTAGAATGGCAGACCGGCTTGCGGCGCATCAAAGACCCAGCCTTTACGGCGCAAAGTTTCCATGCCAAGGTTGGGGACTGCAGCGACAACAATGTAGAAAATAGCAGTGATGGCAATGTAGTATGCGGGGACAAGCCAGGGTCGGTCGTAGTAATGCTTGACGGTCAACAGAAGAATAGCCAGGAAAAGAGGAGGCAGCCAAAGTACGATGGTGTCTGCCTGGAAGAGCTTGTGAAGGACGGCAGAAGTGAACTCCAGGTTGCCATCAAGTCTTGCCGAAACTTCAATACCAGTGACAAACAGGAAAATACCAACACCTCCGATACAGCCAGTAAGGATACTGTGAGGGAAGAAGTTGACGAGCGTACCCAACTTGGCAGCTCCAAGACCAAGAAAGACCATGCCAGTAAGAATCGAGCTCATTGCATAAGAGGTGATGACGGTGGCTCTCAGAGCATCCGGGTTACCAGTTCCCATGCGTCCCATGATCATGTAGGTCATCTTGTGGAAGAAAGGGACGACTTCGATCATCTCAGAACCAACGCCTCCGCTGAAGATGCTCCCGCTGGAGTAGGTCAATTGAGCAGTAATGCAACTAACGTAGAACATGGAGACACCATCAGCACCCATGCTGGAAAAGACCTCCTCGCCAAGGGGGAAAAGAATGATTCCATAAGACAGGGCATCCAGGAGGTTGAGAAGGACACCGAGAAAGACCGAGGGCATGACCAGCGCGGGTTTGACGACAACTGTCTTGAAGACTTGCTGCATGTCCCACTCCTTGGGGTGCGTCGCGACGCGGTAACCATCGGCCGCCACCTTCCGTAGCGAGGGATAGGCGTGTTGTAGCTTCTGCCACGACTTGACTCGCGGCAGTCTTTGGCTCTCAATGTCAGGCTCATCCTCATCCTCAGCGCCGTCCAGGGTCTTGTAGGCCGATGCCCGTCTTGATGACGACCTTCCAAAGAGTGGTGTCTCCTCGTCAGCGTCATCTTCGCCAGCTTCACTAACAATCAGGCTCGGTACGTCGCTGTAAGGGCGAGGGCGCGGGCGTAGTTGGCCATCGTCCTGCTGCCAAAGCATCTCGGGCAGGTTGGAGGAAGAGACTTCTGGCGAGACGGGCTCGGATTGCTCCTGGATGACCTCCGGGCGTGTGAGTCCTTTGTGTGGCCGTTCATCGTCACCCAAGGATCTCTCTGAATCGACACTCTTTCTGTGGTGGGCGATCTCGAGCGATTGTCTGGGAGATGAAGTCGAATCGAAGCTTCTGCGATGGGCGGATGAGTCCTGCGATTGGCGGTTCGGGGGTTGCGACGGTCGCTGAGCATCCGAGTCGCCTAAGAAGGAGGAAGAGAGTTCGGCCGTCTGTTCGCGCACGCCTGAGGAAGAATACTGGAGCGGTTNCTGGTGATTGGGGCATTAGCTGGGCGCTGGACGGGCATTCCTCGTGAATTGGATGTTACCTTGGAAGCCGTGGGCAGCATGGTGAATGTAGGATCTGCTGGGAGTCTTGTACGAGGACGACAGAGCCGAGGCCGAAGTGATTGAGCGAGCTCTTGCTCTGTGGCCAGTAGAGCGTGCAGCCGTGTCCTGGGCGTCGGCGTCTTCCTGCTGGAGCTCGTCATTGGAGAAGGGCAGACGCTGCTGATGCGACGAGGCATCCGATGGCGTGCGGCCACGCTTGAACAGTCGCGACATGGTGCGACCAAAAGACGTCAAGTTTCGCAATTTCTTGTTGGCGGATCTGGCCGGTATTCGAGCGATCGGCCTTGGTCAAGCAGAAGGGACGTGGGCTGACGAGGCGACAGGAGATGCAGACCCAAAGAGCCAGCTGCCGGTATTTCAAATCTGCATGAGGTCGGCACCGGTGGAGGGAGCGAAAAAGCAGAGATTATTCGAGTATAAACAGTGACAGTTAACAATTAGTTTGCGAGATAACAGCAGCTGGAGGCCGCATCCACCGGCATCCACTTCTCCAGCAGATTCTGGCCCCCGTCAAAATCCCTGCTCCACTTTTGCCCAAACTAAAAACGCTCCTTGTATAAACCTTGTCTTAGACCGCTCCCTGACAGAGTCCGACAAGACATGGTCTCTTGCAACTTGTTCCCTGTCACGCCGACCTGGCCGTTGACCCTCGACAAGACGTGTCCAGCGCTGGAGAATCTCCGCTCGGCGGTGCTCAATCGACGTCATTTTCACCATTTTACTCCTTGTAGTGACGGCGATCAACCGACCGGCTGTGAAAGTGGTCGCGAATCACCCCCACACGCGTCCTGATTCGTGGCAGCCGGCCATCCGATCCGCTTGCTCGCTCTTCGACAGCTCGTGCTGACAATGTCAGTAAAATGCCTTCGTCTGACCGTCTTGCTGCCGTCCTCTTGTGCAACATGACTGGTGACCACGGGGCTCACTCTCTTGGGCTGAGTGGACAGTCCGAGAGTCTGCAATTAGATGTACCTGATACGTGCAACCCTCTCGAGGCCGATCTGGAATTTTGCAATTGCAAGGACAAGCCACAACCGCAACCTCGTAAGAGGCATACAGCTTGTACTCTAGACTCGGTAGCGGAACTAGAGCATGCCTGTAGGATGCAACAAGCCATGTACTAGTGACACGGTCTCGGATGCTGGCATGCAGAAAAGTGTTGAACAGATGGAGAACTCAACTGAGCTTCTGCAAATAACCCTGCTGAATCAAACGCTCCACGTCTCCTTGGCGGACGTAGAACTGACTGTTCTTGGTGAGGTTGATGGCTCTGGTGGATGGTATAAGTAGATGGTGCGTGAGCATGTTCAAACCGACTTACCCGTATTCTGTTTGAATCTCACCGGCATCTTTCAATACGCGGACATCAATGAAAAGATCGGTCGGCGGGTCCAGGCTCCCAGTCAGGTCGATGTCGGTCCACTGGCCCTTGTACGCTGCCAGAAGATCGCTGTATAGACGAACGTATTCCTCTTCCTCGGGGCTGAGACTGCTCTTGGTGTCTTCGGCGTTCATGGTCTGTGGCTCGGCGGTTGTCTGATCGGCTCCAATGACATCAACGCCCCTCCAGCACATGTCTTCGAGCTTGTCGGTGCGTACACGGTGGTAGGCTAGGAGACAACGCTTATTGCGGCGCATGCTCAGGTGGTTGACGAGGAGCGCGCACGCGGTTGCAGGGTCTTGAGATGGATTGAAAGAAGAACCAAAGGGCTCGAGCAGAGTGTTGACTTCTCGATTGAGCTCGCGGACTTCACGTACTACGGTGCGGACGAGCTCGGTCTGGTAGGCTGGGAGCTGAGGGAGTGCCTGGGTTCGCTTTGCATGTTGCANCCTAGAGCTATATGTCAGTCAATTGGAGCGGCAGATGACATGACTGCAGTGTACCAGTTTGTTGCCGACATCTCCATACATTGTTGTGCTGAGGCTGGAAATTTGTCTGGTCGGGGGTCCAAGAGAGACGCGACGGGTGCGCACGCGTTGATGACCGCAGCGACTTGGCCGGCGCGTCGTCCAATTTCCAAGTCGCTCCTTCTCCAGCTCGAGTCCATGCCATTCTTTCTGACTGCCATCCTTCTCCATTCACAATAAAAGGCACAAGGAAGGTTCGACTTGTCAACATTGACTCTCATTGGTGCTATGTCCTCGCAAATACAGACTCCATTGTGTCCAGCCACATGTTCAACTCGCCCTCTGTCTTGACTCAATAATTCCATCCATCCAAGACCGTGAGGTCATCCTGTCACCTGCTTCACACTACTTCTATCGCTCAAGGAACTGCTGGTACGGCGAATCGTCGAGCATCCCTCCCAGCTGTGGGTCCACGAGAAATTCATCACTCACAGTCCCCTCGGTAGCCACCTGTCCACCGCTCATGTCGAACCCGCCGTGCATGGCATCGTGGAAGTTGGCGTCGAAGCCTGGAACCTCGTGTGCCAAGCTGTAGTTTGTATGGTCCGGATGCAGCAGTAGTCCGTTGTGGTCCATAAAGTTGCCTCCATGCTGCGGCTGTTGGTAAGACGAAACCGGTGTTGGGCCCCGGGACTGCAGCAGCTCGTGATGCTGCCCACCAGGTAACGACACCAATGCTCCGCTGGATCCCATCGATGCTGGTGTTCCGTTCATTGCCATCCGGTTGTCGTGCACCTGCTGCCCTCCGCTTTGTTGCTGGTAAACTGCATACTGACCATGACCGTTGGCAACCGCATAAGCATACGGCTGGTTGTGGTTGTGGTACATCTGTGCCTGACTGGCTGCATATGGCAACATTTGCTGATATGATGCAGAGCCTCTTCCTCCATCCGCAACCTGATACTTCGCATCGGCGTACGAGTAGTTGTCGGCATAAGGGTTCGTCATTCTTGGAGGCTGCTTTGGTTGTCTGCCTTGTCGTCCTGGTCGGTACTCGCCATCAGGATCTCCTTCCGAATCGCTAAGGTGGCTGTATGCGCTTTCGGGATAGTCCAGGATACGCTTCGGGTTCTTCTTCTTGGGTATGGCCTTTGCAGGTGAGAACTTGTACTCTGGGAAGGCCCTCTGGTGGTTCTCTCTTTCTATTGTCGCCAAGCGGTCATAGTAGTCCTTGATCTCTTTCGGCTCCAGCTTCTTCCAGCTTTGTCCGGTAACCTTCGACACGATCTGGTGGTTGTTCTGATCGCACCATTTCTTGGTCCGCTCAGCGTATGCGGAACGGTACAGCATGAACCTGTTCATAGGTCTTGCGATCTTGTTGGCTTTGGCCACCTCCGCACGCCTTTCTTCCACCGATCTGTTGGCCCATGCCTCCATATCTCTCAAGGGTGTCTCCGAGTCCTTGGTCAAGACACTCAAGGGTGCTTGAAGGATGACATCTGCTTCCTGCACTTTCTTGGCTCTGTTCTTTCTCACTCCGGCAATATGAGGACTGCTGGCTGCGGGTGTGGAGCGCGATGAACTCGTTGGCGAGTCCATTGGTTTGGTCGCTCGCCCACTTCGCGTCTTTCTGCTGCCATTGCTCCAAGTGTCGGGACGGGAGGCTGGAGTACTGACACCGACATCTTGATAACCATAGTTGGCGTTGTCGTATGTACCAAGGCTGCTATTGTCTGGCCATCCTGAGTTGTNCCTTGTCATGGTCAGCGTGTTCTTCTGGTCACCCGAAGAGCCACTTACGAATGCGAAGTTGTCATAGGTCTGTCCCTCATTGTAGCTTTCGATGTGGGACAGCTCATGTTGGTTGTCCAAGGACGGGCCGTATTGACCTGACTGGGTAATCCGGTTGGATGACATTGCGACCTTCACTTGCTCTTGGATTCAAGCAGGACTTGGTGTTGCTTTTGCTGTTTCAGACGTTTGCTTGATCTCTTACACACACTGAATATCGGCTTTGTTCAGTGTATTGGAACGACTATTCTGTGGTGACGAATAAGGCAAAAGGGCAGCAGAGAGATTGTGTCGCGTCTAGGTGATGCTGGATTTGATCTTGATCGGCTACAGGCTAAGTCACCAGCCTCGTACCAAGCGGTCTCGGATAAAGCTCGAAAGGGCTCCGAGTCAGTGTCACTCTGGGGCACAAAAAGCAAGATAGTATGCGTTTTCGCTGGCCAAACACTTGCAAGCTATGACATGGTAAGCAAAGCTCTTGTGCTGTCAGAAGGAAGAACAGGGATGCATTCGTCCACGTAAACCACGTGCTTGGATCAAAGGTAGATGCAACGAACCTTGTCTCTTTTCGCAATCTTGCTTCCTGTATTGCAATGTTTTGGTCAAACACTGGGATTGTGGCTGTTGTTGAATGACAAGCTAACGCTTTAGACTATCGATTTACTTGTGTTTCGACGCAGGCGATCTTTGATGTTTATTGTGTTAGACAAAGTCCTTACAAACCGGGATGGCTTCAACAAGTCGGAATATTTGCCAAAGGAAAAACGAAACAGCAGGAAGACGGTCAAGAGATCTCAGGGTTCTTTGTCGGTCTCGTCAAAGATATTTGTAGAAACTCTGCCCGTGAAAATTGAGCAGAGTGCCGATTGCAAACTTGTCGTTCTGCAAATGGCAGACTCCTGAAGCCGGACAAGCATCACCGCATCCGTATAGGGACCTGAAGCCTGGACCCTCTGACGCTCTACTGTCTGCCCGCTTTGGGACACGCTACTTCTCATGGGACCTGCGTTGCTGCTTTCGAAAGTTTGACTCGGCTGCTGTCTTCTTTCAGAGTTTTTCGAAGGTTGCGATAGTAAGGGAAAAATCTATGAACCATGTCTTCTACGAGCAAGGATGGATTGCCCAGGCAGATCCTCGTTTCAGACACTCTCAACTCTGGCTGCAGCTGGAGACGCCACTACCTTGACTGTGGGATTGGCTGCCTTCCAGACAACTGACCCGTCTCATCGGTCCAGTCGGCAAGCCTCAGATCTGCAGGACCCACTGGTTTGCAGAAAGACAAGATGACATGCATCATGGAACAAGAGGAAGCATAGCGTACTATCTCCACCCGCCCTACGAGTGAGCGAACACCCAGGAAACTGCATGTGCTGTTTACATTTGGTATTTGTTGAATCACTGTCCAATCGCTGTCACGCTTGACGGGCCCCTCCGGACCCGGCCAACACCATCAGCATTCTTCGACGTCAGCTATGCAACTCTAACCGGAAAGAGACTTTGACGAGCATGAGAGCAGAACCCAAGCACTACGTGAAGCTCAGGCTGAAGTTGAAGCGAGGACAACATCTCCTCTT